ACACTTCAGCTCGCGAAACAACCCAGATCCCTAGCTTTGACAAGTATAAGAGTGGATCAGGCGATACTTCAAACCGTGCATTCTCCTATTTCATGGTCGGAACCACCGGTGCTTTGACCTTCCTCGGGGCTAAGACCACTGTCGCAGACTTTTTGGCCAACATGTCCGCTTCTGCTGATGTTTTGGCTTTGGCGAAGGTTGAAGTTGATTTGAGCACCATTCCTGAAGGTCGTAATGTCACCATTAAGTGGCGTGGAAAGCCTGTTTTCATTCGTCACCGTACCGCTGATGAGATTGAGGAGGCTAACGCTGTTAACATCAAGGACCTTCGTGATCCTCAGACCGATTCTGAACGTGCACAAAACCCCGAGTGGTTGGTCATGTTGGGTAATGAATCATCTCTTTATAACTCCTCCTGTTAATTTTTTTTTTTTTATTTCATTTTTATTTATTTATTTTTCGATGATGGTAGTTGATTGACATGCCGATCTGTGGTTGTTTTTATAACTGAATAGGTGTTTGCACTCACTTGGGATGTGTCCCAATTGGTGAAGCTGGTGACTATGGTGGATGGTACTGCCCTTGCCACGGATCTCATTATGATATTTCTGGCCGTATTCGCAAAGGACCTGCACCATTGAACTTGGAGATTCCTGCCCATTCGTTCGAGGAGGGCAACAAGCTCGTCATTGGATAAATTATAGTAGAATAAGAATAAGAATAAGAAAAAAAAAAGATTCTTCCTCCAACAGAATATGAATGCATGCGAAGAGGAGCTCATATAAATAAACGTGAGAATACCGAAGTATAATACAAACGGAAAAGCTACAAAAGACTTAAATGCTTTTAAGGCAGAAATGCTTTGCCCAGGATTCAAGCCACATCAAGCAAGTCAACATCTCTGTTTTTTTTGCCACCGATTTTTTTTTTTTTTTTTTTTTTCAAAGTGCTACTACATAATTTACTCATTGCTCTTCATTCTTGGACAATGGATGAAAGAGCACGTCATGCGAATGTATATGCGATGCGTGCGCATGCAGCTCGCAATCTCCCTTTGATTTCAGCTGCGCACCACCGTGCTCTCCAGCTTATCCTGGCAACAGAAGCCAACGATATCCGATTGTCACCACAGCAGCGCAGGAACGCCCGGACCTTGCAACAGCATTATCAACAACAATATGTTGACACTTGTTTACATCGAAATAGCATTAATGATACCAATAGCAAGAGCAAGAGCAAAAATGTGGACAATGCAGACAAGGAACGGGACAAACAGAATGATATGGACTGGGAGATGGACCAGAACAATAGCAACAGCAGTAGCAGTAATAATAATGGTGGTGGTGGTAGTGATAGCATGGACAAAAATAGGGACGCTAAAGAATGTATTGTTAGTCGCGTCAGCGCATTGGTAGACAAGGCATTGGAAATGAAACGGACGAAACGAGGATATGTGTCAGCGGTTCAGAGCAGTATCAAACGAGAAGCCAATCTATCGGATTATACCATATGTCTAACAGACATTGCAACATTGGTAATTTTTTTTTTTTTTTTTTCCAGTGAAGTTTGCTTTTTATACATCTTTTACAAGGACTAAGTGGAATAATAACAGATTAAATGACATTTTTCTTGAGGTATAGTTATACTCATAGTATTTAATATGCTTGCTTCTTTTTTTTTTTTTGTGTGTGTGTATGTGTTTTATATATATTTTAGAGCTGCGAACCAGAACTAGACTTACTTCCAGCTCCAGAGACACTGCCAAGGCTTATTGATCGATCAAATCATTATAAAAGACAGAACGCGGCACAGACAGAAGTCCAGAATGATGTGTCCGTAGTAGAGATCGCTAAAACACAAAATACACTGGTCACCACCAACCCGTTACAATCATTTATTGATCCTATGCAACAACAACAGCAACAACAACAGCTTCGTCTTCTGCAAGAGCAGCAACCATCAACATCAATTACTCAGGTCACTGAGCTTATGCCCACTGACGGACCATCTCCTACAAATGAGAGAAGTGGATTCGGTGAGAGATCACTATTAAATGTTGGCAACAATCTAAAGGATAATCAAAAAAACCATACCATAAGCACTATAAACGCACAGCGGCAGCAGCAGCTTCAATCATCTCAACACACTTTGACACAACAACCAAAAGTAAAGCCGAGATATGCAACATATGAAGATGAAGATAATGAGATGAGTATAGATGACCCTCGTTCGCCTCTTGATTTTAAAAGAACAAATGATTTCAATGGATTGGATCGTCCTACCAAGAAGAAAGTAAGAGCCGCAAGCCGTACAATAATAACATTTTTATTTGTAATCAAGAGACACAGAGGAAGAGAGAAGAGTGGGGGGGGGGGGGGGGGGGGGCAAGAGTGAAAGATAGTTAAAAAAAAAAAAAAAAAAAAAAGATACCAATTCCATTTCTTAATACTATAACTTAGGTGAGGACTGAGCGAGCCGATGAACTAGGCGAGAATGGCACAAGGCCAATGAACTTCATTACTGCTAAAGAGCAAATGGTAAGTATATTTCTCAACATGTGTGTAATTGTGTATGTCAAATTCATAACCATATTATATATTTTGTATAAATAATCATCAATAATTTCGTCCACATTTGCATTCACAATTTTTCTTTCTCTTTTATCATTATTCTTTTAATTACTACTATTACTACTATTATTGTAGGTGATTGAAGAGCAACAGCAGGAAGAAAAGAAAGCTAACCATTACTCTAATCGAGGTGGCTTTAATGCTCCTACGAGCAATCCCTATAATAATTATGGAAACAATACTTCATCCACGAATACGGATAACACTACTTCAGCAATCTTGAAATCAAGGAAACTTGGGACAAAGAGAGCCAAATTCAAACCACCATTAAACGTGGGTAATAATAGTGACAACAATGGTGATATAAACATGACAGGCACGGCCAAATCACCAAGTAAGGCAGACGAACCTGTGGACGAACGGTTGCGAAATATCGATCCTAAAATGATTGAAGCCATCAATAATGAGGTATGTAAATTAGAAGCGCTTTTGTCCAGTGTTTGTAAACTGAATATGAAGAAAAAAAAAAAGGCTTCTGATGCTGATACACTGCACGATGTTTTTGTCCGCCTTTTTTTTGCATAGATTATGGAATCATTGCCAGGTGTAACATGGGATGATATATCTGGACTAGAGCATGCTAAGAAGACAATCAAGGAGACGATTACCTGGCCAATGTTGAGGCCGGATATATTCACAGGGCTCCGCAGGCCTCCTAAAGGCTTACTTCTGTTTGGGCCTCCAGGTACAGGAAAGACGATGATTGGAAAATGCATTGCCAGTCAATCCAAAGCCACGTTTTTCAGCATTAGCAGTTCTTCATTGACCTCCAAATGGGTTGGAGATGGTGAAAAGATGGTTCGTGCATTGTTTGCAGTTGCACGATGTCATCAACCAGCGGTCATTTTTATGGACGAGATCGACTCTTTATTGACGCAGCGTAGTGACGGCGAAGTAGAGGCCTCTCGAAGGATCAAGACTGAGTTTTTGGTCCAATTTGATGGTGTAGGCGTAGGGGGTGAAGAAGACCGGATTCTGATTGTAGGCGCAACTAATCGACCACAAGAGATTGATGAAGCTGCAAGACGTCGGTTTCAGAAGCGACTATATATTCCACTACCAGAGAACCGGGGCCGTCATTCGTTGATGATGCGATTGTTGGAGAAACAAGCACATAATTTGACACCAGAGCAAATTCAGGATATATGTGATAGAACAGAAGGCTATTCAGGTTCGGATATGTCAGGCCTATGTCGAGAAGCGGCACTGGGACCTGTACGGGCAATTCAAGGGGATATTTTGGAAATCGGTCTGGATGCACTCCGGCCTATCAACCATGGAGATTTTTTGGAGGCATTATCGCAAGTACGAGCGAGTGTGAGTGATCGGGATCTGGACTTGTATAGAGAATGGGATAGGGATTATGGATCCGTGGCCAAATCATAATTTTTTTTAAAAAAAATATAAAAATATATATTTATACTAATGATGACATTGGATAAATGGCGATTGTGATTATTCTAATTTATTTATTTATTTATTTAAATAATGATAATGCTAAATCGATTTACAATAATGAATAAAAAGGATAGTAACAATAATATGTAAAAGAAAATGCCTGTTTTTTTTTCTTTTTTTTTTTTTTTTTTTTTTCTTTTTTAAAACTACAGAGCCTTGGTGGCGTTTGACTTGGGGTTTATCTTAAAAGTGTGGTCAGAAGCCTCAGTAGGCTTACCATTCTCATCAAAGTTGTCAACATCCTTTGCTTGTTTTTTCCAGACAGTCTTGTCCATGCGAAGAGATGGATCATACATGGAAGCATCTGGCTTGCGGAACGAGCCACCGAAACGATCCCATAGGGTCGTATACTGACCATAGTTGTAATTGAAATACAGATGATGGACTGCATGATGGGCTGCTGAGTTGACGACAGCATTGTCGACCAAGTATTCACCATCATGGATCAAAACAGACCAAAAATTAACAGCTGCAAACAACACCAGATAGATGTACTTTTGCATAGGCATCAAGTACACAAACAAATGGTATGGAACCGACTGAGAGTATCCATCCAAAAAGTGGAAAGCATGTGAGGAGAAAGGAGTAGGAACAATCCATTTATGATGAGGCTAATAAAAAATAAAAAAAAAAAAATATAAAAAAAAGAGGAGTATTAGTTTACTACTGTTGTCGATGGATCATTTGCAAAATATTCCTGTGCCGTGCAATTGCAATTGTAACAGATCATTGCAAAGGGGAAAATTTATCGCTATTCCAACGGCTGAAGCAATTGGAGTGAGAAATGATTTAGATTTACCATGCCCCAAAATTGATGTTGTAGTTGTTATAGTTGTTGGTAAAGACATACCTTGTGAACACGCTTGTAGATAAGAGGATGATGCAAGAAGCGATGAATCCAATAGATACCAAAGTCAGTGAAGGCCAAGAAGGCAAGAATACTGATAAAAACGTAGCCCCAGCCATCCAAAAAAGGTTCAATCAAAGGTGCCAAGGGACCGAATTTAGCAGCGCGTGCAGCTGTTTCAGCGGCTGCGGTTGAGGCAGCAGCAGCAGCAGCAGCAGCAGCGGTGACGTTGACGGTTGTTCCAGTAGCAACAGCAGCAGCGACAGTTTGTTGGATAACAGAGGTTGGGGCGTGATAGATCGCATTGCTGAGAATTCTGTCCTTGGCATGGATATGGACGTAGAGTTTGCTCCAACCACGGACTTCACCCACGAACCATGGGGTGGTTAAGACCGCGATCCCAGGAAGAGCCTTCATTGACATGATGATTTCGAGTTTGACTTGGTTCTTGAGATATTTGGGATGTTTCTTATGGTTATGATCAAAGAAGAGGTAGTAGGAGGGAGTAGCGAAGCAAAAGTACATGAACAGACCACCTAGATAGGTGAGAACGAGAAGCGAGAGAGTCTGACGGAGAATATTGTCGGCTGGAAGTGTATTGAGGGTCATGTTTGTAGCCATAGCAGAAGAGACCACTGTGTGGAACAGATCTTTGAGAACTTCAAAGGGAGAGGACGATGTGGTAAGGAGAGTATGCAAGTCTGACCATTTTGGGATTGCAGCACTGGCAGCAATGAGATCAGGGATGGGAATGGCAGGGAGATGTGAGTAGACAGAGTTGTAGACATACTCGTCTGCGTAATGGAGAACGGTGTCCATGGTTGGAATCTGAAGAGACGGGAAGGAAAGAGATCAAGAGACAAAGAGATCAGTGTGTGAAATGAACGAACACACACACGAGCACGAACACCAGACAAGGACGCGAAGGAAGAGCAAATTGAATAACAGAGAGGGATTGTGGTTAAGAAAAAGAAAAAGAAAAAGAAGAAAAGCAAAGTATGAGAGATAACGCTGGACTCTTTGCTTTCTGGTTTTTCGATCCATGGCTTTATTTATTGTGAGTTCACTATGCATTGTGCCATGTTCGATACAGTCTGATTCAATTGCATCCATAAGAAGTAAGCGGAATGCCTTTTATTTTTTGAAAGCATGTTTCATTGACGTGATTATCATTCATGGCTGTGATGCCCCCATCTACTGTTGTCGAGGTAATTAGCCATATCCTAGTTACAGGTGGACGGATATTGGGTCTACTCTCTACCGTGCTTGAAATGTCTTCCTGCGCAGACCTAAATACCATCAGATTCCTCAGAAAAAAAAAAGAAAAAAAAACGGTTCCTGTGCTTTGTTTGTGTACAGCACAGACAGTCAAAAAAAAAAAAATCAGCCCACATTTTGATGGACAAATGATTTGCCAGTCAAACACATTCCGTTAGTCGGAATCAAAGCACCCTGTAGTCCTGTTGGACATTTTTTTTTTTTTTTTTTTTTTTCAAAAATGGATGCGCTCATAATCTGTAAATCAGCAACAGCTCATTGACTATGAATGTTCATTCTCCCACCCGTTAGTTTTAGTTCCTCTTTCTGGCATCCCACTCAATTCCCGCCACAATTATCTATAAACGCCTGTCATCTTTTTTTGTACTTATATTTTTATTAATATATTTTTCGTATACAGATCGTCAGTACAATCGAGACTGTAGGCGAACGATTCCTTATCAGATCCATGGATCAAAACAAATAAGAATAAAAAAATCAGCTCACTTCATTTGGGGCTACTCTCTTGTTTTTTTTTAAAAAAAAAACAATCGTATGTTAGGCCAAGCACCAAACTTTTTTTTTAAACATATAATCGCCGCATTCAGATAAATTCATCATCTGTACCTAGACATCCGGAAGAACTTCCTACAAAGGAATCGGACACAGGTGCTGCATATCTACATTTATGGATATCACCCTACCATATTATGAAAGTCAACAAGATACCCTTCATCGCCACAGCTATATAGTTGGTAAAGCAAATCGTTCTATTCTTTCCAATCATACGCTATTATATAAACTTTCATATTTCGCAGGTTGTATTAGCGTCCTCAGACATAGAAACACTACCTGAATAGAAAGTTATCCTTGATTACTCGGATCATGAATTGTTAGATATTTGAATGTAGTCTTGATACCATTAATGAAGATGAGTAAGCCCTCTGTGATACTTAATGACCATAGTTTTGATTTTAACGTTTTGTTCGCATTCCTGTTCAATGAACTTAAAATATTGCTCGAATATGTAAACAGCCACATTATTATTAAACGTATCATGGGAACACGTTCGTTTCCATCTTACGAAGAGGAAAACTAACTTTGTACTGCAGTGGGATCTCTACCTGAAAGGATTCCTCTTCACCTGTTCTTGAGGAAGCCAAGCAGAGTTCTAGTTTTGAGACTACTGTAGTTTCATGTTCAAATATTGTTTTTGTGTCTATTACAGAAAATATGAAAGAGTAATTGGCTACGAATGCCTTTGATACCAATTAAGAAGAAAGAGGTAATATTGAGGGTGAGGTTGTCAGTGGGGAATACTATGAAGAGATTGAGGAGAATGCTAACAAGGAGATAAAGAGGGACCTCGTCCACAGTAATCATCAAAAGTGGGAATTAATAATACAATGAAGCGAACTTGTTCCTAAAAAAAAATAAAAAAAATAAAAAAAGATACACTGGTATCTCGAAATGAAGAGCCAAGAAATAACGCGGTATGGGATAAGCCTTTTGAGTTCCGTTCAGCAGGATATATCATCTGCTCGATTTATCTGTTATTCTTTACCCGTGTTTTTTTATATTTACTGATCCAAATATGAGTCCACAACAGAGGAAATAAGGTTATGCTGGTAGCAGAAGGTTTGATTTTTGGAAATTTGGACCTTACACGTAAAAAAAGGATCACTCTAGGATTCTTATAACTTGCGAATCGGGAAGCATACCAACAAAAGAACATGATTGAGTTGTAGAAGAGAATCATCTGCACAAAAAAAAGTGGTTTAGTTTCATGTGCATTGCCGACCTATGCAAACGAGTAGATTTTTCCTTGAGGTCATAAATTACTGTCAGGACTAGGCAGGCGGCGCTGCAACAAAAGACGCGTATTGTGGCGCAGTACTTTAGTCACAAAGTCAATCTCTTTTTATGGCATAAAGGCGTGAAAAGATGGAGGCATCCTATTTGAATAGGGCACACAAATACATCATACTCACACCTTGTATGGGCCATAGCAGCCTCGGATCGCTAACTTTCGCTCTCGCCTTCATCTTCACCATCAAGAAGTATTTTATTGAAGAAATCCTAGGGAGCGTTCACTATCGCTCCAATATTATTTTAATTTATCTTCTCTTTCTCACACACACATAACCTGCAGTGAGTAGACTTCATTCGGGCTTTTACATATCACTTCAAGCGCCGCTACAGCCATCACTTCATGACGTGAAGAGGCCCAATAGGGTATATTTCAGACCCTTATACTATTTCACACACGCCTCGAATTCTACATTTATCTCATCTTTGCATATTAAATGGATAAAACGAGCATGAATTTATTCGAGTCTAACTGCAAGCTCAATGAATGCAAGGTCCTTTGCACGTCTGTTGGTAACCATAATTGAGCTTTTTTTGTTTGTGTCCTTAGATAGGAACATATTGTATACTGTACGTTGTATAGAATTGTAGAATATATCCCATTTCCATCACCTTTAGTGGATGAATATGTTGGTTAGTCTACGAAACAAGGTGAAGAGAGAGGTAGGATTCATCCTCATCGGCTTCATAATTCTATTTTCGTATAAAAGCAGATCGCTTTATCCCCCCCCCCCCCTTTTTTTTTTTTTTTTTTCTTCTGTTCTTCGCTCCTCGATTTTCAGTTCCAAGCAACCTTGAGATCAACAATAAAAGAAAGAATACTCAAGTATGAAGTTCATTACTGCTATCTCTGTTCTCCTCGCTTTGGTGCCACTAGCATGACCGTCAAAGATTTTACCCTCAACCGTTACACTCACTGCAATGAAAAGGTGGTCTGTCTTAACTACCGCTGGCGCAAAGATGAACATCATTATCAAGTGACACAACCATGTACGCTGATTCCCAAGGGTTCTGCGCTCTCTTGGCTAAGTCTGGGACCCTTTGCCCCGTTCCTACCAGTGTTGTTCAAATCAGGCCTTGCTCTCGTATACATCTTTTATATAACTTAGCTCCACCCTGTCTCTTTCATAGTCCTGAGGAAAATAAATTAATTATGATGCCCAACTATTTCGTTTTGCGCCATCTTCAAGTCGTCTTATTTGAACAAACATGGTCTTTTACACGCGTCGTGTACATAAACTATTTCAACCTTATTCTTTTTAAAAATAAGAAAGGCAAAAAAAAACAATAAAGACGCGTTGACCAAAGGTCTCCTGAACAATTGCCTTCCGACTTTGGTCTTTCAACTTCCTATTTGTTGTATCGTTTTTTTTTTTTTTTTTTTTTTTTTACTTTTATATATCGTCTTCACTGGGCTCGACTAGATTGCACATGATCAACGTTCGCTTAATATTGGGACTCATGATTAATAAACTAATATTAAAATAGCAACAATAGCCCCCGTGACTCGCTTGTGTTAGAAGAGAGTGCGAAGATTCTAAGGTATACAATGAATGGTATTCCATGTATTTTATGTGAGATTTCGAGAGATGGATTGCACACCGCGGAAGAATTTTTTCTTCTTGTTTTGTTGCTGTTTGTTTCGTGAACGTTCTTTTCTCTCCCGTTTGAACTCAGCCTTGGCCCTTTTCCTTCTTTTGGCTTCTCTTCCTTTGTAAATACTTTTATCCCTCTTCCTTCCTCGCTCTGTAAATACAACTTCTCACCCACCACTCCTATCTTTTTTCCTTTTTTCTTTACTTTTTTTTCCTTTCTTGCTTGAACTGTAAATACATTTTCTCACCCTTCCATTTCACACAAATGGCCATGCAAGCTCCCAACTATGGTGCCAGCGGAAGCATGCCTCCAAACTATTCTCAAGAGGAGCATGCACCACTGATTCCAAAAACCTCAACCGAGGGCAAATTCACACCAAACGCACACTACAACGACGTTTGGGCAACTGGACTTTTCCTCCTCAACATTGCTGCCTTCACTGGTCTCAATATCTACTCATTCAAGTCCTATGCCAACAACCTCGCCAACCCTTTTGTAGTTCTTGAGGATGGCAGCAGAGTTGCCACCAACGCCTTTACAATCGACCACTCGCTCTCTGTTTTAGCCCTCACGTCTGTCGCTGTAACCTTTGGATTGGCTTTTGGCTACTTTATCCTCATCCAGCGCAAGACCGCTTTCCTCGTCAAGTTCTCTTTTCTCTGCAGTGTCTTGTTCACCATCGGCTTGGGTGTTTTACAGATTATGTCCGGTAGTCTCTTCTGGGGCGCATTGTCTGTTGCCGCTGGTGTGGTTATCCTCTTCTTCTACAAGCTCTGGGCAGAGCGCATGCCCTTTACTGTTCTGCTCCTTCAGACTGTCACATCGGTCACGCGCAAGTACCCAGGTACACTCGCTGTACGTATTTCACGCATGATCAATATTTTTTTTTTTTTTTTTTTTCTCTCCTTGGCATAATTCGCATAATCCACATAATTCTTCCACGTTGAAACGTTGTAGATGTTGCTGACCTAATATATTTGTCCACTTTTTTCATTTAATACAAAAATACAGGTTGCTTTCTCAGGTCTGTTTACACAGATTGCATGGACCACATTCTGGGTCTTCTCCTTAGTTATCAACTACTCTGTGTTTCAACGCATTTCAAACTGCAGGGCCGACGACTCGGGAAATAAGAGCAGAGTAGTCTGTGATAACAATCAGCTCTACATGGTCATGATCTATCTCAACTTTGTCATGTTCTGGAATACAGAGGTAATCAAGAACGTTGTTCACGTGACTATTTCTGGAGTTTTTGGCGTCTACTACTTTTTCGAGGGTTCTGCTGCTGGCGCGCCCGAGTCACCTACGTTGGCTTCTTCCAAGCGAGCCCTTACTACATCTTTTGGCAGTATCTGCTTTGGCTCCTTGTTGATTGCCCTTCTGCAGACTCTACGATACATTCTCAACTCTCTCAAATCCGATTCAGACGATGGCTTCATGCAGTTCCTGGCGATGTGTGCAGATTGTATTCTCAGCTGTCTGGAGGGTCTCTTTGAAATTTTCAACAAATTTGCGTTTACTCAGGTGGCCATTTATGGCAAGCCTTTTGTCACTGCTGCCAAAGATACTTGGGAAATGATCAAAGACCGGGGCGTGGATGCAATTGTAAACGACAGCTTGGCCGGCAATGTCTTGGGCATGGGCACACTCTCGGTCGCTTTGCTCAGTGGACTCTATGGTTATCTCTTTATCAAGCTTGTTCAGCCTGGTTTTTATGAAAAGGACGATGAAACGCTTGTCATTGTCTTGGTTGTTCTAGTTGAGATGATTTTGGGAGCAGCCATGATGTCTGTGCCGAACAATGTGATTGATTCCGGTGTCACTACCACGTTTGTAGCCCTTGCAGAGGATCCACAAACGTTGCACAGGACCAAGCCCGATCTCTATCGCCAAATTGAAGTGCACTATCCTGGAGTTACCCACAACGTCCGTGGTGATCGTGTTATCCGTGATTAAGCATATACGGATTAATAGGGAAGAACAATCCATTCGGTGCAGCAATACTTTTTTTTTTTTTTATTTTTATTTTTTTTTTTTCCTACACACTTTGTTTGAATGGATTCCAGACTTTGAGGATATCAATACAAATAAAAAAAAAGGAAAAAGAAAATCAGACATAAAAAGTTCAAATATAATTGTTTTCATATCTACAGCATGACACTCATAGTCCCGGATCTTTTTTTTTTTTTTTTTTTTTTTTTTTCGGGCTGAGCAGAGATTGGCAGTAGCAAGAAAGTGTGTGCTGACACGTGACCCGATCGCTCCGCAACTGGTTGACAAAAAGTCCGGAAGAACGGACATCCGCTGAAGCGAACAAATGTGACCAAAATGTGAGAATGGGGAAAGAGTACAGCTTTGTAATGTGCGTTGGAAGGATGCGCTTCGCTTTAGTTTTTTTTTTTTTTTTCTTGTCTCTACGCGGCAAATAGTTCTTCACATTCTTGGGTTGCTCATTCCCTTTGGTTAGTAAAGAATTGCGGCTCGCCTTGTCACCTTAAATATTGCTCTTATCCCTGTAAATTTCCCTTTACTCTCTTTCATCCTTCATTCCTTACCTCTCTTCTCGACTTGCTCATTCCATTTGTTGGAATAGAAACACATTCTCATTTTTTTTTTCCTTCTTCCTTCCTTTCTTTTCTTCCTCTTACTTTCAGCCCCGCCCCCACTCCCACTTTACTCTACTGCTGGAAGGAAGAACAAAACTATTGCTGCGTTCTTTATATCATAGATCACCAACTATAGAAAGCCAATTGTACTATATACCCTACGAAATTTGATTTTTATTTTTTTTATTTTTGATACAATATTGTTTTTGAACCTTCTCTATTGGGAAACAATTCACAATGGATCCCAAGTCAGACAGTGCTCGTCTGCGTTTGGAGCAGCTTACCAGGACCCTGTCGCATTCAGCGGACTATGTTATTGAGGAGAATCCAAATCGATTTGGAGGGTTGATCATCTCTGCTACCAAGAACTATTCTGATTCTAAAGATGGTAACTTTTTTTTTTTTTTTCCTTTCTATCTTCACTTTCACCCTCTACCTTTTTTTTTTTTTTTTTTTTTTTTTTTAATACAGCTACAATTGTATGCAATGCGATGTGACCCTGATATTTCTTTTTTCCACTGTTACACACCTGTTGGCACGAACAGCTGGGACTTTTTTAAAATTTTAATGCTTCCTTTTCACGTGGAATTTTTTAATCTGTGTAATCAGATGGCACAGACAGTGGGATCTTAACATTTTTTTTTTCTATTAATTATCCTTTTCGAAAAGGCTATGGTGAAGTCCGCATTGGCGATGTCACAGTTGCTGTTAGTCCTGCTTTGAACCCTGAGTTTGTACCAAACTATGATCAACCTCTCTTTGAAGATTCACAGGTAGATCAATTGGATTTATACATAGGGGGGGGGGGGGAATATTGTATTTGGAATGATACTCAATTGAAGTTTTTTTTGTTTATGATGATGACATAGGAAATCCTTCGTCACCTTAGATGGTAAATGTGCTTGCATTTTGGAAAGATTCCATTAAAGGCCTTTGATTCCTTTGAAGAGATCTAGCACAGCTCGTATAAAAAAGCGTACTCATGAATGTTTTTATTATACATCATAATATATGTTTAGGATGATGCAAAAGGATAAGTTACGACAGGATATGTTCTTGATCGGGTATGTTCTGAACAATCATCCATAAATACTTTTTTTTTTTTTTTTTTTTATCATTAAAACTACAGGAAGCATCGACATTAACCCTTTTTTTTCCTCTTTCTCTGGTTGAAAAAATAGGCCACCTGGTCATCTTCGACGCTCTATTGCTCTCAAGTTTGCAGAATTGTAAGGAAGAAGAAGAAAAAGAAAGGTTGTTGCTAATATTGCCCAATGTTTCTCTTTTACCTTGCTAACACAAATCCCCTTTTATAGAACGAACCGTGAGGTCGAGTATGTTCCGTTGTCCAAGGATGTGACAGAGAGTGATCTGAAACAGCGCCGTGAGATTGTTGGGGGCACTGCCTATTACGTCGATCAGGCTTGTGTTCGAGCAGCAACTGAAGGGAGAATCTTGATTCTGGATGGTATTGAGAAAGCTGAGCGCAATGTCTTGCCTGTGCTCAACAACTTGTTGGAGAATCGGGAGATGGCACTCGAGGACGGCCGATTCCTTGTCAACCCAAAGCGATTCGATATGTTAGTGAAGGAGGGCGGACAGTCTGCGATTGGTACCATGGAAAAGCACAAATTGGTCAAGGTCAGCAATGACTTTACCGTGATTGCTTTGGGTCTCCCAGTCCCTCAATATGTGGGTCATCCATTGGATCCGCCACTTCGCTCTCGTTTTCAATCTCGTGATGTTAAGGCGCCAGGATTTGAGTCGCAAATGCACCAACTAAAGGCTCTAGCACCTCATTTACCACAGGATATGCTTGAACGTTTGCTTTCAGTCTCCATGGTCTTGGGTTCTCAGCACTATCAAAACCTCGGAAGTGACTCTTCTACAGCAGCCATGACCAATCAAGTCGCCATCCCCGAGTTCCCAGTATCGATTGAAAACGCAATCAAGCTTCTCAACAATTTCCAGGATACTCAACCTCGCTATGTACTGGATCTTGTCTATCCCTGGCCATTGTTGCCTACCTGTGAGGCCGAACAGCGCAGTTTGATCGAGTCAACCTATCAGCGATTCGGTGTGCTAGGACTGGGCCGTGACGACGAAGGCTTTGATCAGGATCAAGGAGCAATTATTCGTCAGTGCGATTCTACTTACAAGGTTCTCGACATTGCGCGATCCGGACCTACTACTGCACATGCAACCTTTGAGCACACCTCCGGCAAGAAAACCACGGTAGAATTGCATTGCGGGCCTTATCCATTCGAGCCAGCAGAGTACTTTGTGGAGACTCCTTACCACATGTCAACGCTTGTCGGTATGCTTATGGCCCACTCTGTTGGAGACTTTTGTGTGATTGGGTCCAAAGGTGTGGGAAAGAGTGCATTGATGAGACATTTCGGCAAGAACCTTGGTTACAAGGTCGAGTTTATTCCTCTTTACAAAGACATGTCGTCACGCGATCTTTTGCAGCGCAGAAGCACTACCTTCTCTGGTGACACTATCTGGGAGAATTCTGCCCTTGTAAAAGCCGCCATGTCTGGAGCCTTGGCTGTGATGGATGGTATTGACACATTGTCGTTTGGAACCATGGTTTCGTTACAGCGTTTGATTCATGAGCGTGAGACAGCTATGCCGGATGGCCGTAAGCTCCTCCGCCACTCCCATTATGATCAATTGCAAGCCAAGTATGGATGGAGTCAAAAGGAGATGGAGAAGAAGGGACTTTTGCGTATTTCACCTTCATTCCGTATCGTGGCCCTGGCTAGACCAGTGTCAAGCGGAACAGAGGGCGGAAAGCCTGGATCTTGGTTATCTCCAGAGATTGTCAATATGCTTCAATTTGTCACTGTTCGACCTCTTTCTTTGCAAGAAGAGACACAGCTTCTGGAGACTTTGTCGCCCGGTGTTTCGCCCGAGAGCTTGAGCCTATTGCTCAAGTTAGCGAACCATCTTCGAAACTCGCCTGATGAGACCATCAAAACTCTTTCGTCTGCAATGTCAACTCGGTAAGCTTTTAATTTTAATTTTTATTTTTATTTTTTTATTTTTTTAAACGTACTCGATCTTAGAGCTTGAAGAAGCGTTTACCGGAGCTAACTTTTTTTCCCCTTTTTTATTGTCTCATAATTCTTTCTTATTCTTGTAACAAACGTATAGTCAGTTGATCCGTATTTGTCGTCGCTTGGCTGTTTTCCCTAACGAGAGTCTCTATGATTCTGTCCATAAAGTTTCCCTCTCACGATTCTTGCCTTCAATCGCTAGAGATGCATTGAATCAGCTCCTTTCCACAAATGGAATCATGCCAAAGGCTAAACCATACAAGGCAAACGAACTTGAGATTCAGGTCCTTCCTAGTAGAGAAAACCCTCAGTCACTTCGTATTGGGCCTATTCAGGAACCCGTCCGGCAAGATTCAAATCCAGTGTTGATCCCCAACATTGTCTTTCATGAGAACCCTAAACAGACCGAAATTCTGATGGAGATGCTCAAGGATTTCCAACTGGGTGAGCATTTGTTATTGATTGGTAATCAGGGTGTTGGTAAGAATAAGCTAGCAGATTACTTCCTTCAGCTCCTCAAGCTTCCTCGAGAGTACATTCAGCTGCATCGCGATACCACAGTACAAAGCTTGACGGCTACACCATCGATCGTGGATGGTGTGCTACAATATGAAGACTCTCCGTTGGTCAAATCTGTTCGTGATGGGTATATTCTGGTCATTGATGAAGCTGACAAGGCGCCGACGTATGTGACCAGCGTGATCCGTAATTTGTTGGAAGATGGTCAGATGGTCCTGAGCGATGGTCGTCGTATTGTCTCCAAGCCCACGGAAGGAGCCAATGAAGTAGAGATTGTGATTCATCCAGATTTCCGTATGATCGTTCTGGCGAATCGACCTGGCTTCCCTTTCCTCGGAAACGATTTCTTCCGAGAAGTGGGCGATGTCTTCAGTTGTCATGCTGTCGACAATCCTGATGCAGAGTCAGAAATGTTTTTGCTTCGCAAATATGGACCAGATGTTCCGGAGGAGCTATTGTTGAAGTTGACAGCAGCATTCGAAGACTTGCGTGTATTGGTGGACGAGGGTTTATTGTCATACCCATACTCGACTCGTGAGCTAGTCAATGTTGTCCGTCATATGCAGCTATATCCCGAGGAAGGCATTTCACGTATTCTCCAAAATGTGTTTGACTTTGATCAGTATGATGCAGACTCGAAGGAGATGCTGATCGAGACCTTCCAGAAGCATGGTATCCCTGTGGGTCTCGAGTCCGAGTTTACAATCCAACTTGGTAAGCAGATTGAGGTGAGCGAGCCTTTGTTGACTGAGACTTGGAAGAAAGCAACAGATTCTCGCTCTATGGAGTGCAACGTCAAGTCCCAGCCAATTGTATTCCGAGGAGGCTGGAATGTGACACCAGGCGTGGCCCGTGATCTGGAAAGATCTGAGGGACGATCTGTTGTTTTTTCGGAGCAACTGTATCACTTCAAGATTCCAACACGGGGAGAGGCCTTGGATATCGTTTCATCCGAGAAGGGTAACCTGTATGCGATCTCGACCAATCCCGTGACGCTCCATTTTATTGATGCTGCCCATCGTACTGTCAGGAGTGCGGATATGTATGAGTACTTCCCTCTCCAGAAGGCGCCACCACGGTTGCGTTTGGCTCTTGTGCAGACACGTGTGGGTGGGCGATTTTTATGTATGCACAACCCGAGTGATAACTCGTTCCTGTCTCTGGATACGGACAAGAGCTCGATTGTGTCCGTGATGTTGAATGGTCTAGCGCCTGTGGCATCGTTAATGGACAAGTCTTTGGCAAACCAAGGATACATTGCGTTCTTCCAAGAGAACCGAGCCAACGTTGTGGTTGTGGATTTCAACTCGGGAACTCAATACATAGTGGAATTGCCGATCCAGATTGCAGCGTTTTATATGATTGATGTGCACTTGTGGTTGGTCAGGGACTGTCAGAATTCAGATTATTATTTGGTGTATGCAGCAAACAACAGCAGTACGTCCGCACCTGTGCCAGACCGTATCCAACGGGTATCAGTGACTGGTATGGGAGCAAAGGCGAAGCATCGTCTGACCTATGTCTCTCCTCCTGTGGTTGAGCCAGGCAAGAGTAACAGGTATGAAAACAACTGTTCATTTTTTTCACATTGATTTCCCAAAGCAACTATAAGCACTAATTATATATACATTATATACATATATTATACAACAAAAATAGCGATATTCTTCGTATGCTTCACACTACGAATGATAGTGTAGTGATGGCTATGACCAAGAACATGGAGCACATTGTCCGTAACCAGGACCCTGAGGCTGCTATGGATGTGTTTTCGTTTATGCGACCTCTTGCGGACGAAAATATTCGAAATATGTATTCAAATCTTCAGAGTGCTTCATTGTACATGAGCAAGACTCAACAGATGGCAAAGATTATCCCTTCGCCTGTAAGATTAGTCCTCTTTCTTTTATATATGTATTTTTTTTTTTCTTCTTTTTTCTTGCTTTACATGCCCCTTCTACCGTACCGCTCTAACGTTCCAACTTTTTTCAAATTATTATTACTATTTTATGGTCACAATTAGAGCGGAAAGAATGAGGGTCATTTGGAGCTCTTTTCGCCCTCTGAGCGTCGTATCTGGCGTGTTCTGATCCCACTATCGATCCCAGTGACGAGCACGTTACGTGCAGATGCACCTATGACGGGATTCAAGGGTGTGCAACAAGATCGGATTGTAGCTTCGATGACTGAACTTGTGGATGGATCACTTTTGACAATGGATAACTCTGGGTTTGTCCGTGTCTGGCAGATTGATGCTGCAGACCTTTTCCAGTCTGCCAGTACATGGAAGAAATTGGTGGGCACTCTAGATTCACGCACGCTGGCGATCCTTTACAAGGATGAGCAAGGGCGCTATGTAAATGCAAATGGGGAATTAGTTGGGCCAGATGGTAAAGTTATCGTTGATGGAGAAGGTGAACTACCTCCTGGTATGGACAGTGTAGGAGGGGACTCTGACGGTGGCAGTAGTGGTGGAGGAGGTGGTGGTGGTGGTGGAGGCGGTGGCGGTGGAGGAGGGGATGGAGATGGAGATGGAGGTGGTGAAGGAGACGGGAACGGATCTGGATCAGGATCTGGAGTGCGCACTGGTGCCCCAGTGGAAGGTCGCAAGCCGAATTTTGACGATGTCTCTAAACTCGATATTGTAAGTTTTGAGGTTTTTGACTTTTTTTTTGCTACTATATTCTTTTGTTAAAGAAAAAAAAAAAAAAAAAAAAAAAAAAAAGGTCAATAGATCCCTAACAGTATATACATTTTTTTTTTTTTTTTTTTTTACGAACAACGAATAGCGTACCACTGCGCCTCCTCCAAAGATGATCTCAGATGCTCAGATGGAGATGCACAATATGACGATGCGCAAACACCTCGAGTCGATGAACATGACGACGGCGGATGCGAAACTTTATATGGCATATATGGAGAACGTACAGCGCGAGATCCGAGAGCTCCGAGTGATTTTGGAGTCGATCGAGGCCAAGAACAAGGAGCGGGTGTGGCTTAAGAATCAAAGTTCGGGAGATCTGGACGATACAAAGCTCATCGAGGGCTTGACGGGTGACCACAACATTTACAAGCTTCGAGGGGACCAAGACCCTGAGATGGGATTCCAGCAAAAACCCAAGAAGATGTACTTTGTGTTTGATCTATCAGCCAGTATGTTCCGTTTCAACAACCATGACGGACGTCTTGAGCGTTCTATGGAGGTCGCATTGAGTAAGTTTTTTTTTTTTTTTTTTTTTTTCTTTTCTTTTCTTTTCTTTTCTTTTTTTAAAAAAAAAAAAAAAAAAAAAAAAAAAAAAAAAAAAGTACTTTTCATGAAGACTAATTTATATATAAATGGTTTATAGTGATTATGGAGTCGTTCCGCAACTTTGAGCACAAGTTTGAGTACTCGATCATTGGGCACTCGGGTGATTCGCCCAACTTGGAGTTTGTGAAGCCAGGGCGGTATCCCAAGTCGGAGAACGAGGTTTTCAAGGTGATTTCACAGATGAGTGCTCATTCACAATACTGTCTTTCTGGAGACAATACGCTTTCGGCCACGTCAATGGCGATGCGTGAGATTGTGAAGGAAGATGCAGATGATTATATTGTGGTGGTGCTATCGGATGCCAACATTGGACAGTACAATATCAAACCCGAGGACCTTGCACGCAGTACGTTAGGGGAAAAGAAAAGAAAGAAAGAAAAGTCTTATGTATTTTTATGTGTGTATATATCATTTATATCGATTTAAGACAACTAACATTTAGCTATTTCTCTTTGTTCTTTTAAAATAGTTCTTCGATCGGATGATAGGGTGACATCGTCAATGATCTTTATTGGATCATTATCGGATCAGGCAGAGAAACTGAAGGGCGCGTTGGGATCGCATGCACATGTCTGCATGGATACAAAGGAGCTGCCTCAGATCATCAAGTCGATTTTCTTGTCATCTATGGTTAAATAAGTCGGTTATGAAGAATAGAATCGAATAGACATTATAGAAAACATATGCATTACACAGACAATGTTACTCCTCTACTGTCTTTGGATGAGTGCAATGCATCTATCATCCTTGTTACTTGCTTTCATGACAAATGCTGTATGTGTCCCATCCCCTATCTTTAGCCCTCCTTTTTGTTGTTGTTGTTGTAAAAGAGATTCGTGGTAACCATAAAGCAGTTTGATGCACACTGCGTCAATACTGGTTTGTAATACATACTGCAGAAGGGGAATGGAAGGGATCAAGGAGGAGAAGGAGAAGGGGGAGGAGAATGAAGGACGGTTAGGTTTTTAATTAATGCTGATGGATAGTATCATATATAAATACAGTATATAAATATACAAACAGTAGCATCTCCATGCTCACCCGCTTTTCTTCACTCATCCCTGAAAGCAAATAATAAACAAGGACAGGAAGAAGAGAGCCATGGAACTGGAACCGATTCCTTGAACAGTGGTTGGTGGTTGCAGAGTTGATGTTGATGTTGATGGTAAAAAGTATGAAAAGAGAAAGAAAGAGAGAACAGTTAAGCAAGTGAATCCACCTCCTTTAGCTCTAAAATGGAATGGGGTTTGCATTCGCCCTTTATTTCTTTTCCTTCAAGGACTCTATCCAACTATCCTTTTGCTTTCTTTTCCTTTCTTTTCTTTTCTTTTCTTTTCTTTCTTTTCTTTCCTTTCTTTCCTTTCTTTCTTTCCTTTTCTTTCCTTTCTTTCCTTTCTTTCCTTTCTTTCCTTTCTTTCCTTTCTTTCCTTCACCCTTTCACTCACTCATTCACTCTCTCACTCTCTCTCTCTCTCTCTCTCTCTCTCTCTCTCTCTCTCTCTCTCTCTCTCTCTCCTTTTCTTTTCTATCCATAATCTTTTTTTACGCTTGACCTTTTTGTAACCCGTTGATCCGTTTGTCCTGTCCCAATTGACACCATCTTTTTCTTTAATTGCTATAATTACTTTAAATTATATTTTATTTACATTTACACTTTTATTTATATCCTCGCACGGTTCAACTCTCACCTTCTCCGCCCCCTCTTTTCTTGAACATCTTGTTCCTGCGTCCACTCTCCTCTCCACTTTCAACCTATTCTTCTTCTTCTCATTGCTGTTCATTGCATTCGTTTTTTTTTTTTTTTTTTTTTTTTTATACTTTTTTTTTTTTGCATTTCATGAGAATGCAACTTTAACCATTATTTATTTATTTATTATTTTTATTCTAGTAACGAGTAGCGCACACATTTTTTTTTTTTTTTTTTTTTTTGCTCGTACAACAACTTCGCCCAACAAAAAAGAATTTAGACTGCCTCAATTGATCTTATAATTTACACTTTTATTTGAGTATTTTTTTTTTCCCTTCTTCTTCTTCTTCTTCTTCTTCTTCTTCTTCTTCTTCTTCTTCTTCTTCTTCTTCTTCTTCTTCTTCTTCTTTTTTCATCCTTCGTCAAGAATACAAAAAAAAAAAAAAAAAAAAAGCTGATCATGAATTTGGCACAGGCTGTGGCATCAAACGACTTAAATTTGGTACGGGAGTTGTGCAGGAATGGACATGATCCCAATCAGACGTTCGCATGTAGTCCACGGCAATCGGCCTATGCGGTTCAACCGATCATGGGCCATGCAGAGAATTTCGAACCAGATGATATCCTCTATGGAGTCACCCCCTTGAATTTGGCGGTCCTGAACGGAAATGAGGAAATCGTACGAGTCTTGTTGGATGCAGGCGCAGATTTGAATAAGAAGGATGGTCGAGGAAGGTAAAAAAAAAAAAAAAAATTGAAATTATACAAATATATATTTTATTATATTTATATTACAATTTATTACAAGTTGCACATCAGTGGTTATTCTTTTTTTTTTTTTTTTTTTTTTTTTTTTTTTGTTTTTTGCTGTTGTTGTTGAGAGCTATCCAGGGGAAGTGCGTGTGCGTGTGGGGAGGGCAAAAAAAAAAAAAAAAAAAACCAATTACAATGGCAGTTACAGGGGAAGATAAAAGGCGGGTGAAAAAGAAAAAAGGAGAGGAGAGGGGGTTTGTGCACGATCCAGGTTTTTTTCTCTTTACTCACTAAAACAAAATTTATTTTAATTCTATTTTATTTTATTTTATTTTTTCAATGATCTTAGAACGCCATTACTTTGTGCAGTCTATGGCTTGGACACCTTGACTATCACCCCCGCCAACCTGGCATTGATCTCTCAGACCACCCCTGCACATCTTTCAATCTTACGCAACTGTATCCTCCCACACCCCTCCATCACCCTATCAACTTTAAATGCACCTCAGGATGAGATCAAGGGTATCACCCCACTATGTCTAGCCAGTTACCTGGGTAAAGAGGTCGTCGTCCGCTGTTTACTCGAGGCTGGTAAAGTTGATGTGGATGCTACAGATAGAAAAGGCGCCACTGCGCTCATGTATGCTGGTAAGGACTAAAAAAAAAAAAAAAAAAAAAAAAAAACAATTGTTTTTAATGCATTAATTGCTATAGGGTCGATTCTGTAACAAAAAAAAAAAAAAAAAAAAAAAAAGAGCTTTCACTTTCATGCAATCAAACAGGAAAAAAAGATCAGTGAAAGAACGCATTGACAATAATGCATCTTGTTTTTTTTTTTTTTTTTTTTTTTTATTTTTTTATATAAAAAAAAAGCACGAGATAGACACATGTCTGTTGTCAAGACATTGCTTCGACATGGTGCGTCCCCGGATCTGACTGATAGTAACGGTTGGTCCTCGATCCAGTATGGTCAAATGTACCCTGAAATTGTTCAAATGTTTGAAGAAGCACTCCGGTGCAAGAGGCCTGAGGTCATGGTAAAGGAAAAAAATCAAAAATCAAAAAAAAAAAAAAAAAAAAAAAAAACACTGTCTTTTCTAATGAGCAAAAGAGTCCTAGAGAAATTGAACTATTGGGTACCTGTATGGATAATATCAGTTCTAACCTGCTTTTCCCCATGTTCCTTGATCCTCCCATTTTTGTTTGAAAAAAAAAAAAAAAAAAAAAAAGCATCTGTTGACACCTCCAGAGTCTCCGCAACAGTCTCGAACAACATCTTCAGCATTGGATCGATCTGCCGATGGGTCCAGTAACACGGCTCTTCCTTATGCTCTCTCTCAAAGTTTGGTTCGGTACCCTCTCTATTATTCAAAACTCTCCTCCTTACTCTTATCCCTTCCTGCTCCACAGAATGTTGGGTCAAAAGATGGTGTCTTGAGCCTCCGGCAAGCAGGATCAGCAACAACTCAAGACAGCACCCAACTACAGCGAACAACTCATGCAGCTATTCTGGAAGCGATTAAATTGGGTGATTACATGACGCTGCAGTCCTTATTGATGACCCCTCCTACATTACAAGATAACAGCAGCAATAATAGTAGCGGTAATAATAGTATTATTAATGGGAGTAATAGCACTGCTGGAAATGGAGGAATCGGAAATATAGCACTGGTGAACTATCATGATCCACAGACAGGCTTGACACCATTACACCATGCTCTCAGGACCCGTCCATTGCCCTCCATGGAAACAGTAAAGATTTTGTACCAAGCGGGCGCAGATATGAATGCACAGAGTCACTATGGTCGAACTGCCTTACATCATCTCTGTCGCTTCAGTTTAGAGCAAGCACTTACACCATTAAACGACGATAACGCCGCTAGTTCACCCTCAACGACACTAAATGGAGGGCCCGCATCAGCCAATGGCCTATCATCGAGTAACAGCACTGTAGATGAATCAAAGGGAGGTCGACGAAAGAACCGATCTCGGACATTGACGAACGGATCTGCTGGATCCAATCATTTGGTGCCTAATGGAAAAGATCAGGCTAGCTCATCTGCTGCCTCCACAACATCATCCAATGATCTATCAACAGGCGCGAACGCTTCTCGACATGCTCATGCAAATCATCCGGATACATCTGTTCTCAAAACAGCCTCACCCGAAGAGATCCAACGAGCCTCTAAACATCTTGCGAATTGCTGTCGACTTTTATTGCGCCTTGGATCTCTGGTCAATATTCAGGATCGACACGGCAACACCCCTTTACATTTTGCGGTAGAGTACGGTGGAGTATTGGAGGTTGTCAAAGTGTTGGTACAGGAGGGGGCAGATGTAGAACAACGTAATACAAAAGGATTGAAACCTTTGGATGTGATTCGAGGCGTGCAATCGGAAGAGATGCGATGTATTCTTGGTAAAGTGAAAAAAAAAAAAAAAAAAAAAAAAAAGTTCATATTCATATTCATATTGAGCGTTCTTACCAACTAGTTTTTTTTTTTTTTTTTTTTTTTTTTTCTTTTCGCAGAAAATGGTCGTTCAAAATTGGATAATGAGGACGGCGATACGACCTCCAACGCCTTAATATCATCACAACAAGTTCGTGATAGTATTCTCAAGCCTCTTAATCTTCCAGAAACACTTCATGAGGTTGATTTCCAATTCAATCAGGTCCTTCAGAACCTCGAACACTATCAGAACCATACCTCAGTTTCCATTGAAGCTTCACTTCAATATATCACGGACCAGATCCTCCTTGGCTGGTCACCGGGCTATCATAACGCCAGTGGACAAGGACAGTCTCAAGAAGAATACAATACCGATTTGATGGCGAGCCTAGAGAACCTCAAGTATGAGCTCGAGAGCACCTACGAACTGCTGATGATCTCTGAGGAACAATACCGAGATGTGATTACATTCTATGAATCCGAGTTGAATGAGATGACACGTCAAAACCTGACAGTCTTGACGACTTACGACTCTGAAAAGTCCAAGGTAACAGGGCTATACGCAATCTACACTCGACTGACTGAGCAACTGGAGGAATTAGAAGCCGAGAATGAGGGGTTGAAGAAAGAGCTTGAGGAGAAGAAAAGACGGGGGTTAGTCAGCTTGGGTCGACTCGTCCACGGAGCGATGAGTGGAGACTGGTCCGGTACTCGCAGTGGGACGGGCAGCACCCTAGGAAAGCATAAGCCGACAACACCAACAGAAGCAACATCGGTGTTGACACGGAAAAAAAGAGATCTCTTAGAGGCCGCGGCGCTCGATGATGGACAGCCTTCAAGGGATGAGGAGACCAACCTAGAAGGCCCCCCTCCTCGACCAGCCATGGTGCTTGATCCACAAGATGCTTTGACATCTACGGAAGCCAATCATTCCTCAGCTCCAGATCCAGAGAGCTCGCTGAGTGATAGACGTTCAATGTCCTCCCACCGGCCCACATCTCCATCTCAGACAATATTGTCATCCTGTGAAAGCGAGCCTGCTCTACACACAATCGCGGTCCTGCTACAAAAGGTATCGCTTCTGGAGCAAGAGTTGGCCACCAAGATATATGATACCAAAGAACGAGATCTCCTTGTAGGAGAGCTTGAGGACTTGATGAATGAGCAATCCAGGGTTTTCCAAGAGGAAAGCAAAGCCCGCGAAGAGCGTGTCGAGAATCTCATGTCCATGTTAACTCGTGCGGAAGAAGGAGGGGAGGAGCAGGTACAGGCATTAGCAAATGAGCTGATGGCGAAGATGATGGCTCAAGCAAATGAAGTGGCAAGGAGACAGCGTACCCACAGCGAATTCTCGCATTCATCTGTAGGGGGCGCAAGCCGCAGCACATCTGCTCGGGTTTCAGGAGATTGGACCTTTTTCTTGAAGAGATCGGCATCTACATCTGTAGGAGAGGGAGGAGCACCACCAGTTGTGCAGAAGGATCTTGTGGCGAGCCTCAGGCAGGAGATAGAGTTGTCCAAGCTGCAGATATCAAGGCTAGAGCTTGCGAACGCCAACCTCCAGGAGAGATGGCAACAAGCCATGAAAGAGCTAGAAGAGATCCGTACTGCAGAAAAAGCAATGTCTGATAGCGCAAGCGATGTGGATCAAACAGTTGTGGGTCATCCATCCACTTCAATGTCCTTGACTATGGAGAGACAACGGCCTCGAGTGACGACATTTTATGTCCCGAAATGGCCATACCATCCACAGGATGAGCCATTGATGCTGACACTTGACAAGGACAATCAGCTGCAGGAGGATATGCCCTCTTTAGAGGAGATCGAACTCGTCTTTGAAATCCTGATGGCCAACTTGGCAGAGATCTCTCGTGATGCAGAAGAAGCAGACCTGCGACTCCAAGAATGCAAACGAGCCAAGGAGCAAATTTACCACAGATGTCTCTACCTCGATGATCTCCAAAAAACGTTGGAGGAAAAAGTAGAGACAATTGTATCTCAGCCCTTCAAGGCCAATGAGGCTCAGCTCAATTTCATGGAGGAGCAAAGAGAATTGCAGGCACAAATTAATGAGGTGATGGAGCAGGCAGAGTCTGTCACAGACCTGTACAATAAGCTGAAAGAGGACTTGCAGAATTATAAGGATGAAAAACAGGCACGTCTTCGAGAGCTCGATAATGTCCGCGATCTGATGCGCAAGATTGGTCCCCAGGAGCTTCTAAGAGGGTTATTGGCCAAACTGGATCATGCCATTCCGGATGATTCGGCTGCACAGGGCCGTCGGGAGGTCATTGCGGCAGCTGTGGCTCAAGGAATGGAGCTAGCTGCCGAAATGGCGGCCGAAGAGCATCATCGTAATGGCGAGCGGGTCCCATCGCATCTATGGCGAAATTCTTGCAGTGTGGTTGATGAAGGGGATGAACAAGATGCCATTGACTCGAGGTTGTCGACGGCTTCAATCGACTACTATACTCAGTCTTGCTCTATTAGTGATCACAAGCTCTTTATCCAGTCACTTTGCTCGACCCTTTACGCGCTCCAAATGACCACGACACACCAGATCGCCAGTCTCAAGAGTTCTTTGGCAGAGTCGAGAGCATCTTTGGTCTTGGCAGATCAAGAGCTGTCAAACCTGAATGATCAAATCGCAGGCCTTTATGAGGACGTAGGTACACTCAGAAGCGAACTGCATGAGCTTCAACAGGAGCTTGATCGGTTAATCCAGCTCCGTAAAGCAGAAGTTGAGAAGGTTTGGGAGATTGTTGGAGAAGTCAGGATCGATGAGAATGGCGTGAATAGGGTCTTGGAGGATGATGAAGATGATGGTGATGGTGATGATGAAGAGTCGGTTTTGAGCACAGACATCCATCGTAAGAATTCGATCCAGAGCCGAGCATTGACTAGGAGTACGATCTATGCTATTGAAAATGGAGGTGACAACCCTCTGCTGCCTAATGATGGCGCTGGATCAGCAGAGGCTGGAGCTGGAACTGGAGCTGGAACTGGAGCCGGAACCGAAGCTGGAGCTGGAGTGAATGGCGATGGCCATAGTAATACCAATAACCGTAGTTCCGTGGTCTCCCAATCACTATCCATTACCCGTGCAGAGCGAGCCTCAATGCTTCGACAGAATTCATCCCGGCTTTCAGGGTGTGAAAACGATGAGGCGATGAGCCCCGAGTTTTCACAGACTTCAGAGTTGGACCGATATGCTCTGATTTCTGCAGAGATGGATAAGTTGCGGTCACGGCACCTTCACTTGCTGACGACTATTACTGAGTACAAGAAGCAGATTACGGTGATCAAGGATCGTAATCTCAAATTGGTGGCGACGTTGTTGGACCGGGAGAGGGTTCGATTATGGACTGCAGATGGACAGGATGAGGTTATTAATGCGATTGTAGGACAGCATGGTCACCACAATAGCCATAACACTCACAACCATGTAGCGGCAGTAGCAGCGATGGCAGCGTCTGCCAATGCAATGTCGTCATCACTTTCTTACAACGGCTTTAATATCAATGGGGGTCAGAGCTTATTATCAGGAGAGTATGTATCTCGAGTAAGTAGTGCAGTGGTAAACAATCAATCTACTATGAGCATGGGCAATGGCTCGAGTTGCACGTTAACGTCGAATATGACAACGTCAACAACATCAACATCAACATCAACATCAACATCAACATCAACATCAACATCAACATCATCAACAACAGGGACCAAAAAGCATCATATGAGTTTGACCGCAGCAGAGGATGGCATCAAGTTATTGCGATGTCAATTAGAGAGGATCCGACAATCAGAGATGACTAGGTTCACAGAGATGGGGATTGGATTGACTATGAGCTATTCTGGACTTTATCCTTCGAGTGTCTCTGAGGTGGGTGCAATGACGATGGCCAATGGATTGGAATCGAGTAATGGGTTTATGGATTCACAAAGTGTACTTCTTTCAGGAATCTGAATGTCTGAATATTTGGACAGATGGTATTAAGTAATCAATAATGACACGTTAGTGGTTAATAAAAAAAAAAAAAAAAGTGAGACAGGGGTTTGGTTGTTACAGACTAGTTTTACAACCTTTTTTCTTTTTTTTTTTTTTTTTTTTTTTGTACCTATCATGATCCATGATCCATGACAGGCCAGGTTTCAATCTCATTAGTCGTTTTCTAGGGACCAAGGAAAGAGATGATTCGACTTGATTCGGGGGGGGGACAAATGAACGTGCAAACAAGAAGTATGCAGAGTAGAGTTTATCCTTTACACCTACGCTTATACATATGATCTACGAATACGCACTGAGCGGTATTTGGACATGGTAGTGACAGAACTTTTCTTGGTCTGCATGATGAAGAAAAAAAAATAAAAAAAATACGCAATACAAAATGCTAGAAAGGAGATCAATGATGACTGTATGCACACATGCACATGACATGACTACGCAATCATAGTTTTTTTATTTTTATTTCGAACAAAGAGTCGCGTGTTTCAATTTCCCTTCATTGCCACTTTTGGTTTGTTGGGCCCTGTATATGCCCTGTATATGAAGGCGAACTGACCAAATTGTACATGTACATGTAGGACAAGGGGGAGGGGAAGGCGAAAGGAGGAGGGGGGATAGGGTGGAAAAAAATTTTCCAGGGGGGGCAAAGAGGATGCACGCATGCCTATTTGACATAAAAATACCGCTGCAATAGAGTTGTCTTGGCTTTGAATTGGATTTATCTGAGTGTACAATTTTAGCATTAGAGTTTAGTGTGTCTGCATCTGTTTGTGCAACGAAGGGCCTGCATGCTTGTTCCCATTTCAGTTTTTTCTTTTCTTTTTTACCCAGATTATGATCCATTCTTCTCTTTCCCCTTTTTTTCACTCTAAAAACAGAACAATTCACAAACACATGAAAAAAAAAAAAAAAAAAAAAAAAAAGCTGTCTAACAAATTGGACGAGGCAAGAGATGGAAGGAACCAGATCAACAACAACTGAATGATAAGCATCAAGAGGTAACAGATTGAACAATTCGATATTTCGCACGAATGTTGATCGTCATGGTGATGAATCCGACTCTCTAGCATCTTTCCATCAGTTGTACATATGAACAATAATGAACAATTGTGCCTGCTTTTTTTTTTATTCTTTTGCTGTTGTTTTTTTTTTTTTTTTTTTTTTTTTCTTTTGGGCTGGTTTGTACATGTATATACCAAAATCAATTGGAGGACTAGAATGCTACGCTTGTTTAATTTCAGCCAATGATTCATTCGGAGTTGCTCCTCTTTACTCGGGAAAAAAAAAAAAAAAAAAAAAAAAAAGATCACTTTTACAAAAAAGAAGAAAGCATAAGCATCACGTAACTGTCATCTTTGGTATAAAATGTAATAAAGGTTCATGTTTTCTTTACAAGTAGAAAGGAGAAAGCAGTGAGTTCAACAAACAATTGCTTTTCCCTAGAACATTTCTTTTTTTTTTTTTTTTTTTTTTTTTTTTTCCCTAGTGATCATACCTTGGTGGTTATCATCTTCATTTACCCAACAAACAACTCAATTCAAATTACGTGTGTATGGTACAAATATACAATTTTACAATGCACAAGGAGGAACTCTGATTTGAAAAGGAAGTCAACATTCACAGGACAAAGACACACGGGACACATAGGACACAGGACACACAGGGCACAAGATTTGTAAATGGCTATGGTAAGAACATTGGACACATCAGAGTAGAGACAATCCATCCAAACTTTTTTTTTTTTTTTCTTTTGCACATTCTAGAACTCAGTTTACAACCGGATTTCCCCTTTTTTTCATTTTTTTTTCCTCTCCTCGGAGAGATTATAGTTTTTTTCTTTCTTTTTAAACAAACAAATAAGCTCATTCTCTCTTTGTCTGGATTACCAAGGCAAGGATCTTCAGTTAGTGATCACCTCTACGAGTGTATTTTATAATACAGTTTAAATAGCCGAAGAGGATCACTACTGGATCATTCAATGACACAGACATTGAAAAATATCACAAACAATAAGCAACAAAATAATCATAATAATAATAATAAAAAAAAAAAAAAAAAAAAAAAGCTGGAATGCACATCTAGTCAGCTCAACCAAGCTATGCAGATGAATCGGAGGGAATTCAATGCATGGCGACGTAAAACGGCATGGTTTGCACAAACAAATGTTTATACACTTTGGTTTTTGGTTTTTGGTTTTTTTTTTTTTTTTTTCTTTAGACCATGCGACCATGCATCAGCACTTAATTGAATGGGTCCCATATAAAAAGTATATATATATAAGCTTTGTTTGTTTACTTAATGAGCATGGGAAAGGATCAAAGTCTGGGACCGTGGAATGGGAATGTGGAAATGGAGAATAGGTGAATACATAGGAGGTTCTGTAGATACGCGCGGGATAAGATGTTGGAATTGGATCACTGCAAGATGCATAAGATATAAAAGCGTCCATCTTTCATTTAAAAAAAAAAGAATGTGTAATGTTTATAAAATATAGCATAATCCGAGTTTTTTGTTTTTGTTTTGGCATGTTGCACAACCCTTCATTATAATCCCATGAATCTTTCAATGTTGCATCTGTGGCTTCTGTAGAACGGAGGGGGGGAAGGGAACCGGATCTGAGTTTTGCGCCTATACCCCCCCCCCCCCCCCCCCCCGCTTCCCTGTTATCTATTTTTTTCAGCAAGCCTATTTGTAAATTGAAAAGAATGAGCAGTGAATGGACTGTGGTGCATGAGGATTGTGCGCCAAAGACAGAAATGAACCAAACAATTTTGATCCGATCAAAGGTTTATTAAGAATTAGGTGTACAATACATGTACATGTATATTTCATTTGAGGTGGAAAATGTAATAGGTTGGAAATGGCTCAAAGTGTACGAGAGCCGGGTATTTGTGGCCACATTTTTTTTCTTTCTCGCTTTGGTGGGTCTATGAGAAATGAGAAATGAGAAATGAGATTAATATATACATGAATACATGAATGTGTATTAATTCCATCAACTGCCTCTTACTTTCCATCCAAGTTGGAGATGTCCAGCGCGCAACGCCTCTTTAAGATTGGAAGACATGGGATTCTCAGAAAAGAAAGAGAACGAATAACGGGTTCATGGGCCAAGCAACATTAGGATTTTGCTCTGTTGTTGAATTTATTTTTACTGCTTTGCTAATGATTTTCTAGCGGTGCATGAAAAAACCAGATTGACATTCCCGATCCTTCGAGGCTTCTGTAGGTCGCGTTTTTTTTATTTTCCATGTCTCACACATACCTTGAATGATACCGCGGATAATGCAAAAAAATAAAAAAAAAATAAAAAAAGGGCCATCGTGATGTGCCTACATCTGTAGGAGACTCTAAAAATATAAATGTAAAATGTAACCGAACAGTCGATCGAAAGCCCCACCATGCGACATGCGGCCATGAAGACCGAAAAAAAAAAAAAATAAAAAAAAGATCTCGAAATTTCGAAATGCTTATGTCGTAGTGAATCGATATTTTTTTTTTTTTTTTTTTTTTTTTTTTTTGTTTGACAGTGGTCAAGGCATTCGGCCATTTAAAGGTCTTTGCTCTCAAACCACGTCTATCGTTCACTTTGCTTTGCTTTGTTTTTTTTTTTTTTTTTTTTTTTTTGCGTTTGAGAGATGTCATTTATGCTGCTTATGTTTGGCAGATGCATCGATCGCTGTAGAATATGTACATGTATACTGTAATCCTGGTAAAAGATTGTTTGACGTTTTTTTTTTTTTTTTTTTTTAAAGAAAATAACGAGTGTATTTGTCCAGCTAGTGGGAGAGGAGTGGGGAATTGTAACTGAGGATGGTCTTTCATCATCATGGCTCTCGGGGTTGGATTGATAAAAAAAGGATTGTGAGCAATAAGCAAGCAAAGCAAGCCAAGATTACAACAACAGAGGCAACGAACACAACAGAGGGTGGTAAGATTCTCAACATGTTTGGATTTCATTCTCCTCCATTTCCTCCATTGCAAGCACAAGTTACAAGTTCAAGTTACAAGTGCAAGTGCAAGTGCAAGTGCAAGTGCAAGTGCAGGTGCAAGTGCTCTGTTCTGTTAATATTTATAAAATATACATGATATATATTTATTATATTTATAATATAAATAAAATACATGTATATATAAATATATAATAAGCATATGCTCCTTATTCAGTCATGATTCATTCATTCACTCCGCGAATAAGGAGCAGTGAATTTTCCACAATTCCCAATAAAATAAAATAAAAAATAAAAATAAAAATAAAAATAAAAAGTAAAAACGGCCTATTCACCTCGATTATATCGATTTATTATTCTACCACACCAATGGTTTAAATCAGCAAAGCATGGTTCAATGGGGATACCATAAAACCCCGTTTATACTCCCGCGTACATGCACTCCATTCACTCGAACAACGACTGCACAAAGTGGCAACGCATAAACATGTTTATATATATACAAAAGGAGGAGGGGCCTTATTGATCCATACATGACAAAGGTACCCAAGTATCGGTCTGTCTTTGCCTGTCACTTGTCAGCGAGCTGCAGACCATGTTGATGGTAAAATGAGCAACATTGAGCGCCAGACTACGCCTCCAAAACAGACCGAAGACGGATTCAGAGCAGATTCAGAACAGATTCAGAATGGAGGAAAAAAAGGTAAAAAAAAAAAATAATAAAAAAAAAAAAAAAAAAGCGGACCCTGCTTTGACGATGTCTTGTGCCATTGCATGGGTCATACTCGGGAGGAGATGTAGAAATGACTGAGCTGGATTACAAAAGATGATTGACATGGTCTGGGTTGGATAGCATGTCCAAACAGACATCGAGGGGACAATTGGCCTTTGGTGTGTTCCGACTTCCCCTATAACCTTCGATTTATTTATTTATTTATTTTCTTTTTTTTTTTTTCTCTTTTCTTTTTCTTTTTCTTTTCTTTTCTTTTCTTCTTTCCTCACATTCCCCTTCCTCTCTCATCATTCATTAAACCCATTTCCCATCCTCCATCCTTCCTTCCTCTTCCTCATTCTTCTCCTCCTCTCTTCCCTTCATCTTAATTCATACCCTATACCTTGTGAGGAGGTTCATTTCCATATTTTATTTACATATTATTCATATTTACCCTTCTATTTCTTTCTCTGTCCATTTGGTCACAGTCTCCCTCTTCCTTGCATCCAAGTCTTTTAAGAGAGGGTAGCTCGTTCTTTCACCATGGACATTCAAAAGAATAAGGCCACTCTGGCATCGTTCTTGGCTATGGTTCTCGCTGCCTACCCTGCTTCAGCTCAAGTTGAACTTCCTTGTAAGGATCCCCCCCTCCCTTCCCACTTTACCTTCCATTCACTCCTCTCACTTTACTCCCTTCACCTTTTTTCATCTCTATCCTTCACTTCCTCCCACCTTCTTCTTGAGTGTTCTACTCTTGTACATTATGCAGACTCATGTTCTGCCGACCATTCCCTTTTTCCACTTTTACTACGATTATAATGAAAAGGGTCGAGACCGTTATTCTTTTCCGAGCTGACGAAAGAAAGAAAGAAAGAAGAAAAAAAAAAAGGACTATAGACACAGGCACAGGAACAAGAGACAAAAGGGACAATGGCAATAAATACTGATATAAGCCGTTGAAAGTGAATCTATCCAGTTTCATTTCAATTGGTCTAATGAGGCGTTGGGCTACGCACTAAACTTTCCCAAAGAGAAACAGAACAGCATTCACACACGTTTGTGTTTGCATTCTATTCTTGGGGATTGTACACCCTTCGCATGCCATCTTTTTTTTTCCTCTCCTTTATCCTTAGCCCCCCCTTCCCCTCCTCCCCCACATCTCTTATCTCATCATCCATTGGGCACATATACAATGTGCAAGACTATTACCATTTGGACAGGAATAGAATAGGGCAACTTTGTTCTTTTTAGAGTTTTTCTTTTTTCAGGAACGAACTCTTTTCAGTATTATTCAGACATGTTTCACATATTCCTGATTCGCTCGGGTTTCGTGGACTTTTTGGGTTTCTTTACCTCGCCACTTGATCACTCTTTCTGTTTCTGTATCTGTATCTGTATCTGTATCTAGGATATTCAGCACACGTTTTTGTTGAATGGGGAAAGAGGAGGGATTCTTTTTTTTTTTCCTCCCTTCCTATGCTCTTTTTTTTCATCGCTCGGTTGCGCTCTCTTTTTTTGTTTCATACTCCTCCCTTCCATCTACTGTGAAAATGCTCAAATGGCACTTATTATTGTCTCTTTTGGACTAAACTCACTGCTCTCCATCAAATTGGACGCACACAAAAAATAATGGTGCACAATGACAATGTATTTTCGCTCAATAATGCATGGTGCTTACCACATCCATTTATCTTTTTTCAATCTTGAAATGTTCTAGCTGACCCTGTGTCTAGATGGCACCCAGAACCACCACCAGTGCTCCAGCACCCTTGTATTGTCATCGACTCGACCAACAACATGACTTACATGATTGGTTATGACTCCAGGGGTTCCTTGGTATTTTACTTTGTCCAGCAATCGACCTGCGCTGCCAACTGGTCCTCTGTCATCTGGACTTCACTCCCTTATCCTGGAGGTGGCAAGCCCTACCATACTGAGCAGTGCTGGTTGACCGCATCTCGTCATTTTGCTGTGCAATACGAAGGCGGTATCGCTGTTTGGGATCATTGGGCCCGTACCTGGACATACAAGAAAATCCCTTGCGAGTTGACCTACCCTAACAATGCTGCCATGGTCTGGCAGAACACCGAGTCCAAGTTGGATGACATCTTGATCCAATGGCAGGATACCCGCGGTGGCCACTTGACCAGCGTGCAACTGCGAAATGATGATGTTTACTCGTGCGAACAATTGACCACCCCGTATGTTTATCAACTTTTTGTCATTATAGTCCTTTGTTTTCTCAATTGATTACATAACAAAGCCTTGATATTAACTTTTTTCCTTTTCTCTCTTCACCTTTTCCTTTGTAGTAATGTACCCACCGATATGCGTCTTGCTGCTGCTCCCCTGACTGGCAAGACTTTCTTCCTCTTCGGACCCAAGGCTTCGTGCTACTATGACATCAATGCTGCTGATTCTTCCTCAGAACACCCTATTCAGGTCACCAGTGATTGCCATCCTTTGCATCCCCTGAATATCACCGTGCCTCGTGCTACAAATCATGGTGGTTCCATTTGGATTTTTGGCAAGGTAAAAAAAAAAAAAAAAAATCCACACTTTTGCAAAAAGTCTTAAAGGCTCTCTCTACCTTTAAATATAACCAACTAAAATAAACCTTCTTTTTCTCCCCATCTCTTTCTCTGTTTTCATAGAACGATGTCGGCGTTGGTGTCTGGTCCGTCAACACCACAGCTGGACCTCCATACAATATTGTTCCCCGTTCCCAGGGTACGCCCATCAGTGGTGACTTTGCTGTTGCCAACTGCGGTAACGGTATCCTTGTCTACGGAGGTTGTGCCTCTAGAGAAAAGTGCTCTACCAATCTGCGCCCTGGCGAGCCTCTACCACCAGTTATGATCACCCCTCCTACTAGCATCTACGTCCCACCCACTGGCGGTAACGGTGGCGGCGGTGGCGGTATCGGAGGTGGCGGTGGCAGTGGCGGTGGCGGTGGTTCTGGAGGTGGCGGCGGTGGTGGAGATGGTGGCTCCGGCGGCGGAGGAGGAGGAGGAGGAGGAGGAGATGGTGGTTCCGGCGGTGGTGGAGATGGCGGCTCCGGTGGCGGTGGAGGAGGAGGTGACGGTGGCTCTGGCGGTGGCGGCGGCGGAGGAGGAGGAGATGGTGGCTCCGGTGGTGGAGGTGGAGGTGGAGGTGGAGGTGGAGGAGGAGATGGTGGCTCTGGTGGAGGAGATGGCGGCTCTGGTGGCGGTGGTGGCGGAGGAGATGGCGGTTCTGGTGGTGGTGGTGGCGGAGGAGATGGCGGCTCCGGTGGCGGTGGTGGAGGAGGAGGAGGAGGAGGAGGAGATGGTGGCTCCGGTGGCGGTGGCGGAGGCAACGGTGGTGGTGGCAATGGCGGCGGTGGCAACGGTGGTGGTGGCAACGGTGGTGGCAATGGCGGCGGTGGTGGTGGTGATGGCGGATCTTGGATCCCACCAGTACCCCCCGGCTTCCCCACTGGCATTCCATCTGGCGGTCCCACCGTTATTCCTGGCCTCCCTACCACAACTTCTCCTGGTGTCGTCCCCACTGACGGTATCCTTCCTGGAGGTGCCGGTGGCAAGACATCTGGTGGCAAGAACAACACTGGCGCTATCATTGGAGGTATTATCGGTGGCTTGTGTCTCATCTGCTTGATCGCCTTGATGTTCCTCTTCGCCCGTCGTCGCAGAGAACGCCGTAGTAGAGAAGAAAACGCCCATGGTATTCCCCCCGCTGGTCACACCGAGTATAGCTCTGCCCATGGCAGTGGCAGCAACCTCCCTCCCTTGGCACCCATTGGTCCCATTGATCTAGAACGTGGTGAAGATAAGAATCAGCCTGGCGCTCCTACTAATACCAATGCTCATCCCAGTGTACCTTCTGCTGGCGGTGCTTTCCCAGGACCTTCTGGCTCTGGTGCTTCTCCTAACGGTGACCGCAATAATATTGGTGGCATCGCTGCCGGCGTTGTTGCTGGTGGTATTATTGGTGCTGCTGCAAGCCGTCGTTCGAGCGAGGATAGTCGTGAAAAGGTTTCTAATGGTCATGTCGCCCCTGGCGGTCCCTCTGGCGACAAACCAACTGAGACTAGCAGTGGTCGTGGTGGCTTTGTCCCTGTCCCTGTCCCTGTTTCTGGTGGTCCTAATGATGACAACTCTTCAAAGAATCCTTCTGGCCCTAGCGGTGGTTTCGTTCCTGTTCCTGGTGGCCCCTGTGATGACGATTCTAACAACAATCCCTCTGGCCCTAGTGGTGTGGTCCCTGCTCCTGATAACTCTACGACTGAAACCACTACGAACAATTCTGGCGGTGGTCTCAAAGGTACTCTATGGAGCGTTGCTGGTGCCGCTAGCGCTGCCATCTTCGGTAAGAAGAAGAATGACAATGATGAATCGACCACTGTTACTAGCAAGACAACTGTCACGACCAACAAGCATGGCCCCGTCTACACCACGACTGGCACTGGCGGTCGCACTGTGACCACTGAACGCACGGAGACTGGCACTCCTCGCCATGTTTTGACTGGCGTTGCCCCTGACTGCACCACTGTCCGCACTATCACCCAGCGCACCGAGTCAGGTGAAGACATTTTGATCCCTGTTGATGGCCAAGAAGGTGAAGAACGTGAGGTCATTACTGAACGCGATGAGAATGGCAAGATCCGCTATATCATTGGAAGTGTTATTGGAGTTGCTGGCGCCAGTGTTGTTCGACATGTTATCAAGTCCCATAATTCTGATGATGGAGAGAGCACCCGTATCATCCCTGGCGGTACCACCACCATCACCTCCTCGACCCGTATTGTAACTGAGCACACTGAGACTGGAGAGATTCGCTACGTTATCGTTGGTGACTTTAGCGGCAACGCCATTCGTGTCATCACTGAGCGTACCTCCAACGGCGAGATTCGTATGACCCCCACCAACGAGCCTACTGGTGAGTTGCGTCATGTCATCACTGAACGCACCAACACTGGTAGCACCCGATACATTGTTGGCAGCATCATTGCTGGAGGAGTCGCTGGCACCGTTGTTGAGCGCACGCACTCTGGCAGCACCCGTGTTATCCCTGGAACCATTAGCACTGTTACCTCGACTACCCGTATCATTACTGAGCGCACATCCACTGGCGAGATCCGCTATATCATTGTTGGAGGTTTTAGCGGCAATGCCATCCGTATCATCACTGAGCGCACCAGCACTGGAGAACTTCGCATGATCCCCACGAACGATGAGTCTGCTGATATTTATGAGGTCATTAATGAGCGCACCGAGTCTGGCGAGATCCGCTACGTTGTTGGAAATATCATCAACACCACAATTACTCGTGTTATCATGGGACCTCGCATTATGACTGAACGCACCTCGACCAATGAGATCCGCTATGTGATTGTTGATCCATACAACGGCAATGCTATCCGCACGAAGTTTGAACGCAATCAGGAGACTGGTGAATTTGTCCACATCCCTGTCAAGGAGCCTGAGGGTGAGTTGCGCTATGTGAATGAGGAGAGGACCGAGACTGGAGAGATTCGCAAGGTCATTGGTGCTGTCATTACTGGAAACGTTACTACTAACACCCGCACTGTCTCTGGAAATCCCATTCCTGTGGGAAGCTCAACTTCGACCCAGACCCGTATCGTTGCTGAGCGTGATGAGACTGGCGAGACTCGCTACTACCAGATCACTAACGGACCTGATGGCCAGGAAATTCGCACTGTCGTCGAGCGTACTGAAGATGGTAGTTTCCGCATCCCAGGAGGCGCTGTGATCGTCGGAGCCGGAGCTACATTGATTGGAAACGAACACCAGACCACGACCACGACCCGCGTTGTTGGAGGCGGTACCTTGACCCCTGCTGAGCAGGCTGCGAACAAGACCCAGATTACGCTCAAGTTGAGTATCATGCGTTACGAGCGTGCTGATGCCTCGGCAGCTATCCCTAATGCTGAGATCGGTACTGTCTTGTTCTCAAAGTTCAAGAAGGTTGCTGCTGGTGATGTCAATATCGATGACACTCAATACACACATGTTGAGGAAGTCAAGGCTCCTCATGCTCGCCGTACCATCAAGTGGATGAAGGTTGAGACCCACTGGAAGCGTGAGGCCGGTATGCTTCAGCATCTCAAGTCTGATCGCTACATCGCTGACCTTCACACTCTGTACTCGCTCCCTGCGTTTGCTGAATACCGCTATGTCTCCATTTTGGGATCGTTCTCTCGTACCTTGGAGTCCTACATGTTGACTGAGCAGTTGTCTTCGACTCAGATCCGCCAATTGACTGCTTCGCTCTCGGATGCTCTGCGCTGGTGTCATGAGCACCATGTGGTCCACTTGAATGTTCGACCAGCCTCGTTCTACATTGAGGGTGTTCCTGGCAAGGATGCGGTGAACGGCAATGGACAGTTGGTCTGGAAGCTTTGGAACTTTGGTCATGCACGCTTCGTTGGTGAGACTGTGGATACCTCGGTTACGACTGCTACCTATGCTGCACCTGAGATCTTGAACGGACGCAAGAAGGGTGATGGTAATGTGTCGTCTGCAGTGACGATGGATCGCTGGTCTTTGGGATTGATCATCTATGAGCTCCATGCTCGCAAGGCCTACTTCTCCTCCAGCAACTTTGCAGAGTTCCAGTTGACGAACGAGGATGGCAACAAGTTCACTCCTGCCTTGGACGCCATCAAGGAGGACGACGCTCGCAAGGCTGTTCGTGGTCTGTTGGAGGTCGAGCCCGATCACCGTTACACTCACGAGATATTGCGCGATGTCTACTTTGGAAGAGTATAATCATTTTTTAATTTTATAATCACAAAAATACCCACTACAACTACTTTTTTTACTATTGCAAAGAAAAGAAAAAAAAAAAAAAAGAAAAGAAAAGAAAAGAAAAAAGAAAAAGAAAAAGAAAGCACTCATTATACATTTACATTATTGTTTACTTTTTATCTAAAGTGGTATTATCTAGCTTATTTAAAATCATCATTTTTATTAATAAAAAAAAAAAAATAATAAAAAAAAAAAAAAAAAAAAAATAGATCATGCTTGTGGAAGAGTCTTTATATTATTATTCCTTATTTCTTCATTTTTATTTTTCTGGTGGTGGTGGCTCCTGAATGATAGGCATGGTCAATCTGTAAATTGCAGCGCCAATGAATGCTATAGAAAAAAAAAAAAAAAAAAAAAAAAATCAGTTGAGTGCCCAATATTTCTTTGATCAACAAATACAAGGATAAAACATGCCTGTTCCCAAAAGTCCGAGCCCGAGTCGACGAGCCACCAGAGTTTTCGGCAGTTGCTGGGCTTGATAGAAGGAGTAGAGACCTAAACCTCCGAAACCAGCACAGCCGATCACCTTACAGGGCAGACAGTCTGTAGGTAATTGTTGTTGCTGTTGAGTTTGATGAAGTAAAGGAGTTTTCAGATGCGGGTGAAGGTGGGGGCGGTCATGGGGTGAGAACGTTTCGGGTGAACGAGTTGCTTGGTCTACAACTTCAATGTTGCTATGCTTTCTATCGGTTGTAGGCTATAAGGGACATACACATGTATATAAATAAGTATATACTTGAGTATATAGATGCAAAGCGTTTGATGCGACTCTATTTTTTTAAATTTGTTTATTTAGTTAGAGTGGACATTTCAAAGATGAATGAGTACCTCTGATGACATGAGGACTTGGTTTGTCATTGTTCAAGGGAGGAATAGGAAATCAGTAATTAAAAGGGCAGTGATAGTGAAGGCAAGATCGTTGGACTGCTAATCATCCTTTAATTGGTCAGACCATTTGATGATGCTCTGCCTAGATCAGTCGTTGATGTACATGTGCATGTACAGTACAAACGACCTTTTCCTTTCAAGCAGTTCTTTGGCTTTTCGATAGACGCGTATTGTCTGTCAATGGTTCAATGGTTCAATGGTCTTTTGGTTTTTCTTTTTTCTTTCTCCCACGTGGAATATTTTTTGCCACCAAAAAGTATAAATATAAAAAGTTATTCGTTCGTATCTCCATTTCTCAATGTCAAAACATCATCATTCTTGTATTACTTTTATTACTTTTCTTTTTTTTCCTACTTTCCTACTTGTCAATTACTCTGCACAAAGCTACACATCATTGTTTACATCATTTCTTGAAAGTTAAAAAAAAAAAAAAAAAAACACACTCTATTCCACCTCAACGCGTATTTGCTTAAAAAGTTAAACGACAACATTACTCTTTCCACTCATTTCTTAGCTCTTTTGACGTCTTATCACCTCCTGAAACTGGAAGAAAAATAAACAATAAAAAATGACAGGCCAAGAGGTGTCCCTCTTCAATATCCATGGATTCAGCGCGGGCAAGGGCGGCACTCGAAGCTTTAAGGCTGATCATGCTATCCAAACCATTTGGGAGACAGCCCCAGCGATGGGTGATGGTAACGACGATATTACTACCAGTAGTAGTAGCGCCCCATTAAGAGAGGAAAAGGCAAAACAATGTAGGATCTATGTCATGGACTATGTTTCTTTCTGGAAAGGGACCTGTAAGTAAGGAAAAAAAAAAAAAAAAAAAAAAAAAAAAAAAAAAGCTTTTATTTTTGAGAGTCAAGCCTGAACCTTTTTGTTTACTAACGAATTGTTTGTTATTTTTGTCAATAGTAACTCGTAGCCATTGGGAGGCACAGAGACATAGTCGTTGTGAAGACATGGTAAACGGTGATCTGTATGAAAGTCTGACCATAGATGCCTTTAAAGGCATGCCAAAAAAGCAAGGCGACAAATGGGCACTCACCCTTAGTGTCCGATCTGCCAATTTGCTTTCTGACGACTTGGAGGTATGAAAGGAAAAAAAAAGTCATTCTTCTAGTTGTCAAGTTCAATGATTCCTCGATTGCTTTTCTTTTCTTTTTTCTTTCTTCTTCTTCTTCTTCTTCTTTCACTCAGCTCATCATATTCAATATTTTTTTCCCTTTCTCTTAGCTGACTTGGGCTGGATCTACAACCAACACAATCGGAGGAAGGACATCACAGCAGAAGGTAGGACATAATGAGACGATATTAAAAAGGATGAAAAGGATGAAAAGGATGAAAAGGATGAAAATGATGAAAATGATGAAAATGATGAAAAATGATGAAAAATGATGAAAAAGATAGATAAATAACTATCGCTCTATGCTATCCTTTCTATTTTTATTTTATAGACCATCTTAGGAACTATGAATTTGGAGAAGGTTACTCTAGAAGAGTCAAAGAGGGTCCTGCGTCAATGGATCAAAACCACCATTGAAGAACGACGGAAGTTTGAGGTATGGCATCTCTCTTTCTCTCTTTTTTTTTTTTTTTTTTTTTTTTTTTTTCTTCCGAAAACTAAAAATGATGCTACTTGGATGAAAAACATAACCTCGTCCCTCTTCCTCCGCTTTCTTTATTATGTGTTAGCGTTTGAGTGACAGTTTAAAGGAGCATGTTCACGGTTTGGACCGCCAGTATAAGGAGTGTAAAAGCCTATTGGCTGATTTCAAACTGGATAAAAGACGTTCTCAAAGCGACATGATGGAAAAGGTACCAACCAAAATGAAATAAAATATATATATATATATATAAAAAAAAAACAGCTACTATACTAAAATGACATATTTCTTTCTCTTCAAATGGTAAAAAAAAAAAAAAAAAAAAAAAAAAAAAGTTTCGATGCTTAATCAATACCAAGAAAGAAAAGATTGCCCTGCTTCATAAAGATGTAGAGATCCTCGAAAAAGGTAAGCAGGAATGCTTAGGAAATTCCTTCTGCTTTTTGAAAAACGTTACTCATGCTTGGTCTAACCTCGTTATTATCTGGACTTCCTCCTTTTTTTTTTTTTTTTCTTCTTCTTCTTCTTTCTTCTTTTTCCTTTTCCCTCCGCCTTCTAAATATGATAATCTTTAAAGCCCTAAGAGAAGAACGTCGAAAAACAGCAGTACTCGAAGGAAGAAAAGTCGAAGACATCGACGTGGACCTTTCAAAGTTAAAGAAGCAGGAAGAGACTGGGGATGAAAATAGTCAAGGATCAAGCAACGGCAAAGGCACAGGGCGTAGAACGAGCAGTGCCAGAGGCCGTGGCCGTGGACGAGGTCGAGGCAGAGGGAAGGCGTCGGCAACAGAGCTGGGATCGGATGGAGGTTCAGAAATGGGTTCTCAGCATATCAAAGCTGAAAAGGATACTGCAATCAAAGACAGTGGATCTCAGGACCCAGAGCATGGGCACGAGGATCCTGGGCTGCAAGCACTACAGCGGCAGAAATTGCCACATCCTCAGGATGGTTATGGATGGGACAATGATGATGCAGCGGAGGGACGTAGCGGCAAACACAAACAAAACGAACAAACAGAAGACGAACCCTTGGTCCGCAAATCATCGCGTAAAGCTGTGGCAGTATCATCTTTAGTGTCAGTATCCTCGAAGCTGTCAAACGCTGATCAGGAATCTATCAAACATCACTTGGACGACCTTACTGCTGGAGCGCAGCACCTCATCAGTCGAGTGTCAGAAGCTGCGAGCCACGGTTCAACAGGCCCAGCGAAAAATGAGGGCAAAAGTTGTGTTGTTGGCCTATCATCGAGGGCCACATCTTCATCGTCATCGTCTAGCTCCTCCTCACAAGGGCTAGTCATCAAGCGCGAAGAGTCTGACCAGGCCAGTAGATTGTTAATTGGTCAACATGCACAAGTGAAGGTAGCTGTTGAGGGTCAACCATCCGATCCCTATGCTCGGAAGCGTTTAAGAGAGATGGACGACACTAGTGCTCCTGTGCGCGGTGATAACGAAGCCGATAATGGTGTCGTGGCAGTCAAGAAAAGCAGATCAAATAGTCCAGCCCCACCCGATAATCCTGGCCCCAGTAAACAAGGGCGAGGTCGATACCCAGTTGTGTCCATGTAAATGCCAACTACACAAAATTGATCAAAAAAAAAAAAAAAAAAAAAAAAAAAAGTCATTTGGTTATTTTTCTCTATTTTACTGGATCATGCTGACACGTACTATCTGTTTTTTTTTTTTTTTTTTTTTTTTTTTTTTTTTGGACTTGACAATAATTCAGGCGCAAGGCAGGAACCATTAGGAGAACAAGGATTGATAAAGAATCGATAGAGTACACGCAACACGCAACATTGCGATCGATAAGCTCAACAGATAGTACAGGATCTAATGACGAAGCACGACAACGAAATCCATCGAATGGGACTACGAAGGTGCAGAAGGAAAGCATAGTCAAAGCCTCTGCCTCTCTCATCTCTGAAGAGGACCTGTATAGGGAGTTGGAATAAATGAATCTGTTTGGAAAATACACACACTAGAAAGGATAGAGTCACAGCTCTTACCACCAAAGATACACAAACCTGGAATAACAATTAAATATGTTGAACAACCCCACCTTTTTCTTTTCTCTTTTATTTTATTTTATTTTATTTCATGAACATTGTGTAAATAAATCTATGCTGTAAAGAATGCTGTGGTATCGTAATCGTAAGAGAAAAAAAAAAAAAAAAAAAAAAAAATAAAGGTAAACTCCAATTCTATCGATTTTTTTTTTTCTTTTTCTTTTTTTTCTTTTAAATATTTCTATACAGCCTCGCTGTTACCGTTGCCACCTTTAGCGCCCTCCGACTTGATCAACTTTGGGATTTCTAGAATCTCCTTGAAATCTGGTTGATTGTATTCCAGAGCCACTTCTCTGTCTGCTTGTATGACCTTGAATGCAATCTGACGCTGACTCCATTCCACCTCCATGATCGCACCGGGGTTCTTTTGGACTATACAGGAATCTCCAAAATCCCAGGCACCATCCTCATCCTTCATATAGGCCGTATACTTGAGGTATGGAGACTTTGATGTGAACTTGTCTCGGACCACACCCGAGTTCCACCACAGGGGCTGTCCCCTATAGTTGAAATGCAATTGGTTTCCACAGACTCTGTCCATATTGACACCATCACGACGGGTCTGTTGATTCGTTTGGGGGTCAATTGGATTTGTAACTGTCAGGCTCTCGCCCTGAAGATAACGATCAATCTCTTCCTGCGGCAACACCTTCTTATAAGGGATCGCATCGCCCACATTACCAATAACGCCTCCTCGATATCGGATAAACGAATAGCGTTCCTGAATCATCTCGAGTGCAATCCAGAATGACTCTTTATCACCCCAAGTCTTTCTATAAGTCACCTGGTCTCGTTCATGAAGATCGTTGATCTTGCAGATGGCCAACAATCCCAAAAAGTGTCTCGTCTTATCCAGGACCACCACTCCAGATTCCATCTCATGATCGCCCTGACGATTGAACCAGCGAGTCTTGGAAGGATGGTTCGACATTGAAGGCAAGAATGATTCCATCCATACTTTTTTATCCCCTCCTGCACCAGGGAATAATGTGCGGTCATAAAAGAAGACTGTGCCCACTTCCTTGTAGCCTCCGTCCTCAAACAGGACCTCCGGAGGCTCTAAAAAATAAGCATCCGAGTCCATGAGGATGACTTCGCTGAATTTACTGATTAACAACGCAAAGGGCTTGATAGCCCATCCCCCAAGTCGAATCAGTTCGTTATCAATGACGGTTGTGATGTCGATTGTCCTCACGTTCTCATACTTTTCGAACCAGGCTCTATTTTCGGGCGTGAGATCATAATGGCCCGTATAGTAGATCTCGACCGGCAAAGTCGAGTTGACCACCTCTCTCAACACCTTGATAGCCGTCCGCGCAAACTTTGCATGGTAGTTTCCGACACACATGACAATGCCCCGTCCGCCATCCTTGTAAGTCTGGAAGAGATCAAAAGTGGTCTTGTGACGGCTCAAGACCCAAGGAAAAGTCGCTTGCTCCAATTTCTGTAGGAATTCAATTGCTGGTGCAATCTCTGAAGGCGGTGCATTATAGAATTGATCCTGTTGACCCTCTTGTGATAGCTGATCATAGTAAGCCTTCATAGCATGCCATAATGCCCTAAAGACCCTCAGACGTTTAGTCAATGTTAAGAAATGGTTATCTTTGAGGATCCAATTCTTGTTTTCGTTTTCGGCCGAAGGCGGTTGAAAAGGTGATTCGGTCAGGTATTGCACAACTCGCTGTCCTTCAGGTGTTCGTAATGCTGCGGTATCGCCCTTTGTCCAAGGCTTAATATCCTTGGGGTCAAACGTGGCAATGTGATGAGTATAGTATATATCATGTTCTGCGCCCTCATGTGGTACAGACTGGACCTGACCATCCTCATCAATTGAAAAATCAAAAGAGCCATGGTAACGAGACACAGATGCAAGAACAAAGAAGACGGCCAAGATGGCGATGATGCGCAAGGCTTGAGCCCTTCGCAAGGAAGAGGGAATGGCAGAACCAATCTGCATGAGGAAGAATGGAGGGGAGAGAAAGATAGTGTGTGTGAGTGTGAGTGAGTGAGAAAAAGGAAGAAAGAGTATCAGACACTTTCGGTGGCTGGAACTAGAGAGATAGTGAAGTTGAAAAAGAAGAAAAGATGAGAAAGGAAAAAAAAAAAAAAAAAAGAAATGAACGATGTGCGGAGTATTGTATGGCGATGAAACAAAAAATATTATTAGTAGAAATGTGATGGGTTTGTGGGCTGTGGTTTGGGCAATGCCGCCCAACGGCCCAATGTCGATTGGTCACAAATTCCAAATTCCAGGAACACAGTCTCAGGAAAGTTAAATTTGATCAATTTGCTACATCTATCCATCACACCCATACCCTATACCTTTATCAACTCGTTTTCACATCCTCACAAACGACCTCTCTAATATATTTTCTTTACCGTCGATTTATCCTTCAGGTCCAAATCCACTGTCTACACCATTCAACCGCTTGGTTCATTTTATCTTCTTGACTATACGTCTCCTTTTACGTATTGATGTCAAATTCAAGGATTTGGACTACATAGCAAAGCAGTACGACTTTTTTTTTTTTTTTTTTTTTTTGTTTTTGTTTTTGTTTTGTTCTTCAGCGTTTATGTAGAATCATATCTAATCGCGCATACCGCTACGTCGCTCTCTCTCCCGCCGTTCCCGCTCCCGTGCACTACTACTGATCAGCCCTGTGATAGGTAGATCCATAGCAGCCGGCCCTTCCTTCGACTCATTTCTTCCGAATCCGCTGCTTCCGCCATATGAACCCATGTCATCATCCCGATCTTCATCTTCATCGTCATCACGGCCATAGCCACGACGTCCGTTATAGCTACTTCGAGTATTGCTATTGTTACTACGGCTGTTGTTCCTATCGTAACCCCGCGACGTGTCCACTGTCGCAGAAGCTACTGGTGCTCGTGCTTTGAAGGAGATAATCTCCTCTTCTTGACCAAAGTTGCTCCCATCACCACTATTCCTTGATTTCGCACTAGAAGAGATACCTGATTTCTTCCTTTCATATTCGCGCTGAGAGTTGCCCCGTCTTGACGTTGACGTAATTGATGAAGCTCTAGATGAGGACTCGTGTGCTTGCCGTCCTTGTTGCTGCTGCTGTTCAGAATCAGATTCATGATCCTTTTGGTGGTAATTGCTATTACTACCACGGTCCGATAAATCATTGCGTTCAGAATGATGACGATGGGATGATGATCCTCCGCGACGATCTCTATCATCCCCACCATTACGTCGCTCATCCCTCCAGTCATTTCGCTTGTCATCACGTCTATTATCCCTATCCTTCTCATATCGTGATGACCGCGAGCGATCGTCGTTTCTGTCACGACTACTATCTTTACGACGAGAATCTCGATCTCGCTCACGATCTCGCTCTCGCTCTTTGCTCTCCTTATCATAATCACGATCACGTCCGCGATCACGTTCTCGGTCACGAGCACGATCTCTTTCTTTTTCTTTTTCTTTTTCTCTCTCTCTATCTCTGTCTCGCTCTTTCTCTCTATCTCTACCACTGTCTCGGTCTCGGTCTCGGTCTCGGTCTCGGTCTCGGTCTCGGTCAGACCTACTTCTGCTCTCTCGCCTATCTCGCTGACGGCTATAATCGTGGTCACTGCTGCTGTGCTCCATCTTATCGCTCCTAGCCCTACTTCCAGATCTGTTCCTGATCCTGTCCGCAAGTGGAGCTCTTGGTGGAGACTCTGATCCTCTACCTGAAGAGCCACGGCCATCTGGTCCGGCGCGTGGCCCTGTAGGGATGTCTTCTTCTTCATCAAATGATAATCTAACCAATTTGATGGAAAAGATGGGTATTGCTCCAATAGTTAGTTTAAGAAAACCAATAATAATAATAATAATAATAATAATAATAATAATAATAATAATAATAATAATAATAATAATAATAATAATAATAATAATAATAATAATAATAATAATAATAATAAAAGAAAGGGAAAAAGCACAAAAGGATAAAAAAAGATTGAAATCGCATACCTTCTTGATGCACGAGGCCCAGTAGGGACTTTACTCATGTCGATGTCATCATCATCATATCGCCCGTTTCCACTTGAGACAGAGTTACGGTGTGTGCTCGGAGGCACACTATTCCGGTTTTGCGAAACCTCAACGGACGCTGATCGCCTTGATGGCCCGTTGCTTTCGTTGGTTTGTTTCGCGTTCAGAGTACTTTCTGGCTTTCCAACAGCACTATTACTACCACTAACAGCTCCACCCGTACGTTGAGGCCCTTGATTAAAATGCTGTTGTTGATGCTGGTGCTGCTGTTGTTGTTGTCCTGGCCCTCTGGCATTGTTACCATGATCCTGCCAGTTTCCACGACCACGACCACGGCCAGCACTAGGCCCATCACTAAACCCAATCCGTGGCGGAGGGAGTCCAGGCCCCATAGGCGGTAGCCCTGGCATACCACGGCCCATTCCCCACATTTCCGGCCCTCCTTGCATTCCTGGCAACCCTGGTGCCCCTTGACCACCTGGTCCTTGCATTCCTCCAAATTCTCCAAATGGAGGTATGAACCCAGGTACCATATAAGGAGGCATTCCTCCGTTTGCAAGGAACGTTGGATCCATAAATAATGTAGGATCTTGTTGCCGCATCAACTCTACAGTGGCGACATGAGCATGAAGCATAATATATCACAAATATGTATTTTAGGCACAACAAAATAAGGATTTTACATGCTTGATAAAGCTTAAAAGGAATCATCATCTTTACATCCCAAACTATCTCCTGATAATGTTAAAAAAAATAAAAAATAAAAAATAAAGAAAAAAAGTAAGTGTAAGCAATATCTTACTTACCGAAAAAGTCTGGAGGTACTCCTTCAGGAAACATCATCGCTAAATCCATAGGCGGCATCATGTGTCCTAATGGCCCTATTCCAGGTCCTTGCATCGGCATTCGATTTCTGTTAAAAATTTGACTCTGATGGTTGAAAGGGCCGTTGTTGAGGCTGTTGTTGTTATGATGCTTTTTATTCTTCCAAGATTGATGATCTCTATTATGATCGCCTCCGCTAGTCGAGGCTCCCTGATTATCATTCGATAACTTCCTCTTCTGACCAACTTCAGCTATCTCTCCTCCTCCTCCTCCTCCTCCTCCTCCTCCTCCTCCTCCTCCTCCTCCACTACCACTTCCTCCTATATCCCCCATAGAAACATCGTTATCTCCAACCGGCTTTTGCCCTGCAGAGCTACTTTGAACCTGAGAAGACGGTCCTTGTCCTGAACCAGGCCCTTCGGCTTCAGGAATAGGCGTACTGCCCCTTGAGTTTACTAAAGCATTGTCTCTACCACCCTCCATACCACGGTTCTTTGCCCAATCACGTAAATGCTGATCCACACGCTGTCGAAGATCTGCATTTGGGATGAGCTGATCTGGAACCAAAGGCTGTTTACAAGATTGACAATGAAAAGGCTCTTCACCTTTGGGAGGTTGCATTAAGTAGTCTCGAATACCTAATAGGATTTAATAAAAAATACAAAGTTAGCTCGTATTCATCCACTTTAACGGGTTCACAAAGAGATATTCAAAATATTTCACCTACATTCATCACAGAAGTTGGTACTACAACATGGAGCACGAACCGCGCTTTTCAAAAGTAGATGACAAATCGGGCACTTCATATCGTCTGGCACCGGTGCGGTCGCATAGGCTTCTTCAGATGTCAAAGAGCCCTTTGATTTCTCATGAAACTTTTTCCACTCGTAGCTACATAATGAAAATAAAAAACCAGTTAAGTCTAGTGAACGATTCTTTATTGATAATAATAATAATAATAATAATAATAATAATAATAATAATAATAATAATAATAATAATAATAGCCAAAATAATGGCCATAATAATAGCCATAATAATAGTAAAAGAAAAAAGAAAAAAGAAAAAGGATTACTTACTCATTAGTAGTTGCGACGACGAGGTTTCCATCCTGCGTGACCATGACTCCTTTTTTGCTCTGAACGCCATCACCTTCCACAGTTTTCAAAAATGATCTTGGGATCCCCGTTGTTTTCTTGATACCCATTGGTTGGAATGATTTGTCGTTATTGGTAGGGCAGAATTGAATCCAATGCTCGCCCTTCTTACCACATCTATAACAAACAAAAGTACTAGGGGGAGGCCGTTGTTGCATCTCCATGGGCTGCCGTTGCGGATATCCTGAAAAAGAAGTCCCTCCAACTCCAGCAGGTCCACTAGGTTTTTGTCCTCCTGGAGGTGGATTCCGTGTGGCTCCTTGAAACTTAGGTAATGGTCGGTAAGTGGCACTAAATTAAGATAATTTCCCAGAATAAAAAAGCGCATGTCAGTTAACATGTCGCGAAGCAAATTTTTTTTTTTTTTTTTTTTTTTTTTTTTGAGATTTGAAATATGGGTTTAAAAAAAAAAAAAAAAAAGTTCTACCTCGCCATTCCTTCCTGAGTTTTGTCCCAATAAGACGCAGACTGTGCAAAGACAAATTTCATGCGTTCTTCCTCTGTCATATTATCTGTGATACCAGCTGGGGCAGATGCACCTTCTTCTGCTACAAGCGATGTAGTGTTTTTATAGATCTAGGATTATGAAAAACAAAGTGAAATAAAAAGACCAATATCATGTGAATATCGAAAAAAAAAAAAAAAAAAAAAAAAAAGAATACATTGAGTCAACGATTGACCGTCTTCCTTTAGGCGTAGGATCAGTTTACCTTATTTCCACCCCCCATGGATTCCTGGTGACTATTCTGGCTCTGTTTCTCAAATACATTCCTAGTCATGCCTCCTCCTCGAGGAATTGGTCCTGAGCCTTCAAGATATCGTTGCGCACCACCTCGTCCTGGCTTAGCAGGTACACGCGCCACTAAGACTGATGTGTTTCTTGGGATCAGTGTAGCGTCATCATAGTATTCTATCAATCATGATCCATCAGGCAAAAGCGTTATTTTGTAAGATACTATCAGACTAGAAGAATAAAAAGAAGCTAGGAATTGTGTGTGGTACCATACTATTCTACCACAGAACTATACCAAACAAAAGCATGAAGAAGAGAGAGAGGATAGAAACTTATACACTTATTATGAGAAAAGGTATTCATCTTTTCTTTTTTTTTTTTTTCCCTTCTTTTTCTTTTTTTCTTCTTTGTCTTTCTTTTATTATCTTTTTTTGTGATCATGTAATCAATAGCCAAAGAAAACAACCTCAAACAACAACAGCTGGACTTATTATTACCCTCTCCTGATTCTGCATGCGTTAGCTGTAAATCATCTGGTCCCTTGAGACCCTTCGCGATGAGAATCTCCTTTTTGAGATCAAACACCGAAATGGAATGTCCATCAAATGTTACAGAGTCATAGTCCTTGGAGGACTTGAATTTGTAATGAACTTGAGACATGTCGCGCGTCACCAAGGAAAATGAAACGCGGCCTTATACACAATCGTCCTGAGTCGTAAAAGTATAGGAAGAGGAGAGGAAGGGAAGGTGGAAGGTGGAGTGGGTTACTCCCAGAGTTCAATATCGAGATTATAAACTTGATCCTGCTTCTAACTTGCAAACGTGATTAGTGATAGTTATTTTCAAGGTGCGAGTAATTTAATGTCCTGTAGGCTCAACGATGAGAATAAAAAGGAACGGAACGAGGCATGTAATAAATAGCTTGTTTTCGAGGAGGGAGGGATGGTCGAAGGATGAAAAATTAAATGAAATACATGCATTTGTCGCATGTCCCTAATTCAGTGGCTTGTAAAGTCCTGTTACGGTTCTTTGTTTCGAATGAAGCACGTAAAAGTGAACAACGGGTCCCATGCCCACTGCTTCAAAGCCCAAAAATAAAAAAAAAAATAAAAAATCAGCGTTAGTTACTGTCGCCAACCTCGACAAGATGAAAAAGAGTGATCTTGTTAGGAGGATGGAGCATGAACATCCATTACTGGTGTTGACAACCGGCTCTCTTAACGTTAACCTCGGCTGTGCACTTGAAGGAAACGATGCCGAGATATCAGCTGCAATTGAGGGCGTTCGTGACGTTGTGCGTCTTGCTGTCCAGATAAAAGAGAAAAGGGCAAGGGCTGCTTGGCCAATATATAGAAGAAGTTACCTCGCGCTCTTTGATCGAGAAACCTTAGACTGTATCATCTGCCCTCGCATTTCACATGTTGAGCATGTTCCTCCAGACCCTCCCACTCTGATTTTTATCAGCACGGCCGATTCCGAATCACTCCCGGCCTCACCTTTGGCTCAGTCTGTAGCCACTAAGCTTCTCGGAGATGAAAAGAGATTTTAAGTATGTTAAAAGCCTACACATACTCGCATACTGCCAACCTGCAACTTCCCACTAAAGGTAATCCACATATTATTTATATAGGCCGAGGTTCATAGAAACGAAGGTGACATACCAAGGCTTGAGAGTACACCGCAGCGGCACTTCCATTTTTATTCATAAGGTCAGAATATTGTGTGACGGTCATGGTGGGATCTTAATAAGAGGCTCCCCTCCTGACCTGGCAACAATAAGAAAAACGGCTTTTGATCCTCCAACCTACAGCTGCAAAACATCTCACCCCCTCCCACCCCGTTATTAATTGACATCGATGAGTACAGTAGTGCTATTGAAAACTTTATACGGTTGAACGATATTACGAAAAGTAGTCGCATCAAAATGCCACCTAGTCCATCTAGACATGGTTTCGTAAGTATCTCAGAGATCACCCTCTTGCAACTGCTGTTACTCAACGAGGCTTTGAGGGAATGTGCTCCAGAAAACTAGGCTATCCCTCCAAATCCTCAACAACAGATCTCGCTACCTGGTATGGAGACAAAGAAGCACCAAGAGCGTTTGTCGCGATGCTAATATCAAATATTGAAAGAAATACGCCCAAGAAAGTCCGCAGAGGATTAAAGGACAAGACGCGTATGATGAATGCCAAGAAATTGAAACACTGCGTCAATTTTCAAGTAATAATCTTGGTCCAAACCACTACGACGAAAGCGGATACGTGTTAAGAGTCAAAGGGAAAGGAAGGAAAAGAGAGAGCGATACCAAGAGTGCTACTGAAAAGGACCAAGGGAAGCATGGTTGCTAAATATATATAGTAACCTAAGATTAATTAATATACCCATGGCTTCAAGCGAGTCGCAGCATGGTTGCCATTCCAGTTGGTATCATCTTGTCGAGTTCTAAAAAAAGTCACATTCTAAATATTAAATTTTAACGCGACCGTTGCAGTTGTTTGAGAGAAAGGCATCATCTCTTTTCTTTCACACACCAAAACACATCTCCCCCACTCAACCCATTCACTCAATAGGCTCATCCAGTAAAACTACAACATGATTCTTTTGGACTACCACAATCGCATCATTGAGGACACCCTCAAGACGCGTTTCAATCCGTAAGTGGATTCACATGCACACACAAACACTCATTCATACATACTCGCTCTCCTCGGCTGTTCAAGTGGTGACGTGACTGGCCACAAGGTCTTCCCTTGTCTTGGACGACACGAGATGAATGAGGCCAACAATGCGCTACAATACAACCATGTAGACAATAATGATCTAAAACCGTACTCCCTCTCTCTTATTTCGAGAAATGTTAAAAATGTAGTGAGAACAAACCCAAGCCAGTTGACATGAACATTGTAGATTTTGATGGAGTTGCCTACCACCTCTCAACTCTGGATGGCCAAGACACAAAGCTACTCTTGTCTATTCGCTGGTCATGCTGGAAAGAGCTTATCCAGTATGGCGCCATGGATGTCCTGAGGCGTGAATACAGTCAATGGATCGTGGACCCCGAACAAGGGTTCGATTTTACTCTCCAATTTGACCTCGAGAACATTGGTGGCGAGCCAGGTAGAATTTCGTTTTGATTAAAAAAAAAAAAAAAAAAAAAAAAAAGTTATCAGTTTATTTGGAGCAGTTGTTCATTTCACTAACTATACTTTATCTATATGTATACTTTTTGCTTTCAAGAGGATGTGATCCGCAAGGTCTCGCTATTGAAGCGTAATGCTATGGCAGCGCCTTTTGAACGAGCATTCGACGCACAGGCATTGGCGGAGAAGGAGGACACGTGGGACCCTTCGACTTCACAGTTGATGACGATCCATTATCGTGAAGGCGAGGCTATATATGTACAGAACCAACAAGACAGAGTCACTGTTATTTTTTCGACATTGTTCAAGGAAGAAACGGATCGTATTTTCGCCAAAGTCTTCTTGCAGGTGAGAATATCTCAAGCTCTCTATAATTCAATAGCAACCTCAAGCTCCATCTTGCTGATTTAATATATTTTGATATTTGCGCAATGATTTTCCCCTAATAGGAATTCGTCGATGCTAGAAAGAAGCCTCATCTTCAAAATGCGCCTCAGGTGATTTATTCTCATCGTGAACCACCATTGGAAATCCGTCATGTTCCTGGGCTTTTGGACTCTGAGAGTATGGGCTATATTACATTTGGTAAAGCTTCACATTCACGAAGACATATGATGAATGTACACATCAAATACGTTTCTTGCCACAGTCTGACAATTTTTCAATCCTTTAATTTTTCAAAAAAAAAAAAAAAAAAAAAAAAAAGTTCTTTTCCCTCGTAATTACGCTGCTGGTGCGGTGCGTGAGGAGACTATTTCCAGGATTCAGATCTTCCGTGACTACCTCCATTATCATATCAAATGCTCAAAGGCTTACATGCACTCTCGTATGCGTGCCCGCGTCTCGGACTTCCTTAAGGTCCTTAACCGTGCCAAACCTGAGGTTCAAGCAGCGGAGAGAAAGTTGGCCAGTGGAAGGGCCTTCCGTCGCGTTTAATGGAGCTGGATAGGGCTATTTACTTTTTGTCAATACTTGTTACAGGAAAGTAGAATAAGGAAAGAGAAGACCATCAAAAGGGATCAATATTAAGAATAACTGACGATGGACAATATGGCCAAAGCATATGAATGCACATGGTAAACCTAAGTAAGATGAAGCAATACCTATGTCCTTCGAAGATACCATGGACAATAAAAGACAATCAAAAATAAACATGGATAAATAAATAAATGATCCAGATGAGCGATCATGTTTGGCGAAAGCTCGATAGTTCTCTTGTTCCAAGTTTTTGATTAACCTAAAAAAAAAACTTTATGCCATTCATTCACCCAATTTGTCAGTGGCCAGTGACTGCCAAATACAAGTTTTTTTGATCTTTACAATCCCTCCGGCGTAAACAAGGCCTCCTCTTCGTGTTGCATCGCACTCACATTCATTTTTACACAACAACTACACAATTAACCATGAGTTCTGTTTCAAGGATAATCTCGACTCTCCGCTGCAATATCACATTTCCTGTAAGGGCATATTCTACATCAGTAGCAACAACAGAATCTGTCCCAGCAGCAACAACAGGACATTACAAGGTCACACAAACCCGTTCGACGATCGGCGTACCAAAGTCTACTATTAAAGGTATACGGTACTCTTTTTTGAATCCTCTTTTCGACTTTTTGCTAATATGATAGGATCTAAAAGAAAAAGAAAAAGAAAAAGAAAAAGAAAAAACGACCAGAAAACAAAAAACAAGTGAAGACATATCATGGAAGCAAAGGCAGGCGAGATCACAGTTTTTTGGTCAGCACAAAATAATAATAATAATATTCCTCTCTGTGGTCCTGAAAAAAAAAAAAAAAAAAAAAAAAAATATTGATTACTCAAAAGAGCGCAGCAACAAACCCCCAGCAGTTTTATATAAACTTCTCTAACAAGCTGGATGGGACCATCTTCTCCCTCGTTCTCAAACATCATATTATTATTATACATATATAAATATTCAGGATGAAAAAAAAAAACTGCATCTTTAAAATAACGGATGATGTTCGAAAAGGTCCTTTGGCTCCAGAATATTGACACGCCTTTTATATATATATATATATTTCATATTCGACATTTTTAGTACTTAAATCGCTTGGACTTGGTCGTAGGATTGGTCGTCCAGTTTTTCAACCTCATGAACCCAGCGCTGCAGGAAAGATTTTGAAGGTCAAAGAATTAGTCAAAGTCGAGAACGTACCCGGTCCAATCCCTGCAGAAGGATACAAGCGTACCCGCGCCAATAATGGCTACAAAGTCATTGGAAAGATGCTTTAGAAGATAACATGGATATGAGTTGTTGGATAGGATGAAATGTGATCGACTCATTCAGACTTGAATAACAATAAAGGCAACAGCAACCACAGCAAAAACAACAGTAAAAAAAAAAAAAAAAAAAAAAAAAATTGGAGGAGCTTTTTTGCTCATTTAGAAGAGGATGGACATCAACATAAAATATTGATCGAAACAGAGTTCATGTGCCAGGCTTGGGTTCCTTTAACAGGGTCTTGCACAGGACGTCTCTGGAAGTCAACAAACCTATTTCAGGGCATGCACACAAATGCTACGAAGCTTGAGTGTATTTAGTTTTATTTTTATTTTATTTTTTTTGTGAACGAAAAAATGTATGCAACGATCATTTGAAAGCAATATTGCAGAGGGCAGAGAAAAAAGAAAAAAGCAAGACAGGTTGGGTATCTGGGGATCATTAACCAATCAATTAATCAATGGGGGGAAAAAAAACCCCCCTTGTTTTGCTTATTCACAAGAGTGATTGCTGCTCTTGTAGACCACCATGATTAGGACTACGCTGATCTCGGTTGTTACTATCATCATTCCTGTCCGTTCTTTCATCATCTGTATCTACCTCAAACATGATGTCCTTCTTTGTAGAGCTCTTAGATGTATCCTTGTTTACAGTGTTTCCTATTTCTGGCGGTGAAGACGCTGTTGCTGTTGTACGTTGTATCTCGTCATCCTCATCCTCCAATACAAATTCATCATGTTCCCGGTCTTCATCTGCTTCTGCTACTAAACCGTTTGAGGGCTTCTTGGGTCTCGAACCTGCTTCTCCATGCTCACTACCTGCTTGGCCGCGCTCAACCTCATCCAAGTCTACCATTGCCAAACCGACATAATCACCGCCTCCTGTGCGACCTCCGCTGGATGTCGCTGCACGCCGTTGACCGTCTGTGAATCGGCCGTCCAGTGGATTAGATCCTATGCCACCATCTTCAAAGATAGCGCCCGTCAGCACCGCTTCATCGTATGCTACCTTCCATGCAAGATACAGTAGTCGCAACAAAATAGTCAAGAAAGGGCCATTGTACAGCATGATGTCAACCAAAATTTCCAGTGGAATCAGAATCTCTTTTGTATCCTTGTGAACATTGCAGAGCTCCAGCAACATGTAGCGTACTGGGATATACAAGATGCACAAATACCACTATAAAAAGAAATAAATAAATAAATAAAATAAAAAATCAATAACTATCCAAAATGTAATATCGCTTGTTAACAATTTGTTAAAACATTACCTTGTACGCCCAGAGGTCGCGTGGAAACTTTCCAAAAAAGACTACACCACTCTGCGCAGGCCGCGTCACGACATGGAATAAAAAGATCATGCCGATCGCATACCAAATCTGACTGGTTAACCACCGTACTGCATTCGAAGCCAAGCCAAAGAATTGCGAGGGCTCTTTCCATCCACGTAACATATATAGTATATTGGAAGTTAGTGTTAGGGCTGTCGCTGCAATACATACGCCTCCCATAACCTGATAGTTCTTGGCAACCGGTGCAGGCAAGAGGGCTACAATGATAAAACAGTAATAATAAGGGAGTGAGTCGTCATATTTATGTGCTCCAGACCCCAGCGGGCCATTGCGTTTGACTTGATCTCAATCTGAAGATTTGTTGGTAGGCTATTGTTGTTATTGTTGTTGTCCGCCATTTATTTCGTCAACGATAGTTTTTTTTTTTTTAAAAAAAATGAAACTCACCTTTGGCAATGGATTCATTTGTAATATGCAATCTGCCACTATTTTTATTACAAAAGGAGAATGTCAACCAAAAGAATTTTCTCACATACATTGTTGGGTGGATTTTTTTTTTTTTATTTCAACTTCAAAGCTTTTTCTCACCTCTTGCGTCGACAATAGAAGAAAAGACCGGCCATGACCAGAATGTCAAAGATAGGCCCTAATATAGATGAGATCTGATGGACAAAAAGAAACAGAGTATTCAGTATCATTGGGCAGAAAAGAAAAAAAAAAAAAAAAAAAAAAAAAGATCTTGGTTACGAAGGAAGAAATTTGCAAAAGTTCAAATCAATGGAAATGATAAAGAATGCGTAATGGATGGTATAAATGTACTACTTACAAGGCACCCTTTACAGAACAAAAAGCAGAGAACGGGAGCGAAAAGATGTAATCGATATTAGCCATTTTGTATTGCACAAAGGATTGTGCTTGTCCGACAAAAAAAAAAAAAAAATGACATGTTGTAATATGAACATGAGATAAATTGACAGTGTAGAAAGTATAGAATAATAAACCTCCAACTGAACATACAAATAACATAACCAATGATCTCCAAGCGACCCATGCGCATTCGCAACAAGACTTGACTCTCCATGATCAACACGCCAATGCCAAGGAGCATACTGGCGATGCTAACATAACTCCGCCAGTCATCAAAGTATGGCTTAAGAAAGGTGATGATTGCATGAATATGCCTAGACCAATCGTCATATGGTGAATCGGAATCCATGGTTTATTGCGTTGTTGTGCGTGTATGTGTATGTGCTGTATTGAAAAAAGGAACAAGGACAGGAGCTGCAACAAAGCTTTTTTTTTTTTTTTTTTTTTTTCTTTATCTCTCTCTCTTTCTTTATTTCTTTGCAATAAAAAGTATACAAGAAAAGGAAGAAAAGGAATGAAAGAAAAGAAAAGAAAAGAAAATGAATAAATGGGTTGTGGTCAGCAGAGGCGCAGAGGCTTGCTTCATGACACAATGATTTGAATCAAACCTCACCTGCCATATCCGGATTAGGACTAAATTGTAAAGGGTCGCGTAAAACTTTTATGTTGCCACCTTATCTGATTCCTAATGTTCTTAATAAAGAATAGTTAGTGCCTCTTATTGCCAGTCCGGTTGCATCTGGCAATGCTTCTCAGCCTGGCTTGCGGTTTGATATATTAGTTTTACATCATGTAGCCATGAAGAAAGAGGCTGTCTGGTCTCTCTACACCAATCTCTTTTCGTGACTGAATCCCTAGCTACAGCATTAATGTCATCACGTCTTTAGGAAAGCAGGTTGATAGAGGTAAACATAAGTAAGGTATATTAAAGCGGCTCATTTGCCTTTGTTCTATAGTAGTCTCACCAATCGTTACATGAAATCATCCAAAATCTATCAAAGACCTACCAACAACATCCCCCTTCATCATCCTATCCCCGATCTTTTTTTTTTTTTTTTTTTTTCCTCTATGAAGATTCACTACACTTCATAAAACCAGCAATAGCCAGCTCCTTATCCCTGAGCGAATCACTAAAGAACAAATGAGACTCCCCCATGAAAAGGTCCACCCTGAAAGCATTCGGAATCAAACAATCCATCGAGGCATCTTCTATGTTGGTGATTCGACCGCCTAGTTTCATTTCCGAAATTGGGAGCCTATCTAGCTCATCTCGGTAAAAAGATATGACTTGACCTCTCATCACGTAAAATCGACGTTTCCAACATGGTGAACCATGGCTTTGGATAGTGATAAAGCCTGAAAGCCCTGATCCACGGAGCCTTTCCATCTCGATCAGTTGCTTCTTCATCGCCTCACGCGAAACTCTGTCGGCCTCTTCTTTACGCCTCCGTTCAAGCTCCTCGGCTTGCTTCTGAGCCAGCAACTCTTGCTCCCGAGCCTCGCGCTCTTGGGTCTCACGCTGACGCTTTATAATCTCGGCCTGTTTCTGACGCTCCGTGTCCTCACGGACTTTGCGCTCTGCAGCCTCGATCTCAAGTTGACGCTCTGTCCGGGGTGTGGACACGCCAGAGCGGGGAGACTCTGTCCGTGCAGGGCTTGAGATCTCTGGTGGGATGGTGGCGCTGTCGTTGTTGTCGTTGTCATCGTTGTCATCGTTGTCGTCGTTGTCGTCGTTGTCGTCGTTGTCATTCGAGGAAGAAAGGGGAGAGCTGGGTGTGACAGGGCGGGGTGCTACCAGAGGAATGGTAGGAGTAGGGGACGGTGCGATCACTGGGGAACCCGAAGACTCTGGCGTAAGGGAACCACCATTCCCGGGTAACCCTAGACGAGCCCTTAATTTATCCTCTGCCAGGTCAGCAAGATTTGCGGAATTGATCTGAACATGGGCTTCCTTGAAAAGTGCTCCTACAGCCTTGCCATGGACCAAAGCACGGGCTTCATATCATGAGATGAATGATATTGCATTAAGTTAAATTGAATTTCAGCTCTAATTCATTTTTAAATGAAAACAAAAGCCGAACATTACTTACCACGGCGAAGCCCACTAACGAAGATTGTTCACGATTATATATGAATATAATTGAATAAATCGGATGAGTTTCTTGGTATTTTTTTTTTTCTTTTTTTTATTTTTTCATTACTTGGTATTCCATGTCTTAAAACCATTACCTGACTTGTTCAGAGACATAAGCGAGAATCACGAAACGGTCCTCAATGCGTACAAAACCATAAAGAACTTCCTCCTTCAGATTGGATTTGAGTTCTTCTAAACCTCCTGTACCTTTACAATACAAAGAAATTTTATCCCGCGTATCATGGTATCCAAGGATAAGCCTGGGTCAAAAAAAAAAAAAAAAAAAAAGTTTACAAAAAGCTTGAGTCATAAAGTCAACTCCTTTATCTCAATATCAATGGCATGCAAATGGAACTCCTTCTTCTCCTTTTGTTACCATTCCCATTCTTATTCTTATTCTTGTTATTATTTAGAAATACTCCTCATTTTACCAGTTAGTTGGAGTGCCAGCGATGATGGCTTGATATGCCTCTGAAATGGCTGGATCAGTCAGGTCGCACGACATTGTTATTCAGGAACAAAAACTTGTAAAAAAAAGAAAAGAAAAGGTCAATTGCTTAAAAGTATTGAAGGTTATATATTTTTCCTAGACCAAGGAATGCGATTAATGAGGGAAATAGTTGGGACAGTTGTAACACTTTAACTTACTTTGACTAGGGGTGTATGATAAGTCTATTGGGTCTTGAAAAGGACAAAAAAGAAAATAAAATAAAAAAAAATAAAAAAGTTGAAAGAATGAAACGGATGGAAATGAAGACACAAAAAAAGAAAAATAGAATGGGAAACTGGGAATTATGGAATGAGATTCAAATGAGTGGCATTTGATTGTCGTTTTTTTTTTTTTTTTTTTCTTTATAACATTATATTGTATATATTAGTTGTAGTTGATGTCGATGCACTAGCATCTTTCTTACGTGCTTAGTCTAGATGGGACTCATCAAGTGAGAGCTTATGGAGCAATCCTTTATTCCGCAAGGTGCGACGGGACAAAAACGGACAGGGATCAGTCAAAAGGCTCAATGGATGCACCCCGGTCAATCCAACATGAGCTTTCACAAACTCAACTATTATCACCATTCCCACTGCTACTAAAGTGCTTCAAGTGCAAGGAAAAATAAAAAAGAAGGATAAAAAGATATATGCATCAAGATATCACAATTGACAGGAACATGGGATAAAAGAAATGCATGTCCTTAACGGAGACAAATTCAAAGGCACCCTATCCCTATTCCATGCAAAATACTCTTTAACACTCATTTATAAAAGGTAGAAAGGGGCATTTCTATCCTGTTGGACACTCCTTTTCTTTTATACTTTACATTCCTCGACAAATAAAAAGATGGTAACATTTATATATATATATATATATTTATAAAATAAATTATGAAAATATAAATAGGCTGGATCGGTATTCGACATTGAGACACCTTCCCCTTTTAGACATCTAGGCAAACGTGGTTCTGAATTCAAGAGTCCATGTCTCTTTGCTTTTAATCTACTTCCAAGCAAGTCTACTATTATATTTCTTTTTATTCTTTTCTTGATACGCGCCAGGAGATCACCTTTATCCAAAAGAAGCTCTAGGATTTGAACGAACCATCTGGGTTATATGACACCAGATACATGGCTCTCCCCGTATTGAACAGTTTATTGAATATCTCTACAACTCCTACACCGGCTCTTGCTTGCTCCTATCCACCCTTTCTACCATCTACTGCCCCGCTTCTCTCCCCCTTACCTAAACTCAGAAAAAGCTGTTTTACCTTGTTCACACCCTACGCTCTCGAGACAAAGGCACTCTAGCCCGACCCAGATGTCCTTTAGTGCCTGTGCTGACTTTTATCTCACATCACTCTTCGGATTCACCTAAGCATCACAGCCACAATCGCAGTCGCACTTCCCGCACCTCGACCATTAGAATTGTATTGTAGTCTCACCAATATGAGCATCACACGATCCCGTGATCATTCTACCCAGTTGTCTGACAGATTCAGAACTCTTGATCGATGGTTCTGACAAATACCATTAAGATCCCGAGTGTATCACTGTCAAACTAGAATTAAAACTATTCATTTGGGCTTGATCCTCACTTTTTTTTTTTTTTTTTTTTTTTTTTTTTTTAGTTCACCCCTTTAATAAAACACTCATTACATAACACTCTTTCGAGCCAATGCAGAGTATGCAAGAGGCTATCGGCACTGGTCAACACTCTTTCAAGTTATGCAAAAGGGTTTAGAAAACATTTCCCCCCAATCATATACAAGTTGAATGCAAAGAATATGATGATACCTCTACACAAGTCCAACAGACTTGATGGGACAGAAAATATATTGAGACAGTGAGTAATGAGTGCACTTTAAAAAATAAAAATATCCGCTGCTGCAAATGAAGGTAGTGAAGAGAGTAAGGAAATAAGAGAGAAAGAGCCAAAGTGCCTTACAACTATGACCCCATAGTAACTTCTACGCCTCCTTGATGTGCTTTGTCTCCAAATGTAAAACAGAGAGAAAAAGAGGAGAACGGATGTTAGAAAGTGGGGAGGCGCATGAAGAAACAAACCAGATAATGATCGAGAAAGGAGGAATAAAAGAAACGATAACGACCTAAAAGGAGGTATGAACAATAAAGGGAAGACAATTGAGAGAGGAAGAGGTGATGGGGAATGAAAGAAAAAGAAGCGACCCCCAAAGACACTGAGATGCGACAAAAACCACCAGGGTGATTCATTTGTAATAAAACGTTGGCCCTAATCTAAATAATATAAATAAATAATAGCGTAGATGTATATGAATAAAAAGTACGTCTGTTTGTGTGAATGGTTTGGTCAATAGCTCTGCCAGCACCGGCCAAGTCCCCACGCCATCGGGCTCCAGGGCAGTTTTGCACGCGAAAGGTTTCTTATAAGAGATAAACATAAAAAACGCCATCTCGATTTTGCGTAGAGCATATTCAACTTTCTTTTAGACTTTACTGTTGCCTAGACATGTCAAACACGCGTTTTTTTGGCTCCAAAACGGACGTCGTTCCCTTTGCGATGATTGGGTGTACACAAATTGCATATGAAAATGCGACCCATCATGTAAAGCAAGCTTCAAGCCGTAGACATTGAAAAAAAAAAAAAAAAAAAAAAAAAAAAAAACGTTCGGAGACAAATGTCCTATGATAGTATGAGGCGTCTGATTTAAGGGGTAATGAAATCTAATGTACCATTCAGGGTTCACTGTTTAAATCGTCAATTGCCAAGTTTAAACACTTTCTCACAAACATTCACGTTTACATTTTATTTGCTCGAAACGCACATTTCATTGAAACATTTACCCATTACCATGATCGACATCCATGCTCATATTTATCCACCTACTATCCCTATCGATTCCATCTCTCCACTTTTGCAGCGCGCAAAGGCTGCTGGTCTGACCTCACTCCTTTCTGTATCTGAGAACCTCATTGATGCTCGCCATATCCTTCGACTTTCGATTCAACATCCAAACTTCCTTTTTCCCTGTGCAGGGATTCACCCTGCACAGCCCATTCGCGATGCGGACGGCGCCACTATCGGCTATCGCTCTGCAGCCGAGACAGACCTAGAGGGCGTCTTTGAGTTCATGGAGGAAAACAGCTCTCGTCTCGTCGCCATTGGTGAAGTCGGTTTGGATTTTACACTTCCTGTTCTGAACTCACCACACAACGACTCAATTAGGCTCAAAACACCTGAAGACATCAAAACAGAACAACGCAAAGTCTTTGCACGTCAGGTACGCTTTGCACTTCAGCACAACCTTCCTTTGAATGTTCATTCCAGGAACGCAGGGCATCATGCGATCACACTATTGGAAGAATTGGACGCCAAAAACGTGGTTTTACACGCGTTCGATGGTCAAATCAAATATGTACGGAAAGCGCTGGCTTTAGGGTATTACTTCTCGATACCGACAAGTGTCGTCCGGATACCACAGCAGCAGGCATTGGCTGTAGAAGTACCGCTCGAGCAAATGCTACTCGAATCAGATACGCCGTGCTTAGGACCAGAGAAAGGTGTGAGCAATGTGCCATCAAATCTCTCGTTTGCTGCACAAGAGATTGCAAAAATCAAGAATTTGGAATTAGAGACCGTGGTAAGTCCCCCACTGACAAATTTCTAGCCAAATTGGATTGTTCATAAAAGAGATAAAAGTGACATGTTTGTTCTGAAAGATACCATCTCTGGCTGATTTTCAAAAAATTGAATAGATCAATCAAACAACAGAAAACGCATACAAGCTGTTCCCCAAGATCCGTCCACATTTACCAGCTTTGAGCATTGTCTAATAGTGTTTGGAGTGTATTACAATAGTACATCGCCTATCTTCTTACAATACTCATAACATAAACAGATACGGGCTTAATTCTTGTATTAAATGTTGAAATACAATATATCGTGCTCATGCCACCATGATTATGATAATAGCAACAATATAAAAAAAAATAGAAAAGAAAAGAAATACCGAAGGACCCTGCTATGGTTCAAGAGTTTGGAGTAAGTAGTTCTTTCTTTCTCAACTCTAGTTCTTTCTTTCTCAACTTGTGTTCTTTCCTTCTCAATTAGTGTTGAACCAATGCTCCAATCCCTCGCAGCTTTGTTTCCTCCTTCTGAACTCGCCCTTCTTTTGCACATGCATGATTGTTAGTATCCATGGGGCCACTCCTGAAATAGCATGGAAGATGCAGAAAAAAAAAATCAAAATCAAAATCAAAATTAGCACTTGTGATATGCTAAGAGTTATATTGTTACTCCTTTTTTTTATGAGTAGTCATGTACCTATTCCTCGCCTTCCTCAGTGCGAGAAAGTTTCTCTGTACGATAGTTCTCATAGAGGTAGTCGTGTGTAATTTCCTTGAGCTCTTGCAAATGCGAACTATTCCACAAAAAAAAAAAAAAAAAAAAAAAGGCATGAATAGCTGAAATTGACGCACATGGAATGGTATCTTTTTGGATTTTTGATCTTTAGAAGAATGTATCTTTTTCACTTACCTAAGAAGAGCAAATCGCAACTTTGCAAAATCACAATGTTCTGAATTATCAACCTCTACGATGCCCCATGGATATTGCCTTCCACGGACCGTGCGACCATTAACTTCGATTTCTTCTTCGCACCCAATCAACGCAAATGGTAAGAGTGATCGGAGTTCGCTGTTCTCCTCAACTGTTTCTTCGTCGTCCTCTTCAGGATCATAAGGAAAGTTGTAGATAGGAATATTGTGGTGTTCGATGTCCTCCATGATCTAGAAGTGGAGAAGTCCCATTTCAAATTAGCTCATGATTTTTGAAAGATATTACTGTTGGATTTTTTTTTTTATAAAAAAAAAGAAAATCATCAGTAAACTTACTCGTTTCTTGAACTCAGCCAGCTCATTAGAAGTGAGGGTGTCAGCTCTTCCAATGACTGGTATGACATTGATTCGAGGGCTCAGACGTTTCATCAGCTCAATATCAATCTCCCGGAGGCTAGTTTTAAGAATCGAAATATGCTGGTCATTATTTAGATCTTTTTTTTTTTTATAATCATGACTAAAGGAAAAAAGATAATTTGAATACCTATGACCAGTAGGCGCAATAAAGTAAAGAAGTGCATGAACACGGTTGTCACGGAAGCGCGGATTGCGCTTGATCCTAGATTCTTCTGCCAAGATATCATCATATTGTCGTTCAAGATATCCAAGAATCTCTTGGAAGCTATCGAAAAGCACGATAAAAAGGAAAAAAAATAAGAAAATAAAAAAAAAGAGCCAATAAAAAAAAAAAAAAGGAGTGTAAATCAATTGTAGATTTGCAGGCAAGGGACCAAGGGGGTTCCATGAACAGATTTAGCTCTACTGGAGTATTGGACAGAGCTCTCTGCATTTACGATTTGCATACCAGTGATCATTGTTGATCATGTCCCCAAAGCCCGGAGTATCCACTATGGTGAGTGAGATTTTGACGCCGTCTTCGTCAAGCTCTACTCTTGCACACATGGCGATAAGTTTTAAGAGAGAGAAGAGAGGGAGAAAAGAGACAAAGGGCCAAAGTGTGAGTAAGTTGATCCTTCAGGAACCCTGAACAGATATTGATTGGATTTGAGTGCTGCACGTACCAACAGTATAAGGCTTGATCTTGATGCCTTCTTCAATATGGGCCATTTCCGGATCATCACACTCGCGTTTGGGGACAACATCAGCATCGCACAGAGTATTGATAAAAGTTGTGCGGCCAAGACCCGATGCGCCTGGAACAAAGGCACACACCAAAGTCAAAATAATAATAATAATAAAAAAAAAAAAAAGTTGAGTTGTGTGAGCTGTGTGTGACACAAAAAGGTTTTTGCTGCGACTAGGACTGTTGGCAAACACACTTCAAACATTACCCACGACCATGAGTGTAAACTGAAATCCTTTCTTGACATTCTTGCGACCTCGGATGCGCTGCATGTGGAAAAGGCAATGCAGAGAAATGCTGATGTGAGCTTCCTGTCATTGTTTTACCAACTTTATCGCCTCTTGTGTTGATGGCTTTTGCTTCTTACATGTGCCATGATGCAATTAGAATGCTGTAACAAATGTAATGGACGGGAGGGTTAAAATAAAATGAAAAGTGATGAAAAGATGAACTAAAGCAAAAGAAAAAAGGAAAAGGAAAGAAAATATGTAACAGTGCCTGGACCCCATGGAATACAGGGTTGGTATTTTTTTAATAATTATTCAGTGCTTTTTTGGCTTGATAAAACTAGCACGAACGAATGTGAATGTGTGCAAACACGATGCACGTGTACGATGATACTGAAAATAGATTACGCGCTGCTTTCATTATATTTTCATCCTTGCTGAGCCAAAACTTGCCCAAAGAGCTCTCTCGATCTTTCTGCGCTGCTTGGGAAGGCCAGTCTGGCTCCTAGTCTGTCGTTCCTCTTTATTTACTCGCTTCAATAAGCTCTCTCTCTATCATTGCTGCTTGTGTTGAAAAAAAAGCAATATTCAGTAGCCATTTCAGTTGCCCATTTTTAAATCATATTCCTTGCAAAAACCATGTCAAAAAGAGGTGTGTGGCTGGAAATAAAGGAAAGAAAGAAAGTAAAGGACGATAGAAAACCCTTGTAAACCACAAAAGCAAAAGCTGCACGTATAACAAGGCCTGACATGTCTTTGTCGATACTTCCACACTGTACATTATTTTGTTTGTTTGTAAATAAAAATTTGATTTATGATAAGGATATTGCATCCAATGTCTCAATGGTCATAACCATGTTTATTGAGTCAAGTTACTACAGTTTGTGGTTGCGATCAATCGATCGTTTTTTTTTTTTTTTTTTTTTTTTTTTGCGCATACTACAAACCACAGAGGATATGATATTGAAAGAGAATTAGATCTTTCACCATAAAAAAAAAAAAAAAAGTACGATCAGGACAACTAGCCACAAATAGAGATACAGCGACTGCGAACAATCATAGATAGTGCATTTCCGGATAGGTGTTTCTCACTCTGGTGATTGACAATAAGGAAGTGAAACAGGCGTTGAGAGATTCCAACATCCATCAAAAAAGGGCGAAGAATAAAAAGGCGTAGAAAGCGGACAAAGCGACCACCAAGCGACCATCATGCTATACCACTATACTATGGCACCATGCCACTATGTCCATGCTGCGAAGCACAAATGTAACAAATGTAATGAGTTCTTAAAAAAAGGGTCTTAGTCAATCAATCACAGGTGCAACATTACACAAAACCAATGGGTCCAAAGTCAAGCGTCGCGCAGCACATGATACTTTTTTTTTTTTTTTTTTTTTTTTTTTTATAGAGCGGCTTTACTATTCATATTGAGATCAGGCCTGACACCTCACTTGCTACTTTTCTTTGCCTTTACTTTACTGTCATTATCAACTGCCATCATCGTCATCATCATCATTGTAGACTTTCTTTATCATACTCTTTTTTTTTTTTTTTTTTTTTTTTTTAAAAAAAAAAAAACGTTTCTTTTCCTGGTACATTTTTTCACCTTCCCTGATTGTCCCTCACACACCTCTATCTATTCTTGTAGCCACATTATTTCATTTCATTCCGTTGTATAGCGGTTCAGCTCTTTTCAAACGACAACAACAACATTGAGCATACCAATGCCTATCCGCAGCCACGACGCTATCCCTAGCTTTATCCAGCTGGAGGAGCAACACCAACTTCTCTCGACAAGGCCTGATTCAGCTATTGTCGCCCCTTCTGTCCAGCAGAGGTCCCAACCCAAGCGAGTTCATCAAGCTAACAGGGTTAGCAGCAGCGCCAGTAAGAACAATATGGACAAATTATCGCCACCAATAGAGCAAACTACGACCATGTTCATGAGGCGCCTCAACATCTCCCACAATCCACATCACCACCCACATGCCATCAGCAAGCGTGGGGGACATCGGTCTGCCACATTGAGAGTGAGAGGAAAGCACGGCGCTGTAAAATCACCTCATATGTACTCGTCAGTTCATTGTCGACATTCTGTTGATATCCATAGCAGTGATCCTCTGCGTAAATTCAATTATTCTGGTCCATTTAACCAAGAGAGCCGTCTGGTTCTCCTCAAAAAGTATATGCAAAGTCGCCGCATTCATCTACGCCAACGTCTCACGCGGCAACACCTACAACAGCATGACTCTCTCGATACCTCAGACATGTCGTTGGATGAAGCAGACCTTATGGAAGAAGATGATGACGTCCGTGATCAACAGAGCGATCTCAACAGCGGGTTAGCAACGGACCAAGAGCAGTATCGTCGATACATGTGGACATTGGAGCAACGGCTGCGAGAGAGGATCCGGTCGGCTGAAAGGAGTCGGTCTCACTTCTTGATGGAGCGACGGCTCTCTGCAGGGGAAAGAGTGGATCATGCTTATCGTGTGGTCCAAAGACAGCGCACGGAGCAAGAGGACCGTCAGCATAGAGCTCGTGATAAACTGGAACAGAAGATGATGCGAGCCATGGCAAGAAGAAATGCTTATCTTGAGGCTGCTATCGAAAATGATCCATCTCGGAGGTTCCGACGCAAGAGCTCCGGCACTACTATTAACTCTACTGCCCCTATCACTAGCATCAATAAGGTTACGACTCATCTTGACAAGGCAAGCACTCCAGAGGTAAAGAGACCCTCATCTGATCTTGAGGTTGCAGCGCCGATAGCAGTAACGAAGGTCCCAAACATGAAGATATTCCCAACAGTCATTAGGCCAAACTCGTCCTTCGTTGGCAAAAGCACTACGGGTCGCAAGAATGAAGCACATAAACATGGATCGACTAAAAATAGCCTGACTGACATGACCCAAGTGACAGATGAGAAGCACTTGACCAGCATGACCACGCGAAAATGTATATTGCCAACATTGACAACTATGACGAAGATATCGCCGCTCTCAGGTTCTTTGCAGCAGAAGCATCATAATTCAACGGCTGATAATGATGTGGAAGCTAGTGCAGTAGCGGGTGTACATAGAGATATGAAAATAACCGCAACGTCAGAGATGCAGCGACACAGCTACGAACGATTGATACAGAGGGCGTCGCGTGACTACATCAAGGCGATAGGGTCGCATCAATACATCTTCACCCTCGGTTTTGATGAGTTGGCACGACTGTTGCACACAAGTAAACCTCTGATCCATGCCACGCTTCGGTTGCTCAAGTACTCTTCGCAGCTAGTCCAACTGACCCAGGACAACGGCACGGACCACAATCAAACGTTTGAGAAGTACAAGAACCCAGCGCGCGTTTTTTTAAGCATGTACATGGTCCTAGCACACCCCAGTCAGATCCGGTCCCCCACAGAGGTAATGACGGTTTCTTGTTTCAGTTAGTTGAGAAGAGCAAAGAACCTGGTGGAAGAAGATTTTGCAATGAATTTGTCAGATCAAATTTCTGAGCTAAAAAAAATTCTTTTAATAACTTATTCACTTATTCGCAAACCTCACTCTTCCTTCATTCTCGCATTTTCTCATTCTCTCATATTCTTTCATTCCCATTCCCATTCACATTTCATATTTCTAAATTCGCCTTTTTCTTTTTTTTTGTTCACTTTTTGCTCCTTCCCACGTTCCGAATATGACTCTTACGGATACATTGAATACGCCCACATTGCAGTACCAACCTGCTGCTTCAGAAGACCAAACCATAAACCCTGTCGATGATAGTGCATTCGACTCACTCGTTCAAGCTTCCAAAAATCTATTGGAGGCCCTTGAGGTTTGGCTTGCTGCCAATTGTACTCAGAATCAAAGCCAAAGTCAAAACCAAAATCAAAGCCCTTCAAATCAAGACCAGGCTCCAGAAGACAGTAACGCACTATTGACCAACATTTCTAACCACCCAAGACGTGACCCAGCAACAGTTAAAGCCTTTGACGATGCATGGGCCAGCTACTACAATTTTTTTCAAGCCTGGAAAGAAAGAGACGCTCAACGGTTACTCAGCACATTGCTTGACCATGCTCGGCATATCAACTTGCTTTGGCGTACTGTGCGGAATGATCCTTCTGCTAGGATTGAATGGGAACCTCGAATTGAGGAACAGCGTAAAGATCTTCGGGTTAAGGCCAGTCAACTCGCAGGGCCAGAAGGGGCTGCACAGCTCGATGTTGTCTTTGCGGATTATATGAATGGTTCAGCCCACACTGTTACTCCTTCATTAGCGCCACCGTCGCAAGCGGGGCTCGATAATATAGTAATACCGGCGGTGTCAGTTTCTCATGAGAACACTTCTGATTCAGTGCACCCTCGGACACAAACAACACCATCTACTGCAAAGAAAAGGCAGAGAGCTAGTTCAGTCTCGAAACAAAAGAGTGCTGCCTCGGCAACGACCAGCAACGTCAGCAAGGATTTACAGACAACTTACTCTGGCCATTCTGCAGATATGGATTCGATAATACAGCCTGATGCCACTTCAGCCACCTCATCGGGCTATGAAGCACCCAAACCAAAGAAGCCTGCTACAACTAGTGCAGCAGCAGCAGCAGCAGCAGCTCTAGAAACTATACCAACTGGATTTGAGAAACCAACAAAGTGGACAAACCTTCAGTTGATTCACGAGCTAGCTATGGATTCAGGCTTCAAGGTCGAGCCAAATCGCCCGCTGGGAGCTAGAACTATGCATGAGTCGCCCTTGCTGCAAACAGCCGATCAGGGTGGTGATGATCCTACTAATGCCGCAACAGGTTTGCAAGGACTGGAGGACAGGATTCGAGCTATGGCGACCAAGGCTTACTTTGATCAGATTCGCGATGATGCAGCAAAAGGCCAATTGGGCAAGTGGATTCCTTCATTGTTGACAACGATTCGTGAGCAGCTATTGGACATGGTACCTCCAAACTCTGCCATAGCAATGCAAATTACGGAGGGTTTTGACATTGAGTTTGTACAGCAACAGATTGAGAAGAATGTCTATGATTTAACTGGCGCCTTGAACGGGGTTGTAGACATTATGAGCAAGCTGTGCGCCCCTGTTAGAGATCAAGCCATCAAGCGGATACAGGAGAGCTTGAATGAAATTTCGCAGGACCCTAGTCAATTGAGCGCCCCCGATGTCACCACTGAAACCTCTGCAACATCTATTGCGCCCAATGATCTTGTGAGCGTCTTGCAGAGTATCTTGGAGTTATTAGAGCTCATGCTGCTAGACATGGCCAATTTCCGGTTGACGGTTGCAAGACCAAAATTGGAGAAACAAGCAATTCCATATGAGCAAAGCGCGTTTAAAGAGTCAGTCGATAAGGGTGAGGTTTCATTAGAGTCAACACAAAATTGGCTACAGGATTCAGCGAAACGATATTTGCAACAGCAAGCCTCAGCCCCAACTTTGCCTGTTGCAACAGAGGGCGGTGCATCTTCCTCAGCCAATGATGATATCCCTGGACCCGAGTCCTCAAGTAATCCAGGCCGACGTAGGCACTACGATATTCTTGTTCATTCTTTACTGGACCTAGTGTTTTCGAGCAAACGATTTGATGTTGGTATAGACCGGGTGCAATTTCCTGCGACTTTGGCTTTGGATCGTGAGCGTATGACACGATTTCAGAATGAAGTTCAGGGACTTGCGCTTGTTGCTGTCATCATGAATATTTCTACTAATGTTTCGCCAATGCTCAGTGACGAGTCTCATGAGGAACTGAAGAATACGTTGCTGAAACTCATGGAAGCTCCTAACACATCCTTGGAGACACTAGCAGAAGCTGTCATTGAGGCAAAAGAACGAGAACTCTTAATGAATGCTCGACGATCAGCATCTAAATCCTCCTCGCCGTCATCGTCTGCACCAGGGTCATCATTATCGTCTACTTCATCCATTATCGATTCTTCTTCATTTCCAAAACTACTACTCTCAGATGAACAAAGAAATTGTATCCAAAATACGGTCGCTCGCGCCATCTCGTTTGATAGCACCCTATTCCGTGTCCTCTCTCAGCGTCTCCGCAAGGTTCTGGAGGATTTTACACTGTCAACCCCGAGCAGCGGAGGAAAATCAGGGGCCATGCCTAACGAAGCCGCCCTGAGTAAGGTAGGGCTAGGGCATTTGAAGAAAGAGATTGAGACCTTGGCACTGCAGTTCCGTTTCCTGACAAAATATAATGCTCAGGTCTATCGTCCGTGGTATGATCCTATGTTGGCAAAAATTATCTCCAATATCAAAAAGAGTGGAAAGCAATAAAAGAACAGTCGTTGACTCGTAGAAACCAAAAGTATCAAAATAAAAGCTTATTTTATTTTTATTATTATTATTATTAAGTTGTCATTATTATGGTGGTGCCAAGTTGTCAAATGAATGGTACAAAAATAATATACATAAATCAAACGAATTGAACATGCTGATTAATGAAGTGAAATGAAAAATGATAAATCAATGAAAGCAAAAAAAAAAAAAAAAAAAAAAAAAAAAAAAGAATCCATGCCATTCAAAATCGTGTCATAAATAAATTTCTTTGACATCCTTGGCGCCGAAGTTCTCTCGACAGGTTGGACACTTGCGTTGACGAAACTCCAGCTGGTTGTCCATACATGGCTTGCAAAACACATGCATGCAACGCAGAATAACATGCGATTTAAAGTTGAGGTCACAGGCGGGACACTTGAGAAGCTTTAGATAACGTGCTGCCTGTTTCGCAGCTTCGGAATTCTCACCGGAACTAGACTCAACTTTGGCTTGTTCTTCAAGCTTCCGTTTCATCGCTTCTGTTTCTTCCGCAAGTCGTCGTCGTGCATGGGCTTCATTCTCATAGGCCTCCGTGCGCTCCTTAATCATATTCTGAAGTTCATTCAATCTCTCCTCTTGTCGAGCATACTTTTCTTTGAACCCAGCGTTTTGTTGAGTATATTCCTGAAGTTTAGTCTTATGAAGAGCCACGCTACTATTCAACAGAGTCTGCTCTCTCTCCAATGTTGCCTATAGAGTTGACTTGGATTAGTCATCAAGCAAAAAACTCTCTTGTCCGATACACGGTACTTTCAAACTAACCACGACATATTTTTTTTTTTTAAAAAAAAAAATCGCACCATTTGCATATTGAGATTCTTCTCTCGCTCTTCCAATTTCCGAATCTGATCCAGTTGCATATCTGATTGCCGTTTCATCACTGCTGTCATGTTGGCGCTGGCATCTTTGGCACGAATTAAAAGATTGCATTTGGATTCCTGACGAGTTTTGTCCGAGAGAAGCTTGTAGATCAAATCCTCTTTCTGAGCCAGTTCGATCACTTTGCGCGAGGTTGCCTCCTCAAGTTGACCCCAGGCTGTTGCCACATCCTGAAGCTCGTTAAGTAGAGGTGCCTGAACCGCTTCGTGTGCCTGTACATTTTGTTCAAGTAAATGAATGGTCTGATCCCTTGCCTTGATGGCTGCTTTGAGTGCATTTGTAGGATTTTCAGTATTACTGCCAATGAGACCTTCGATTTTTACTAGCTCCGCGGTCAGCACTTTAATACGCGCTTTCGCTTGATATTCTGAAAGGATCGCTTTCTTTAGCTCATGCACTGCAGAGTCTGCCTGGTTGAAAGCCTCAAGCTCCGGAACAACACACTTAATCTGTTCTTCTAATGTTCTAAGTTTGTTACGAAGGTCGTCAAGAAACGACTTGTCGGTGGGGCCGCTCAAGTAGAATGTAAAGGCATCCCTGTCACCTGTGCTGGCAGCAAGCATGATTTGCAGACGGTGAATATCTGTTGTCAATGTAGTGATACGATCCTGAATCACAAACATCATCGTAGTGTTGACAGAGAAAAGGATAAAGTAAGCACTAGCAGTCGTATTTGCCTTGAACACAAATGCTCAAATATAAAATTCCCTGGAATGTACCTTTCTTGTGTTTGCGATCTTGCGAATTTCCTGATTTTGTTGCATTTCGTAATCGTCTTTGGTGCACCTAGCCTCATACATCTGTTGAAACCTATCGCGACTATCTCGTAATCGAGATATCTCGCTCTCAAGTTTCTTGAGCTCGTCCTCCAAGCCGGCTCTCCTACCCTTTTCTTCTGTCTCAAGATCTTCCATAAATTTTCTCCGAGAATGATAGAGTTCTTCGAGGTCTGCCTTTATCTTGTTTGATTCATTTCGATATCCCTCCGCATCATTACGAGCATATTGCAGCTGTGCTAAAAGTGATTTGACATGTGGAGTCTCCTGAATCTTTCCATCTGGAATATGCTTAAGCTGTATCTTGAGCAATTCCAACTCGTTCTTTAGCTGGATCCGTTGTGTCTTCATATCTTCAAGTTCTGCCAGACGTGCTACTGCCAGTTCTCGATATTGTAAGAGCTCATCCTGGGATCCGTCATGTGCCTCATTTTTAGTATTCATATGCCCTAATGATGGTATAGTTGTGTCTGGCGTCCCGTTGTAATTCTCTCCAAAAATCTCACCCGATGTCACCGCAGCAACAATTGAGCTCTTCCCACGGTCAACACTCTTCTCTGTTCGACGAAGCTTTTCCTTAGATTCGTCCAAGGACTCCGCTGTCTCCTCTAAACGAGCTTTAGCCATTTCGAGCTCATTCCTCAATCGCACAATCTGATCAGAAATTGAGTGATATTTGGCTTGCATTTTTTCGATATCCTTCATGCCCTTCCTTTGAAGCCCGGTAACTTTATCGTTTTCTTGCGACAACCACTCTATAAGCCTACTTTCCCTCGTTGCCGAATCTAGACTCAGATTGGAAAATAAGAGACTACTCTCAATGGTACATGCCAATAACCAGCAAAATAAAAGCATGTCAAACTACCTGCGTTGCCAAGTTCGCTCCAGAATGAGTTACGTTCGTTTTTCCAATTCGCGACCATCCGAAGCAATTCGTTCACGATCTCCTTTGTGTGTTCTGACCGAGCTGTCATCGTTGCTTTGATGGTCTCCATTGTAAATTTATTTGTCTCGTGATTCTGGTTGTATCCTGTAGATCCATGAAGCATGAATGACGCAACGCTAGTATCTGCCACTATGTTCAGGAATAAGCCGTATTAAGAGATGAAAACTAATTATAGTACAAAATCCTGAACGTATAAGGATTATTCACACGTTACCTGGCAAAGCAAGGCTTTCCACTTCTGTGTTGATATCAACTCTAATCATAAGCATTCCGATATCTTGCAGTAACTAAAATATAAAATAACCTCAATTAATTAGTTTCAAGTTTTCAACCAAATTACTAGATACTTTCATTACTCGACACAAAAACTAGGCAAATTACCTTGTTCCAATAAATGTCCACAGTACTTAGATGAGCCTCGTGCTCGACTTGCTTGTCCAGAAGTTGTTGAACTTGCTCCTGAGCACTCAAGTATTGTTTTTTGCATTCTTGCATCTGATTCCAAATGACATTTTTCTGATAGCTAAGGAGGTTATCCTATCCATATATCAAGCATTAGATCATATGTTAGAGCTGAATTGAAGTCCAATATTTGTTAAACTACCAAAACAAAGAGTGTTTCGGAACCATCTTGAGTGAAAAAAACAGAAGTCGCTGCGAATTTTAATTGCCGAAAAGCCTTAATACTTTCGGTGTAATATTTTCTGAAGCAACGGCCAGATTTCAAGTTTGTCACTGTCGCTCATTATACCGAAGTCCAAGCACAGCAGAATATCAGTAGAATATATACACAAAGGATAGATTAACAAGTTATCTAAGGACACATACCTCTATTGCTGATGGCGACTGTGAGGTATCATTCTCATGATCTCCGTCAATCATATCTTGGTTACTCTCACTCAACTTTTTCTTCTTGGATAGAGAAGTGGCTGGCCCTGGCTCAGAGCTAAGGCTGCTACTATCCACGTTGGCAGACGGAGCGGACTGAGTAGAATGAGCCTCCTCAGTAAGCTTGCGCTTGCGGATGCCCCTGTCTTCCATAGAAATGATCACACAGAGATTCTTTATTCTTTGAAGATGGGCTTATGGTGGGAGAGTCAACGTACGAAAAGGAAAGTCACTGGGACCACTAATAAAAGTTCTGCGGTAAGAGGCTCAAAGAGAAAATAGCTGATTATGGTTCGATGACACCAAGGAATGTGAGGTTAAATTTTGAGGTATTAATATTTGTACATTAAAATAGCGTCAATAACGCGCCATAATATCAAAGAATGAATAAAAGGCTGCTTACAAACAAGAATGGAGTTCTCTTTGAGAAATTGCGTCGAAGTAAGGATCTAGTAAAAAAAGGAATGATTGAAGTGTTCCTTCCTCTCTAAGAAACCATTAACAACGAAGCCACATATGCTTTCATATATATCACGTGATATTATGCAACATCGGCGATGAATCGAGGGACACGCAGAAGTGTGGCAGTGATCTAAGCTGGTTGCCATTTTGGTTAGACTAATTCAATTACAAGTATTTTTTGAGGCAAAAGACTTGTAATTGATAATAGTCTAACTAAAAAAGGATCCAGCTTAGATCACTGAGTATGGGGTAATCAAACCTACAGGTTGTAAGCTGATCTTACAAGTGTCAGGTTGCTCAGAGAGTCATGCAGCGACCCACAGTGGACCTGGGCGGTGGACCACAAGAGGTATACCCAGCTCTCACAAGGAAACGGTCTGATTCGACATAAAATAGCTATTGCATCGATCGGAAAGGGGTCTTCCTTGCCATAAGTAGATGGATGAATTTGCGAGAAGAGATAACGGTCAGCTTTTAAGACAAATGGGTGCTAGATAAAGGAGTGAGGTTGCTAGACAAGCATAGACCTTGACCAAAGTGGAGCAGTTGCTATAGCACAAATACCCGCTGTGGATCGCCAAAAAAAAAAAAAAAAAAAAAAAAAAACATGTCGAGTACTGACAAGATGGCCTAGAATCTTACCGTCGAACAAAAAGCGTTTTTGCAGCCTTCATTCTAATGCCGCGGAAAGAGAAGAGCGCAAGGAAGGCTGATCGATTTTGTGCCAAGATGTCGGTATCTTAGCACAATAATCAATCTTATCGTGGCGTGGCATGCCGGAAGAAATGGTGAATCTTTCCTAGAGTCTCTGAACGCTGCACAACTGCAATTGAGCAAACATTGCAATCTGCTGTGTTGACATCGGAGAGGGCCCAAGAAAGTGCAAGGAATAGGACATGCGCAGGTTATAATAGCGACTTTAGACACAACTGATGATGCATCCAAATACAAGGTCCATTTTCTACTAGCCAGTGATTTTTGCCCTTAATACAAAGCTAGTCTCCAGGCTTGGCAGAAGATTATGTTTTGGCAGGCATCAATGAGCTTTATACTTTCTAGAAGTGTTATCGAAGCGGACTTGGCCCGAATAGCTCTTGCAGTCATGGGTTCATATAAACAGATATATTACTCAAAGTGTAAAATAATGTTCTGTTGATGGCCAACTGAAACATGATCTGGCTAACATGTTCGTACCTTTTCAAGTCTTAAAGACCATCGTATCTCTAACCTCCTGTTAAGTGAGCTTTGAGTGTTACCTTGGCTGGGAAGTTAAGGGGCAAGTATAACACCCGCCAACGAGTTCTGATCCGTTGAACTATTTCATCAGTTCAAAAAACAAATTCATCTTCTGCCGTGTTATTTATTTCTTTCTCATGTCGTGTCTGTCGCGACTCTCAGTAAACCTGGCACACGCCAATGTTCTTACAAAAACCCGGCAATTCTCTTTCAAAAGTTTACATCATCTGACAACAGACTGTGTGATCAACCTTGGTGCTTCTGCAACTCGAGTTCAGGGACTTCCAAAATATTGTCAGCGTGGCTACAGTCAACGGATTATAAGCAATGGCAGTAATCCTACTAAGCGATACACTCAAGGACGCCCTTTTCACACTTCGATGAGCAGGCAAAACCTGATTGAGGATCCGCAATACACCCCTGAGAAAGTTGCAGCGCGTGCCAAATACCCAATTATCACAGCCAAGGATGCAGCCAAGAATAATACGATGCCTGTGGCAGTAAAGATGTTGGTGCGCGAATTCATCGATGATTCGCTCTATCATCCTCACTATGGCTATTTTTCAAAGCAAGCTGTAATTTTCTCCCCCGAAACGGATTTTGATTTTGAACGGATCAGAGACAATATGCAATTTTTAGACATTATTGCCGAAAAGTATAAAGAGATTGAGGATGATATGGATGTCCGAGATGAGATCGCAAGACAAGTTTGGCATACACCCACAGAGTTATTCAAGGTAGAGTTATATTCTGTCTTAATTTCCCCTCTCTCAAAAGCCCCTGGTGCGGATGGTTTTCAGAGGCAAGAATCATTAACAGCGGTTTGATGTTTTGCTATTGAGTTAGCCGTGGTATGGATATGCAATCGCAAAGTATATCGTAACTGAATATAAGCTCAATAACTATCCACACAAGGACCTGATAATTTATGAGATGGGTGCAGGCAACGGAACTCTGATGCTCAACATTCTCGACTACATCCAACAGTTTGAACCATCAGTCTATGAGCGAACCAGGTATCGGATCATTGAGATTTCCAAAAAGTTGGCACAGCGACAGGGAGAACGCCAGGAGGTCCGAGATGTGACTAAGCGCCACGGGTGTGTCGAAGTGATTAACAAAAGCATTTTTGAGTGGGATACACCTGTGCCCGACCACTGCTTTTTTCTCGGCATGGAAGTTCTCGACAACTTTTCACATGATTTAATTCGCTATGACTCTGTGACGGAAGAGCCATTGCAGGGTATGGTAGCCATCGACGAAGATGGTGACTATACAGAAATATATACACCTGTCCAGGACCCGCTCATCCAAAGGTACCTCACGATCAGAAAGCAATCTGGATACAAATCTCCTGTGCTTTCGAGACGATTTTTGAGACGACTTCGCAACCGATTACCATTTGCACCTAACATGACAGCACCTGAATTCATCCCTACAAAACTATTGTTGTTGTTGGAGACGCTTAAGAATTATTTCCCGCAACATCGATTGGTCCTTAGTGACTTCTATACATTACCGGAAGCAATCCCAGGTGTAGATGCCCCAGTTGTTCAGACACGATATAGTGGTACCATGGTCCCTTGTTCAACCTATATGGTCATGCCAGGCATGTTCGACATTTTTTTTCCTACCAATTTTGAGCTACTAAGAGACATTTACCAACAAGTTTGCCGACCATCACTTGGTATGGAAAAATCTGTCAAGGTGCAGACGCAAAAACAGTTTCTCGAACGTTATGGTGATTTGGAAAAGACACGAACTCTCAGTGGTGAGAATCCTATGTTGATGTACTATGAGAACAACAAGATGTTTTTAAGCTAGACTATGTAGACGACGTGGAACAATGAATTGCCTCCTATTGTTTTCTATTATTTTTATTCACCAGAGTAGCTTGTTACTCCGCACTCTGGACGAGCGTCCTTTATGGTCATTATCATCAAGTTGAAGTTGCCTTTGGGGCTCCGATCTTTTGCCTCCTTCATCCATATCCGCATATTTATCTGAATCATCCTCTGCATCCTCTGATAATTCATTTTGAAGAGACCTTGATTTAGATTCCCCGGTCAAAATTCTATTTATGTATTGATACCTTCCACCCATCAGTTTAGAGATCACCATTCCCGCTGTAGCTGGGCCTCCCGCAGAGTCCATCATAGTTGTACTTGTAGATAGTGACGGGACGCTAATACAGGCATCGCAATTTTTGGCAACCTGCTTGCTAATCTTGCAACCATTGTTGCCCAGAACAAGAATGGTTGGTCGGTAGACCCCTTCTGAAGGCCAGGTGTGGATTGGCTGAGTCCATTTACTTCCAAACACACCTTGAACCCCAACAATGCTCCATCCATTAGATTTTGATGCCTACATAAACAATAAAAAGTAGGAATTAAAAAACAAAAAGTAAGAAAAATGCAAGGCTTAGAAACCCTATCTCTATTTGCATCCAAATGTCCTCCATACTTCTTATACATACCAAAACAAATTGCATCAAATTTCGAATAGGATACAGAGGCCTATGTTCCAAGGCCCCAGCACTTGCAAGGGAAACTTCAGCAGTAGGCAGTGCGCTCCTTGCTTGTTTATACATCACACCGTCCACGCCGAAATACCAAGCTGTCCGCAGTATCTCACCCATGATTTGAGGGTCCCAAACGTTCTCCATTACAAGCCAAATTGGAGGAAAGGAGGGTGATGTTTTCGTTGAAGGTACCATGTTTTCGGTAACAGCGGCTGATGCTTCGGATAAGAGCGGCAAACCTGCTCTAAAACTCTGGAATTTTAGTGAACCACCCTTGTCATCGAACATTACTTGATAGTGGTTGTCTTTAGACACAGGACCAAGCGCAGTGACTAATTGAGTCGAATGGAGCGATGCTTCCAATACTACACCCTAAAAATATATTTGTTAAAAAAATAAAATAAAAGAAATAAAATGAGATGTGGGATACTGATTTTTGTGAGAAATATTTTGTGAATCCATTAAAAGATCGCTGTACGCAACTTCATGTGATTCGCTTCCCGATAGCTCTTCTAAACGACGATTATTAGTCTTGATCACTTGAATGCCTGCATCCTGAGCAGCCCTAAGGCAGTCATTCATGTGAGGCAGATGAGATCTGCGGTCGTAAAAGTTAAAAAGTAAAGGCTCCATGATTAGTTGAGGGTGAAAGCAAGCCAAGTACGCATACGGTGCTGCATCGACAACGATTACCGGTCCAAGACAGTTGTATTCGTATACGAAGTCGATGGAGTCCAGCCTGGCTTTGAGGCATCTCTGGAATAATACAATGTAAAACATGTTCTGACTTTGGACTTGAGCGCTGGAAGGATCACCGCAGGGGAGTACAAAAACTCACGATCTTGTAGGCCTTCCTTACGGCTCGCCAGGTTTTCCTTCACAATTGCCTTAATAGTAGCAGAGCTGCCATGGTCATATCCAGTTACAAGGTCATAGTTGTTATCGATCGAATGTTCATTTTGACCTCGTCTTAACCTTAAATCATTTTCGCCACTCATGCTCTTGTGCCTGTGCTCATTCTTTATAGACACACCTATAGATCCTTCCTTATTCAAAGTATTTCTGTCAACTAATTCCTTGTGCTCGTTGAGAAACATGCCCTTCCTAGGAGAGTCATTCCATTTGTTTTTCTGAGCGATCAAAGCCTGAACATTTGCGCCTTCATTGTCATGTGTAGAGCTATTCATAGACCAGGCTTGCGATGCCCTACTATCTCTCGCAAGACGTTGTTGTCTTGTATCCTGTATCTTTTCTGAATCTATTTCTTGGGACAGTGGGCGATGATTGCTAGTTCTATTGACCATCGTAGTTTTAGGGTTAAGTGATTCGAGATGTGAATATGTTGATGGCGTGTCCGTTGAGGGTGATGGCAGCGATAAGCCGGATGACGAGGATGAGGATGAGGATGAGCTGGAGGGGTCGGTGGGGAGCGAAGCTGATACAATAGCTGATTTTAGCGCTTTACTAGATACCGGCACCGTTTTACGATATGATGACACCTGTATATTAAAATCGTCGGGTAGAACCGTTGGATGAATACTCCAGTCCAGGATGGTCCGATAAGTATAACGGTCGATCCGAGGCGGCGTTTGTGATGGTGATCGTCTCAACGGAACTGTGGTGGTGGATGCGGAAAGCCTATGGGGCTCATCTGATGCGGAACCCATTGTAGATCTATGCACATTATACGCCTCCTGATCTGTAACTTCCGATCCTCTTGCACCTGAAGCTTTGTGATGTTGTTTGCGTTGGCCAAGCATCCCATTCGAAACAAGCGGTGCTCGATTGATGGTTGGTAACAACGTCGAAGGGGCGGAAACGTCATTCGACGGTTCGCATACAGTACTACTTTTCCGTGAATTAGAAACTGTGACCGCGGCTGTGCCAGAAGAATCAGAGATTGATGTGGTTGCTGTGCTCGCTGATAATTGAATTATTGCTTCTTTGGAAGCCTGTACCGTTTCTTTCCCCGTGATTGTACCTCTCTTGCTGTGTTTGGATGATTGGTTGTCTATGTGATATCTGGAAAACATTGCTGTTGTGTTTATGCGGCGTAGTGATCCAGACACAGTAGACTCCCGTCTTTTCGGTATAATTAACGCTCTCATGACTCTATCTGGTGCGCGAGATCTTTGCATATATTTCACTTAGCCAAACTTGCAGGGGTTATGGTTAATTCGGATAAGTTATGCACATTGAGAAGCGACCTTGAACAAATCAAACACCAATGTCGATTCCGTTGCAGAAACAGATCGAAGATTTAGTGGCCTAATTATGGAATGTAAGAAAAAAAAAAAAAAAAAAAAATATTCAGGTGTATCTAAATAAGAGCATCTTTGAGATAATCCTTATAAATGCATAATCTTCAAAACAACAGCAACTCGTCCATCTTTTTCTTTGTAACTTCATCCATCTTAACATCAATCGATGATTTTTATTTAAAATCACCGATGGCTCTTCAATCACATAAGTTCTTACTATTAAAGCTGCTGATTTTACAGAATATAGCCCGGTGCTCCTCCCATCTGCTTCCTGTCAAAATGTTGATTATGAAGGGGTATAAATAGATGAAAGGTCATGAGGTAGCTGAAAAGTATGGTCCATTTCATTTAGTCGCGGTCCTTATATTTTTGAATAGTCTTGAGTGTATTGGCAGCCAATTGACTCACTTGTTGTTGCAAGTCCGTCACGTAGTAAGATGCCACCGAACCAATTCAATCATGAAGGGGTCTAGTACATAAAAACAAATAAATTAACCAAAAAAATCGTCAAACCAATAACTTACAGTTTTTTTAAGACGAAGGCCTTTCAGGACTTAGTAATAGTTGTAGTAGACCAAATTCTATTGTTGCTACCGGCTTGATGTCACTCCTCCTCCTGGACTCAACAAAAGTTCTTTCGATATCTCAAGTTTGGTCCCAGCCTGTCAGTGAGCGTTAGTGCACATAAGCCACACAGGCTGGTGATGAGCCTAACGCGCAAGGATTCGTGGCTGTGTGCTCAGTAAGATTGCGGTCATGGCATGAGACATCACAAAAAAATCACGGGCCTTGAATAAATGCGTTTTATGCCCGCTCAAATATGACCACATTCCAATGACGAGTCCTTTCAAACGTCGTCCATAGCCTCCATGATGTATCCAGGCTTCAATGATGGGTTCCTTCAGCCATTGATACACGTGTAATGGTTAAATTAATTATACATTTAAGGGTGTAGAATATTTCTACGCCAGGAATGTTGAGAAACATGTCTATCAAGAAATTAAATTTCATAGGCGTCCTTTTTGACATTGATATACTTGATGGGTTTCTTCTAAATTGTTCATGAGCTCAATCCGTCTATGCGTTCCAAAAAAAAAAAAAAAAAAAAAAAAGCAATAATAACAATAACAGGAGCCAATGGCGCAAAGGCCAGGATCCTGATACACTCAGTTTATCTCTTGGACTGCAAAACGGGCAAATTTGCCCAATTAGCTTTCACCAACTCATGGGCAGATCAGATACAGTTGTCTATGCTTTCTACTAACAGAAAACAATCGTCTATTGCGTGCCAAGGAAGAAAATATTAGTAAAAATCGATCAGTAAAAACCAGACAGCAAAAACTAATCAGCAAAAACAATATACATGTTTATAATCACAATGCACTATATCCACCATTCACTTTTCTCCACTTCTTTGCGCATCTAGCAACTTTTATCATTCTTTCATTCCTTGTTGATAGTCGTCTGTAGGTGATTGGATACTACACATTGAAGGCAAATTTGTAGTAAATTCATCAACCTTTTGTTTCGCTCATTTTCATACACCTACAAATACATCCTGCCTTTTTCTCTTCCTCTCTCTCTCTTATTTCAGGCTGATACAACAACATTTATCTCTTACCTTTCACCTCATACTATTACACCTTCACACTCTCACACAGATTACAATCTTTTGCTTTCTTAAAGGTAAACCATGTCTAATCTAACAACTTCAACTTCAATCCAAAGCTGTATAAATTATCATTGCTTGCACTGTTTTATAATTTACTTTCTCTAGATAGGTATAAAAGGCCTCTATTCGTAGCTTTAAGGAGAGGCCTGCCACCAAAGGGGACTGATGTGCATGAGCTTGCTGCTGAACCCGATTCATTTTTTGAGTTGGATCTGCTTGGCACTTTCCACAGTGATATGCACAATATCATCCTAAGAAAATTTAACCATCAGATCTCTTTCACTGCCTGTGACCATGCTATGGCTAATTCTAAAGATCTTTAGTCCTCTTTCTATAGTGGCGATACACATTGATGGGCCTCACTGCAATGAAAAAGCCCGCACTTATAGAGACCGAGATGCTAAGCGTACAACAGCTGATGCAAAACTCGATACACTCATAGCCAACATGGAAACCAAGTCCACTGAAGGGAAATGGAATCTCAGAGCAATATGGTTGCTATTAAAAAGAATCTTCGACAGCTCTACATATTCAGTCATAACGAGAAGAGGGAACTCGCAACGCCATTTGGCCGATACAATAGCTTTGCAATCTGCCATTGTAGCAATGAGGCTGATGTATGTATTGCCATCAATGTACACTAACCAGTATCGCTATACCTAGGAACTCTGACCTTCTCATCTATCCTTCTATACAAAGAGCTCTTCGTCCAATCCCTTGTCGCCACCACATGTATGCAGTATATGAGAAACAGGAGGTCCTGGAAGCCCTCGGGCATTCAAGTGGCATTCAACTCCTGGCCTACACCATTGTATCCGATAACGATTCCACCCCAAATATTCCAGTCTTTGGTCTTGCCACAAACACCGAGGCTATCTCAGCGCTCACTGACACTGATACCGAAAAGTTAGCGGAATCATATGTTCGTGAGGTCCATACCCGTAGCCATCGAACTCCTTCAGGAGGCCGATTTGACCATTCAATCAATGTTTTCCTCAATTGGGTTCAAACCCAGGCTTTGCAGCAACCAACCGCTGAAAGGCTTCTTCATTACCATGATAGAATGAGGGCTGCAATATCTACTAGGTACCAAAACAAAAATAATCAAAGTAGGCTCCTTCAAATGAACATTTTTCAAAGTATATACAAAAAAAAGGCATCTAACCCTTGACATTGTTATTTCGTAATTGAATTGCTATCGACCTGTTTTCCCTACTAAGGAAAGGGAACTCTCTTCCAAAAAATATGAGCTGACCAACTGTAAACAACACGACCGTCCCGTCAGCTCTGCTCATCAAAGAAAGCCCAAGAAGAAAATGGAAAAGGAAAAGAAAGAGGATGAGAAAGAAGAGGCTAAGGAGGGAAAGAAGAAGAAAAAGAAGAATAAGGGAAGGCCAAGTAGATCAGAAAGATTGATAAATCTAGGAAGATGAAGCAGACTACTGTACTGTATATATTAAGGAGCTGCTCATGCCTTCATTGGAGTTTATTGAAAATAACTTAAATATCCACAAAGCCATCGCTATCCGATGCTTCCAAGAAGTCAAATGTACTATCCTGGTTCCCAAAAAATATCACGGTAACTATAGAAGCAATGAGTATTTTAATGTTAAACAATAGAACCAAAGGGAATGGTGTTAGAGACAAACAGCATGAAGCTACACAAAATCTCTGCAGTCATCAAAAACTTACCCGTGATATCATCTCGGTAGACACGGCTCATTGGCGCTGGGATCGAGAGCGTAGCTGCCAATTTATCATCATCCCCGCCACCCAGCGCATTCCTCACCAAATGTGTCGAAGCATTAGAGGGGTCCTTGAATGTGAACTGCCTTACCTGACTGATAGGGCCTTTAGGTGCTAAATTTGCAGGAGTCAATTCCGTCTCTTCTTCATTTTGATCACCCCTCTTCCCCGTGACAGTGCCTAGCATAGCCTTGACCTTGGTACTAATTTTGTTATCTTTCCGGTCAAGAATCGATTGTTCCTGGCCCTTTTTGCCATCCACCAGCGCACCAACTAGCTGAATTACTTCGTCTGAGGTCAGTTTATCCCATAATCCATCTGTCGCCATCACCAAGAATTGGTCCTCTGGACGTAACTTGTGATGCTTCACCACTGGTTTCGCTGTGACATAAGGTGGAGTATGATAATTACGATGAGGTTGACGATAGGAAGGGAACAGCCGGAATACACGTTCCTGAATATCCAATGTCCATTTGTATCGTGCATCTCCAAATGCTCGCGTAGGTTCTAGTTTAAGGCAAAGGCTGTTAAATATAATGAATATAAAAGCAACTGACAATGCAATTAGTCCTCAATATTCTACTTACCAAGTCCGCCTAGAACGCGGCCTCGCATCACTACAGTATTCTCCTCGCCGGGATGTTCCTCCTGTAATCTCCGAACCTCCCATCGATTTCTTCCAGTTTGATCGAAAGACAAAGGCACAGCACTCCAAGAGTGCCCATCTTTCGTATCGGAAGGTTGGCGGACACCAAGTACAGCTCTAGAATCTCCAGTGCAGGCCACATATAAGTCCCGCTCTTTGATATCCACATATGCCATCAATGCACAGGAACCTGCAATCGCTGGCAAAAGACTCGAGCATGCCAATGGACGCGAGGGAGATTCTAGAACTTGCTGTACTGTTTCGTTCACAATTTTATGGTCCAGCTTTAAAAAGCCATTCTCAATCGCATCCATCACTGCTATTACATCATGAGGATCCTTAACATGTTCCAGCTCCATGGCGACAGTGGGAGCCAATTCTTGTGCAACTTTCTGACTGCAACACCAACCTCCATGTCCATCAAAAACACCAAAAAACACCTTTTCAATCTCTCCATCTTCTCCACGAATCGCATGGCATGAAAGATCATCCTCTATTGGATTGTTAGATGCCACCTGATTAATACAATAACCTAAAATCACTTCTTGTTTCGGCCTGTTCTTGCGATCTGAATCCTGTGTAGCCACTTTAAATGACAATTGATTCCGAGTAAGTTGTTGCTCTACTTGTTCAGGTGTTAACATCTTGAGTTGTTTTTCAAATCGAGGAGGCCCAGACAATGGAAAAAAGGAGTAGAGACCAGCGTCTGGCGAGGGAGGGTATTCAGATTTGGTTGAGGAGCTTGAAGAGTTGACAAGAGAAGATCGAGCGTGTAAGTAAGCTTGTTGGAATTGCCAACCAGATGAGGTGGAGTATTTATAGGCACCGGATCCTGCTAATGTGACAACGGTTCCGACAAGGAAAGCGCGAATGGCTACGCGTCTAGATTCGCTGAGATGGAACAAAGAATTGAAGCCAGGGTGCTGCTGTTTTTGCTGATGTCGCTGTTGATCACTACCATTGACTCGGTCGCGATGGAGGCGCTCATAGTAAGGCTGTTGGGAAGACCCAGTTTTACCCTGTACAATTCTGGAAACGTTCGAGGGAGTCGGAGAGCTGGCTGTTCCTATACCTTCAGACCCCTTCAATGGTGATGGCTCTCGGTGTTGCGGCTGAGTGGGCCTGGAGCGTATAGTAGTGGTAGTTGGTTTGATACGACTGTTAGGAGATATCGAGGTGGAGAAAGAGTAGCGCAACCATGAACTTATGCGACGAGAACTGAGGTCTGACGCGCTTTGGCGAGTAGTGCCCAATAGAGCTGCGAGCTGAGGAGACATGTCAATGTGAGGGGACAAGAAAGGAAAGAAGGGAAAGGGCAAAAGAACACCAAGTATGACAGGATGAAAAGATAGCACTAAATTATTCTGGTCCTTGCGCGACGCTCAACTTGTATTTGTCGATCTGCCCAACTACCTACAATACACATGTAATACACTTTTCAGCTGTACCTGATCTCATGGTTTCCCTGAAAACGTTCTTTTAATATCCGACTTTCCTATTTCAGGCTCTCTATTCAGCCTTTTTATTATTATTTCTGGTGTCATGTCATCGGCGGTCACTATTTTTTGTTATCACAATAAAGTTCTTGAGCGCGGCATCTCGGAAATGTCTCCAAAACAAGCAGCAACAATCCGTCATATTTGGGCGATTGTGATGCAAAGATTCAGTCGTGGTTCGGAGTGGCTTGGGTTTCCATCCATTCCGCATTCTTTGTCCATCGTCTATTTTCCAATTTTCTATTTTCCGAATCCTGCTTTTCTCTCTTTCTTTTCTTCACAATAACGCACTCGCATCTTCCATCACCTCGGAACTCCAATACACAAAAAGAAACAATACTCTAATACATATTCAACATGCCTTTCGCACCAGGAAACTCTGTCAATGGTAAGACATATCATAATCACACTTGATCAGAGAGGATAATAAATAGGAAAAAAAATATTTCTTGAGATCAGATCTTTTTTGGTTGTTAATCATTCCGGTCTCTAAACATTCATCATTTTACATTCTGATTTCATCTGAATCTCTTTAGGAGCCAAGCTCTTCAAGACTCGTTGCGCTCAATGCCACACTGTCGAGGCTGTAAGTAGAAGACTTTGTCACAAGAGCACCTCTGTTTAAGGATGCCGTATTTTATTATTATTATTATTATTTATCTTGTATGTCTGTTTATTGACAGTGTAATACCTCGTCCACTTATGCATGAACTTGATTGAATTTCCTATTCTCTTCTACTAGGGCGGCGCTAACAAGGTCGGTCCTAACCTTCACGGTATTTTTGGTCGCAAGTCTGGCCAGGCTGCCGGCTACTCCTACACTGAGGCCAACTTGAAAAAGGGCGTCACATGGACTGAGGAGACTATGTTCGAGTACTTGGAGAACCCCAAGGTAAGGAAAAATGAAAAACATTAAAAAAAAGAAAAAAAAAAAAAGCACTTTTGTTGCTGTGGAATTGACGTCACTGTATTATTCAGTCCATATCATGATCTAACTTCGCCATTACTTTGTTTCGCAAATCTTTCATTTAAAAGAAATACATTCCCGGAACTAAGATGGCTTTCAACGGCTTCAAGAAGGAGGGCGAGCGTAATGATGTCATTACTTATCTCAAAGAGAACTGTTAAATAGTGCTTTTACACCTTTCAAATGTAGTGTTTTAATACTTTTGAACTATACCATGAACAAAGGTTATGTTACACAAAATAATGCTGTGTACTTTTGGCCCTAATTTCTGTTCTGGTCATAGACAAAATGTACAAAGTTTTTTGCATTCAGTTTTATGAGATCAACGAACGTATTAATATGCATTGTTCACAGAAACATCCTGAAAGTGGTTATTCCATATCAATGGCTCATTGGGAGCTTGAGTTTAAACCGAGCAAGCTTCTGCTGATCGCTATCCGTTTTATGGCCTTCATCGCTATATTCACGGCGTGATCGGTCGTAGTCTCTTGATCGAATACGATTCCGACTATAGAACTATAGTCCTGGTGCCGATGTCTCTTGCTGGATGATGAGGAACGATGGTAACTGCTTGAGTTACGATAACGACCAACACTCTCTTCGTCAGAGTGAAACCATTGTCCCTACCGCTTCTATCTTCGACTATATCCTCGTCCACGGTTGAGTAGTATTGAGACTAGACGGGCGATCCGTGGCTTCGCTCACGGTCGCACCAGTCTAATGCTTTGCCTCGTGAGGCTTTTTACCTCGTCGCTTGAAGGCACCCATCTTAGATAAGGTCCCTGCAAACAATAAAAGTACACACAGGAATATCCCTGTAACGTCGAACTTAGTTCAAATATTCATGGGTAAAAGAATGGTATTTCTCGGGTGTTTGAAAACAATGATTTCCAACCATTATTGTCTCAAGCGTTTAATAGTGCCAGTAAAGAAATCTCTCGCAGTCCTCGTTGCTGTCATTCTGGGTTTAAACTTTTCAAGCCGCATTTGAGATGACATGTGCGCAATATACACTCACCAATATTTGGTACCAATTGCATAACGATCAAATGCACCGCGCATCTACAGTAGTATTTTAACCATGGTAGGGCGGATCTCAGGAAGCTGGTGTGGTTGGAACAATGGCAACATGCATTTATAGAATATCTATGGATGCCAACAGCCCCATATCCTAGCATTTTGACCTGATACTATTGCTCTTAGAGACAAAGGACTTGAGCCTGCAGTCAATTAATTTTCTAAAGTCTCGAATGACAACCACTTTTAAACCAATATGGAGTTTGGCAACATACCTCTAGCAGTAAAGGAGCCGGAAAGGAGGTAGAAAATAGTAGAGGTAGGCGCCTAATATTATGATTTTCTTAGGCTGAGGGAAGAAGGAAAGAAAATAGTAAGAGTTGCTAGATGCAAATGTATATTGTTTTTGCTGATTAGTTTTTGCTGTCTGGTTTTTACTGATCGATTTTTACTAATATTTTCTTCCTTGGCACGCAATAGACGATTGTTTTCTGTTAGTAGAAAGCATAGACAACTGTATCTGATCTGCCCATGAGTTGGTGAAAGCTAATTGGGCAAATTTGCCCGTTTTGCAGTCCAAGAGATAAACTGAGTGTATCAGGATCCTGGCCTTTGCGCCATTGGCTCCTGTTATTGTTATTATTGCTTTTTTTTTTTTTTTTTTTTTTTTGGAACGCATAGACGGATTGAGCTCATGAACAATTTAGAAGAAACCCATCAAGTATATCAATGTCAAAAAGGACGCCTATGAAATTTAATTTCTTGATAGACATGTTTCTCAACATTCCTGGCGTAGAAATATTCTACACCCTTAAATGTATAATTAATTTAACCATTACACGTGTATCAATGGCTGAAGGAACCCATCATTGAAGCCTGGATACATCATGGAGGCTATGGACGACGTTTGAAAAGATTCATCATTGGAGTCTGGTCATGAAAGGAATATAGCCGAGACTTATGAACGGTATCTGAAGGAATTCATTAATTTTATTATGCAGCAATGGTTGAAGCAAGCCATGATTAAGCCATGATTCTTTATTGTTGTTATGTAAAGCCCATGATTGACGGCTATGTATCAAGGGTTGAAGGAACTCACCACTACGACTTTAGTATATACTAAAGTCGAAATGGTTTCTCCCTTATCGTAATAACTCGTTTCATAGATCTTTGCTCTATTATATGATATATTTCATTTCATAATTTCATAATTCTTGCTCTATGATACGTCCATCCCATCCCACCCGCTAGCTATAACTTATTGTAAAATATCATCATCAATAACATACATGTATATAACACAGTAATAATAATAATTTATAAAATGCATTCCATTCCATTCCATTCATTTCATTCCATTTTCATGTGCCTTTCAGGAAATGAGCATACTTCAATCATCGGACCTCAATCATGTGACCTCAATCATGATTATGAGCGATCATCATGAGAGCGCAACTATGGGCTTTACATTACTATATAGATGAATCACGTTCACGATCTTCCGAAGACCGTTTCTTGTGCTTCTTGTGTTTGCGACTCTTCTTGTGCTTCCTATGGTCGCGGTGTTCTCGATACTCCTTGCTGCTACTGCTTTTATGATGTCTGTGCTCCTTTCTTGAAGACGATGAAGCATATTCTTCTGAATATGACCTTTCGGCCTTGTATCCTTTGCTGCTGCTGATAATCGAAGAACGATCATCGTCCTTATCTACGTCTTCATCAACGCTGTCATAAGAGCCCCTTCTTCCACGGTCCTCGCTATGATAGTGGTGATCATGCCTTTTCCGCTTTCCAGAATCAGAGTCATAGCGTGATGACGAAGCATATTCTTCTGAATATGACCTTTCAGCCTTGTGTCGTTTGCCGCTACCGATAATCGAAGAACGATCATCGTCCTTATCTACGCCTTCATCATTGTTGTCATAAGAGCTCCTTCTTCTACGGTCCTCGCTATGATAGTGGTGGTCATATCTTTTTCGCTTTCCAGAATCAGAGTCATAACGTGATGACGACAGCATAGACTGCGGTAGCTTCGTGGTTCGAGATGCATCATCATTGTCATCTTCACGTTCAGAGAGGTCACTCACACTAGAAAGTTCACGCTGTCGATAATGCTTATTACTGTTTCTATCAGATGTAAAATTAGTTGACGAAGAGGTATGCTTGTGGATACCATTGTAACTGTTTCCAGTTGGCGTCACTTTTCGAAACAGGGTCGGCATAGATATCGAGGAGTTACGTTGGGTTGATTGAGTTGGTTGGGGTGGTGATTTAGATTGTTGTGAATTCGATATCACAGGGCTAGAAGAGGCCAAAGGCGAGGACGAAGATGGGGGTACGTACGCTGGCGCCATCTTGGCTGTCGCCGAAGTTGACTTGGCCTTTGGAGTTGATCCACTAGAAGCATTCGTGGCGTTGCCTTTGGATGTAGGAAGCGATGATGCTCGCCTATTTAGTCCCTCCTTTTCAATCAGATCCTCCCACATCTTTTTGAGGCGAACACCCATCAATGCAACCATATCACCTGGATGTGTGTTAAAAAGTGCACAATTGGAAAATACCAAGTTCACATCCTGAATGACTTCGGCGCCTGAGGTGTACTGGCCGGCGACTAGCTTCTTCTCGATTGTGCCAAAATCCATTGGGTGCTTGATGACATCAAAATATGTCGGAATACCAAGCGCAATCGGATCGACTGGCACAGCAAATGCCCCAAAGTCTGGACTAGTCCTAAGCTTTTCAATGATCTTCCGGTGTGCATTCAGTTCTTCACTAGCCCGTCCCGAACCGGACGATCCAGTGGCTCCAGCGTTCGTAATAGATGTTGCTGCATACGAAGAAGTAGGATAGGCTCGATTGAGCTCCCGTTTGGCGTTTTCCACTTCCTTGTTTAATAGGCTTTGGATCATTAGACCGCCCTGTGAAAAGGGATGGTCAATGCCGTTAAAATTGACGCAGTTTTGACAGACCAGACGCACATCGTCTGCAAAGTCGTCCATGGTAGAATATTTTCCTGCTGAGAGTTTTTTGCGTATCGTAGAAAAATCCATGGGATTTTTAATCAGTACAGGATAGTTAGGCAAATTGAGCGCCTTCCAATCCACCTAAAGTAAAAAATATATATGAGCAGTTAGGCAATCCGTTCGTTGCGAGGACGTTTCGCATCTTTAATTTACCAAGCAGGATTCTGGGAGCTTACGGGCTCTAAAAAGGGACCAGCGTGTTTATGGTTGGTGCATTTCTTTAGAATCTTCTCCATGTATTTTTCCACGACATCTTTGGGAGGTTCTAATGCTTTATCAACAGACTTGACATTCTTGGGCTTGGGCGTATTGGGAAGCGGTTTAGATTTTGATTTAGAGGTGCTTGTAACACCACTGCTATATGGGGGACTGCCCTTGATTGGCGTCGATTCGACCCCTTGTCGAGTATTATTATCATCTCCCGGGCCAAATGCTGACTCCCACTCCGCAATCATTAATTTTTCAAGAGCATCTGCCTGGTTCACAACATATGTTCCTCTTGGGTTAAATTTACGGCAGTTGAAGATTACCAGCTCAATATCATCTCGTACTTCGTTCGCATTCTTGTATTCGTCCATCTTGAGCTTCTGTTGAATGGTGCCCAAGTCCATAGGGTGTGATATTATTTTCAGGTACTGCGGGATTCCTTGACGAATGGGGTCAACAGGCTGTAGAAATTCGAATGCACAAGGGTCGGCCATTAGTTTTTTTAAAATCTTTTTACACTTCAACAAATCCCCAGCTTTTCCAGACGAGCCGCTCCTGGAGGAGCCTGCCATATTAGAGAAAGCAGTGGGCTTTTCCTTATGGCTTGAGGAATGGGTGGGTGGCGCAGGCGATGGGAGGCGATCAGTAGTTGATGTAATTGGCAATGTATAAGCTGGTGCGGGCATTGACTTAGAGCTTGAAGGTTTCCGTGAGACAGAAGAAGTCGCGAGTTTTGGGTTTCGGGTTTCGTGGTCAAGCAGAGAGGATGTTGTGGTTTCATTCTGATTTATGGTTGGAATATCCGCCACTGAGCTCTTTGGGGCCTCAACGATGGTGATATTCAACTCAGGAACACTAGCACCTGCGCTTTCCATGACACGTCGCCAGTCCTCTTCAAAGACAGTCTCTAATTCCTGACCATGGTTGTAGACATAAGTCCCACAGGGGTTGAATTTGAAGCAGTTGTTTAACATAAGACGAATATCATCCTCGAACTCTTGAAGGTTAGCATATTGGTTCCTGTCGAGTTTAGCCTTGATAGTGCTTAGATCCATTGGCTTATCTACAATAGCTGGGTAATGTGGAATATTTTCTGCAATTGGGTCGACAGGCACGCGGAAATGAGTAGAGGATTTATGGGTGAACATTTTGCGCCAGAGTTTGCGGCATAGCTTGGCAAACTCTGGTGTCATAGGCGGTGATGGCTTTCGAGGATTCTCGTCGATGGTAACACTTGTAGGTACTTTCTTTGGTGAGATTTCACTAGGCTTCGTGGTAATAGCCGATGAGGACAACGAGGGCTCCTTGTGCACGGGCGTAATAGGCTTCGGTTTGCTGTCAGACTTTGGTTTAGTGTCAGACTTTGGTTTGCTGTCAGACTTCGGTTTAGTGTCAGACTTTGGTTTAGTGTCAGACTTTGGTTTAATATCAGACTTTGGTTTAGTGTCAGACTTCGGTTTAGTGTCAGACTTTGGTTTAGTGTCAGACTTTGGTTTAATATCAGACTTTGGTTTAGTGTCAGGCTTCTTGTTAGATACTTTAGCTGACAGTTCATTATATTCTGTCGGTGGCCGTGGTGTTGTCGATGATGCAACTGTAGGTGATGTCAAGGGTTCTTCTTTAACGTATGTAGAAAAAGACGGCCTGACATCCAAGGCTGGTGCTTCCTTGGTCAGAACTATGAGGGTGGGCCAGAGTAGGCAGGTGTTATATTAGTACAAATGACCTAGTACAGTTTTCCAAGTGCCATCTTTACACAGTCCAAGCAAATAAAATACCTCGATCTGCAGACTGAAAGGTCGCAGGGGGAGAAGGTGCTTTAGGCTTTACCGTCTTCACTGGTTTCTGCGTCTCTGGTTTAACCTTGGCAGGTTTTAAAGGCGGTGCTGGTAGTGGTGCTGGCGCTGGTGCTGTTGTTGATATTGCTTCTGGCAAAGTTACTTGAGTGTGCGATTGAGACTGTGGTATTATTGGAGTAGAGTCAGCGGGTATTACTGGCTCCGGTGCCTTGATCAATACAGGATTAATTTCAGTCTCTCCAGAAATCGAGGATGTTGCAGCAGGTATTTGGGTAGCAGATGAAGGTGACGTAAGGATTGATGCTGGCAGTATTGTAGCTGGTGTAGGGATATTTGATGTGCTCATCGGTGTAAAAATAGGTGACGGCTCTCTCATCTCGATTTCGTTCATGACTACCGAACGGTGTTTGAGCGATAAAGGGATTGGTTCACCAGGTGGGTAGAGGAGATCGCAGAACAAGAGTAGATTTTTCAGCACTCTATGCTCGATATAGGGATCCATAGTCAAGATCCGCCAAATCTCTGATCGAAGGACGGGTTGCTGTCCATAATGTCTTCGAATCACATCCAATCCCTGTAATGGTGACTTGTCAATAGTTTGACCAAAGGAATCACGAACGATGCCATGCTCTTCAAATAGTAATCCCTCATGCTCTCGAAGGCCATCCACACTGTTGCGTGCCATATAGACCCCCAAAATTGCAGCCATTCCCTGCGCAAGATGGAACCGGACATAGGGCGAAGGATCTTGTTCAACAACATTGCAAAGATATTCTGATGCCTTGAGGTTCTCCAATGCGCCCAGTAACAACAATGAATCAAACGATATTAGGCGTACATCGACAAAATTGCCATATCTTGAGTGCATCATGAAATTTTTAAGATCCCGCGGAACGATCCCTGCAAGCATGAGCCTCATAGTCGCCTGCAAGCAACTGACTGTCACTGTATTATGATAGGTTGGGATTAGATAGTCAAGGGTCCTATATCTATCAATCTCGCGTATTGCTTGTTCCAAGATATCTGCACCCGCTAACTCTTCCATGTCCTCTTCATCATCATCAAAAAGATCCTGACTTCGGGGATGGTCTGGGATCAATGAATGTCCAAGTGCTGAAATCAGGGTGCTGACGTAATAGTTATCCGAGAAAACGTTACCGGTATTATCATTAAATCGCAAAAGGTCTAGCAAGAACTGCCGGATCGTCAAGGGACAATGACCTCGTTCGTCTCTAATGTTACTTAGCGCCACTGGAATGGCCTATACACCCATGAATGATAGGTTATTAACATATTTATTTTTCATCACAACTTATGGGCGCACAAAAAAAAACATACCTTCTGCAGATAGTACTCCGCAAGGCTGCTAAAATCATTAGGTTTAGGCATACATGGGATCGTACCATCCGGAGAATCAAAAGTGCTCGAATGGGTTGGTGGGTAGCAGAATTTGTGTTGGAATGTCTTTGTAAGATGCAATAATCCAACCCAATCGGCTCGTGGATGAGCGCATCGAGCAATACCGTACGCAGCTTCTACTCGCACTCGAAAAAAACATCTTGTATCCAGCAAGGTCTTCAGGAGCGATGTTGAGGCTGTTTGCGATGGCATTGATCCAAGCGCCATAATGGCTTCGTACTGGGCAACAACATCTCGATCTTTTTGGAGCTGTGCTGCCCACATAAAATCCGGCTGCTGAAAGCGTAGTTCACAAAGCCATTCAAATTCAGCATCCAATCTAATCCACTCGAACGTGGCGCTAATAGACCCTTGCTCATCATTTTGGCCCCATTCAACGATGTGCCATTCCTCTTTATCTTTTTCGTTTTCCCAGAGTCCAGCTCCGAAACCAAGTGCGCCAATACCATCCTCAATATCACCTTCTTCTTCAGCTTCACGTGCAGCCGCAGCAGCCGCAGCTTGCTTGGCCTGGAATCGTTTTGTGTTCCGACGGATGCGCTTATATTTGGTATTGAACTGAACCTCAAAGCGCTTTCCAGCATCTTGTATATCCAGCACATGCTCATATGGCGTTCCATCAGCTTCGTGGATTCGAACCGCCATTGTCCCAGTAAATATTGTTGGAGGTGGGTGTTCGCTATTGATTCCCATTCGTATTGAATCATTTATTGGACTATTTGTAGACCATTGACGCATATTGATCTCCACCACCATTTTTTTTCGGTTGAAGTGATAGCCAAATTCGAAAACAGGGCATCCGCTGTTGTAGATCCATTGATCAGAAAAGCCTTTTGTCTCAAGTCCACTGACTTTGCGACACGTTTTCAGGAACCAGTGTGTACTAATTGCATTGTGCGCCAATTCTCCACTCATAACTGAAACTAGGATTTTAGGAATAACACGTGACAGCCCCAATGAAGAGCCACCTTTTGACATTCTTTTGTCCAACATGTGCAGAACTAGGGGCGCCTTCAAACCAATGAACTCTAGGTCGTCCAGATCGATAGGATATGCAATGTTTGGGTTGTATAAGGGTGCTCGGTCTCGGTCAATTGCACAGCAACGCTCGATATCTTTTTTCATCCTGAACCTGTATTCGTTGTTGCCAAACATCTTTCTGATGAACAGGGATGTCACAAAGTTGGTTAGTCCAACCATGATCCAAATATCAGGCCATGACTTGGGCACGATATGAATACCAAACCATTGCTGAGCTAATGCCTGCGTGAGTCGCTTCCTGGTTTCATACACTTGATCAATGATATCTTCCGAGTGTAGAAGGGCGGTACTGCAAACAGCCATAGTAGCTGAAGTAAACATTGGTGCCCAAGCATCCTCGACAAAGACCATTTTGAAGGTCGAAAAAGGGTAGGACCCAATCTCGTGCATGAAAAACTCCATTGCTTTGGTCATAAATCCACAGCTAGTCCGTAACTCTGGCAACCTTCCAGGTGGACAAAAAGCAAACATTTCTGGCAAAGTGCCTCTACTTTGTGCAGTTGGAGCTTCTAATCGCTCGTTGTCATCCATATCCTCTCCACCATCATGTTGCTCTATGACTCCATAATCTTTGCGATCAAGCTTATGAACTTCGAAAACACCGGCAACAAAAGAAATTGATGCAGCCGGAGTCGGAACGGGTATGCTATAATGAAAGATGGTCTTGCTGCGTATAGAATGATGTGCCGTTTGTTGAACCAAATCGCCGCTGCATATTACATGAACTTTCTCATCCTCATCATAGTCATCCGGAGACCAGCCTTCTTCGTCCTCTACTAGACCCTCATCTGGTGCAAAAGCGGGGACAATAAAATCGATTTCCCATGTACACCTCTCGGCAAGACGATCCATACAAGGGAGCCACAGCCTTGTCGCTCCAGGTAATGGTTGATTGATGGTATATACAGAATGCGTTCGCTACGTAATATTAGTGATAATAAAATCACAACGAAGTAAATGGTAGGCTCAATAATGTAATAAAAGATTGTGTTGTTCCATCAATTAAAAAGGCCACGACATACATTAGGGACATTGATTGGATCCGGCCCTGTAAAAAATACACCCGATGACGGATTTTCCAGTTTAAAATCAATTCGCACAGTTAGGGTCGCATAGTTCACTTCTGAATTGAGCATTGGTGCCGCTATTGGTGTCTGTGGTGTGCTTGGCTCCGGTGTTTGTGCATCTAGTTTATTTGTGGGGCGGTCTTCGTTGATAAGCATCGTAATGAGGCCTTTGTTCATTCGCAAGACGTATAAAAATATATCCATTCAGCTTTACCTCTGACAGTGTCAATGACTTTGGATGTCCTGTTTATAGTGCCTTCATCCATCTATGACGGAAAACCTTATCATAAGGAACAAGTATAACCGGCATAATCTGTCAGCATCTAAACATCGAATGCAACATACCATGCTAGGGACAACCATCCCTTTCGGAATCACAATAGCAAGCTCTCCCTCATCATCTTCTGCTGTCGCCATCGACCAACGTCTTTTTAAATCAAGGTGATTGTTGACGGTGCCTTCTCTTAGCAGTGCTAAAGATTCCTTGATGGAGTCGCGGTAGAAAAAGTTGCATTGTATATTATTGACCGAAACTGATATAACCTCTATTATAAGAAAAAGCGGGTAAGAAAGTATTATAGAAATATAGTGCACACAGCCTTGTAGTCCACTATTGCTACTATAATTCCGCATGTTGCGTACCACTTTGTCGACAGTTAACGTGTAGCAACGACAAATTCTCTGTCAGTGGCAATATGAATAATTCGGTAGAGCCCTACGAATAGAATAAGCCAAGAATAAAATTTTGCAATATAAGGAATCTGCTCGCCACATTTGACGGAAGAGATACATATACTACTCTCACATACCGTGAGTGTTTGATTGCAAAAGTCGATGTCGATTGCAACTTTTTGGTGACTCGTATTAGGATAAAAGAATTAAACGAATAAACGATAAGTCATTGCCGGTTCGCTAATTTTTCCAGACATGAATCGAAATACAGAATAGCAAAGCACTTATAAGGTGTATGGTCTCCTGTTGTCCTCGATCTTCTGCATTCTGAGTAAGTGTCGCGTAGACAACAATCAATTCTAGCCAAACTCTGAAAATGTGAATGAAGGAGAGCGGATAGCTGAGTGTACTCCTGCCTTTATTTTTTGCTTTTTTTATCTTTTAAAGCGATATATTCGACTCTGGATGTACAGTTTACACAACTGTAAGTGAGGGACGCGTAAAGGGCTGAAATTAGTTACAAAGGTGTTTTCTGCGTTGAACTTCGAATTCGAGTAGACGGTTGAGAGTATTAAGAGTAGTTTTGGGCTGAGTGAATGAAAAAAGCGTGGGTGATGTAAGCGAGAACTCAAGTCTTTTGGTATTTATGTGGCTTGGTCCTCTTTTTTTTTTTTTTTTTTTTTTTTATTTGCTTCATAATATGAAAGTAAACTCTTTCAACTTCCTTTCATCGACACTAAGAGTCCTGCCAACGCAATGTCCGTTACTTCAGAGCAATTGTGCCAGGGACTTAACTGTTCAAAGCCCGCGGCCCTCCAATGCCCCACATGTCTAAAGCTTGGTATTCCTAATTCATTCTTCTGTTCACAATCATGTTTCAAGGACAATTGGGTAGGAATTCATTACAGTTCCAGCTATCTAATTTAAAAGTTCCTCTACACTTCTTGTAGATATACCTCAATCCATGTCAGATATTGCCATTACCCCTACTAATGCAACTTTTCATTTGATCTACATCCCCTTGCCCGTCAGATATCCCACAAGGCCATTCATAAGATTGCTGCTTTAGCCAACGGACCTCCGGCTGGTATGACTTGATTATCCGAATTGAAAGTTTTTTGAGAGGAGTAGAATGACTATCACATCGTGTGCTGTTTTAAACATTCCTTTTTTTTTTTTTATTAACAATAATAACAATAATATTAAACTTCATGTATATTATGGTCGATAGAGCAAGGAGGATCTGACCCATGGCCAGGTTTCAAGTATTCTGGTACTTTGAGACCAGTTTATCCTCTCTCTCCCCGCCGTGCTGTTCCTGATCACATTCAAAAGCCTGATTATGCCGAGACAGGGATCCCAGTGTCAGAGCAAAACATCCGCAGCTCAGCTATGATTGAAGTACTCCCTAAGGAGGACATTGACGTTTTGCGGAAAGTGTGCAAGGTGAGTCTTTCAGCATAGCCTATTACACGGATTGAAGTGAATCACCATTGGTTGGTTTAGGTGACTTAATTTTTTTGTATTTTGTATCCTGTATTTTTCTACAGATTGCTCGCGAGGTGATCGACATTGGAATTGCAGCAGTTAAAGTAGGTGTGACTACAGATGAAATTGACCGTATTATTCATGAGGCCACTATTGAGCGTGGTGGATATCCATCGCCTCTGAACTACAACGGATTCAAAAAGTCGTGCTGTACTTCTGTCAATGAGGTTATTTGTCATGGTATTCCTGACATGCGTCCCCTCAGAGATGGAGACATTGTCAATCTAGACGTGACCGTCTATAAGGATGGCTTTCATGCTGACTTAAACGAAACTGTCGCTGTTGGCAATGTGGATACCACCGGATTACGCTTGATCAAGAATGCTAGGGAATGTCTCGAGAAAGCAATTGCAATGGGTATGTTTTCAAATATGATTTTTTTAACTGGATAAAGACGTGGCTACCATGCTATTCTTACAGCCTTATATGGATATACAAATATTCCTAGTTAAGCCCGGTGCATTATACAGGGATCTCGGCAATGTAATCGAAAAACATGCCAAGAGTGAGGGATTTTCGGTTGTCAAGACGTACTGTGGGCATGGTATCCATCGTCTATTCCATTGCGCCCCCAATATTCCTCATTATGCCCGTAACAAAGCAATTGGCGTAATGAAAGTAGGCCACGTGTTTACAATCGAGCCTATGATCAACGAAGGAACATGGAAGGACGAAATGTGGCCCGATAACTGGACTGCTGTAACGCAAGATGGAAAGCGATCTGCACAGTTTGAGCAGACTATGGTCGTTACGGAGACTGGAGTAGAAGTGCTTACAGCTCGCTCTTAGAATTAATAGAGTCGCCCACAACTTGTTTGGATAATAAATGTTTAGTACAGTCGAATCTGATTTTTATAGGCGTTTTCTTAAGAAAAACGTCTACAAATTTGATTAAATTGACCTCCCTAAATGTTTTATTCTAAAATGACGTTTGGAAAGTCACACATATATATTTCTCACATGACATGTAATGAGAAACAAAAATTTTTATTTTTTTTACTCATTGCTGCTTATAACAAAAAAAAAACTACTCATTGCTGCTTCTCGACGTGTAAGTATCCACTTCATCCCTGCAGCTTGCACAAGTACGCACCAAGTCCTTCACTATCTTTCGGATCTTCCGTTTCTTTGCAGAGCCTTGGCTAGTCTTCTGTCTGATGTGTTTAAGGCCTTCATGACTGAGTACTTCGTGATCTCCTGCTAAACGCTTCAATATTTGAAAGGTCACATCCATATCCATATCGGCAAGCGGTGAGCTTTCAGCTTCAGCAGGGCTGGAAGTAGCACTACTAGGTTCTGCTACGTATTCGCTGCTTGTCCTATCTCCCACGGTCCTCTCCTGTTGCAGGGCTTCTTCAACTAGCTCTTGCTCATCCTTTTTCTGTACTACTTCGAAATGCCAGCCTTTGATCATAGAGACCTCAGCGATCAACTGCTGGAAGTATGCTCTCTCTTGATTTTTGTATCGGTTATGTCGAATAAGCAGCCGCATTTCTTCATCGACTGCCGGCCTTTGACAACGGAGACGCTCACGCATTTCAGTCGGAAGGATTGGCGTTTTGGCAAAACAGTTTCGAAGCGTATGTGGCTTGATGTAACTCCATGCCTCAGGGATTAGTGCCCATGCTTCGCCGTTAGAAATAGATTTTTTGTTGCCAAAATTCTGAACGAGATACGTTTCGGAAGTAAGTAATTCCAAGAACGCCCGCTTGAAAACGCTTATCACCCCAGCATCGAGAGGCTGAGTTACTGGAGTGGTAGTCGCTGTATTCGGATATGCCTCCAAGGGATCCCTTCCTCTGGAACGCGCATGTCGATGTCGTTGTGCGCTGTCGCGGAGTCAAGGAGAAGAAGTGTGGGTTGCCAAAGCTCATCATCAAACTTTTGCAACCACTTGATGAATATACATCGATTCATCCATCCTGAATCCGCTTTCTCTATAGTCATTTTCAATGCCTTATCTTGTTCGACTTGTCTCGCGAAGTGTTTGGCTAACGAATATCAAACAAATGCAATTGTCACGAAAAGAAATAAGAAAAAATAACAGCCAACATAGACTATTACATTCAATGTATTACCGATGACTAATGGCTTCAATGAAGTCATTGTATTGGCCATAGAGAGAGAAGTGCCAGAGGCATTGATGCAAAATAAGATAGACACCTTGCATTCTCTGAGAGCTTTGGCACCAGTTTTGGAGGTTGGTATCGTATAGGATTTGGAATCCAGCTCTTTCAAATAGAACCCTGTTTCATCGCAATTAAATATATTATCGGGGGTGTACTCAGCGCAGATCTGGCGAATTTTTTTGAACTCAGGTTCAATTGCGTCCAAGAGCTGCCTCTCCATGAAGTTGACAATATGAAATACGATGGCGCTTCTTAAAAGTATCGAACCAATAAGCCGAAAATGATGGCTGTGCTTCAGATAGTGTATTTCCTGATTCATCTTGAAGATCACAGAGAACCGTGTATGTTACATTGGCTGCGTGTTTGAGCATCCTGCCGTTGATATACCGACTTTTCTTTCGTTGTCGCTGTATCCAGTAGTAGAGGACTTCCTCGAGAACCACGTTTTTTCGCTCAACGATATAATGTGAGCCCGGGGGGTATACCTCGGCTGCAGCTCGAATTTTGTTTTCATTATGAAGTATTCGCTGAAAGCTACTTTTTGGAACGTATAACTCCTATTAAGCATCCGAAAGATTTAGGAGAAAGCTTGACTGGGAGGCAGTCTTTCCGCTGTTCAAGGTAATGATAAATATCCAATAGTTCAACTTGTTTTTCAAGGGAGTATGAGAACCTAGACATCGGGATCTCAAACTGTTTGGGGTTTGGGAGCAAAATAACAGCGGACATGTCATTTTTTCGGGCACTCTTTAAAAGCTCACTATACCTCTGTTCATGAGTGCGGTCGAGCTCTTCCAGCTCGCACTTTGTATATTTTTTATCATACTTAGTGGGAGGAGAAGGAGTTTTTTATTGTTTGGCATCGTTTTAATTGAACTGTGGTGATGACTGTAAAAAGATGGACTTTTTTTGATTGTAAAGGGATGTAAAGGCTTACAAAAAAAGTGTGTCATGTGAGAAATATATATGTGTGACTTTCCAAACGTCATTTTAGAATAAAACATTTAGGGAGGTCAATTTAATCAAATTTGTAGGCGTTTTTCTTAAGAAAACGTCTATAAAAATCAGATTCGACTGTACTGGCTATTTAGTCAGGAAATAAAATTATTTGGGCTTAAGAATTTACAAGATACAGCGTTTTTAATTGTTTTATCCATTTTAAAATAAACTTTATCGGTTTTTTTTTAAAATTGTTCCAATGAATAAAAAAATTTATCCAAAGGTAAGTTAAAAAGTTGGCCGAAAAGGGCTGAGAAATTTATCCAAGTGTTTGCAAATTTTGTCCAAGTGGTCATGCGGAATTAACCATGACTTTTGTGGGACATAGAAAGGACATGGTGTTTGGATATTTGTGACAGTCGGTTCGGTTATAATGTTTGAAAAAATGGATAATATTTCAGACACATTCGGATAACTTGTAGGATAATTTTATTAGCTTAAATGGATAAAGCTTATTTCCCATCGGAGCAATGCAAATTGAAAATGGATAAATGTTTTTTTAAAATGGATAAAACAATTAAAAACGCTGTATTTAAAATTCTAACCGTATGTCTTTAGTGTCTTGTTAATAAGCAATTTCTTGACAGAGAAGCAAGCCTGTTAGACTTGTGCTCTGATGTGGACACTAGAAGATTATGTAACCATTTTTCCAGTTACCAAAATAATATCCCTTAAACCGTCAACCTGGCAAATTTGCCATTATAAATGGGCTTAAAATCCAGCAATTCATGGGCATGTCGAAATAAATGACCGAAAACTAAACTGTTATGGAGCTATCCTGGCTTCTTTATTTGTGCCAATAAAAAAACTCTTGAAGGCTTTCGCATGACACTAGCATCCTCTTAGGGGGCCCATTGTGTTGTTTATTTATTGACTGGTGTAATAGCAGTGATAATATTCGCCATAGTATCGACTTGAAAGGAGGGCAATCTGAGTTGATTCATTCTACCGCACCTTAGAGCTTGCTCGGCAAGACTTGATTTGTCACATCATTTGCTTCCTCATACCCAAGATGATACAAATATCTCTGTTGGAGTGAGTGGTGAACTGTGTGTGGTTCAGATGTAGTGGACATAAACGGCGAAAGAATGCATCGAAAGGATGTGAGCGGTTATGAGAGCAAGGAAGAAGGGGTTGGTATGCCTGTTCAAGTCCTTGGCAAGAGGGCATGAGTAGCAGTTGTGATCACAAGTTGATTTCGGTGAGTCTGCATAACAATGGTATAGTTTCTAGACCCTATCTTCCACGTACAGCATTGCATTATTGGTGTTTTCAGACCTGGCGCCAATCATGCGAGGTATTTCTTTTTCCGAGGATTCCTTGTGTTAAACGGCCAGACAGAAAGCTTAAAAGACATACAGACACAACGGTGAAAAAAATGTATGTGAGCAAACAGTTGCTGTGTTTATTTGTTGTCTGCACATGCCTTCTATCCCTAGGAAAGGATGAAACGCGTCGGTATTAATCTCGCTTCTGTAATTCTAAATGCATATATTTTGGCGATTGGTATCAACTATCAAGTTTGCACATACACACACCAAACGACCGCCAAAAACCACCACTCTCGCTTCTGCTCTCCCTCCATCCACAAGGCGCTGCGCAATATCACCATTAACAAGGCACCGTCCAGTAAGAAAGGGTGCTTAGCTAGCTTTTACTCCAAGCAATAAGCACATCACCTATCTCCGCCATTGATGCCGGAACCTGAGAGCCAACGAATATCTCTGCTTTAACGCAATAGTACTGGGGCTGTTGGAGCAAAGAACGACATCTGAATCCATTCTCTGATAAAAAAGACTTTTTTTCTTTAGTTGTTACCTATAATCACCGAGTCATATCTGTCAATGCATTTATTACCCCTGTTCAAAATTATAAATATTCTTTTATTCATTAAATTCCTCACAAAGCACAAAACGAGAGCCAGTGCAAACAAAAGAAATTGAAAAAAAAAAAAAACTGTGTAACAAAGGATCGACATCGACACTGTATGCTGTAGATGGAGATGATTTTTTCGAATGCTCACTTTGGTATCTCAATGCTATTGTTTCCAATCTGCCGTTCATGCGAGAGCTTGTATTTATTTGTCAATCTCTGCTATTGACTGGGACAAAACCCCAATCCAAACAAAGGAACTGAATAAAGATTGATGTGGCCTGTGAAGCAAAGGATCGATATCAAAACTATATGAGACAATGATAAAACTCATCATCAATCCAGGATATAAAAAGGGATCATTGTCTTCCTCCTTCAAAGGCCCATCCCTTTTACCACTGCCACTTGTTCCTGTATCTTTCCCTCAATATTCTTTATCTATTCGCTTTGAATCTTTACACCATAAAAAAGCTCATCCTTTTATACCTTTGTCGCCCCTTTTTTTTTTTTTTTTTTTCTTTTTCATTTCTTTTCATCACCACCATTTTTCCATTTTTCTTTCTCTTTTCGCTTAGATATTGACCATGGGGCTGAAGTCCTTCTTCAAACTGGTTGCGGATCGCGGGGTTTTACCTTCGGAAACTGACGTGGGCACTTGGCGGCAAATCCTGACCATTCTGTTCATTTAGATCTCCTCGGTACGTTCTATTACGACATCCTCCGCAGAGTCGTCCATGCAAAGATGAAAAACGAAACCATCATTGATGTAGGAAGGTCCCTGGCACTCGAGATAAAGGATCTTTTCACAACGGACAACCTGACTATACATATTGATGGGGAAC